CACAAAACAACTGTCTACAAGCCAATATCAAAATCAGAATATTTAATACGAGGGTCAAGATAGTTCTACTGTACGGAGCTGAAACCTGGAGAACTACCACGACCATTCTCAAAGAAATGCAAGTATTTATAAACAATTGTCTACGTAAGATATCAAATGTCCGTTGTGACACTCAGCTGTATTCTTTGTAAAAACCTCTGAAGGACACATTCTGGTTGGTAATAGAAGGATGATTTTAACACACAGACGACTGAATTACAGAGTGACCTTGTCTGTCGTTGTCTTTTATCCGATATTCAACGCCCAGTGAAAATCTTCTAAGTTTGTGCATGTGCTACAAGATTATTTGTGGTAATGACTCAGCGCTATTGCAATGTCACTATAAACTCACGTATTGTATCACGAAGAAAATTTATTTTACTTTGCTGGTAGTTTTCGATCTTGTTACTATAATGTCCTCGTTTACGAACTTAAATTTTCTATTTTGAGCAGACCTCAAACATTAAAATTTTATCATAGTTTCACTATGTCAAGTTTCGAAAAGCTAAGTAGGATTGTATCTAATTAGTTTTAGCCATATGAGATCTAATTTTCACTCCTTACATCTACTTTTATAGGATTTCATAGAATGACATCGTATTTTCTTGATCAGTTTAGGGAAAACATGCCACTGAATGTTACTGAGTAGTAATTTTATAGAAGCCGCATATACATCTGTTAGAGAATCAGTTTAGTTCCTTTCAATTGAAACATAAGATGTATGCACGTCCAAGATCAACCCTAAGACTCAATCAAAAAGGGAAATCTAAAACTTTGAGTTAGCTAACCGGACTGCTGACGTAATGTTTACCCCGTAGGAACAGTCGAGTTATGGAATATTCTGGTATCTGAGGTGAGCCATATGAATCCCGTATGGTGCTTGAAGGTAGCTAGTTATCTTCTATTAAATATATCCAACAAATCCCGATTGCGTCAACCAGCTTCCGAGTTCCTATGTCATGATACAGATTATTGCGAACTCAGATAACTGAATAAAAGGTATTCGTTTAAATTTTGTTCCGTACATATCTAAGGCGTCAATATGGAACAAAGTATTATCTTAATTTGTAGGAAGTAATCAAGGGAATAATAAAAATTAGACTATAAGGACACAAAATTAACCGTTTGTTTGACTCTCATGGGACCCTTATATTGTTAACCTGTTCAGAGCAAAAGAATATGATGGTTAGGAGCTGAATGTAACTTCCCAATGTGGCACTATTACGCGTTATATCTAAATAGGTCAAATGGGGATACAAAGGAACTTTAAATATAAAACAGAACTCAGAAGTACTTGAAATGTCTCCTATAGTGCTCAATGCCAGAATCCTAGGATGGAATTTTGGCATTATATTTTCATATTAAAGTTAAAGGAAACGCCCGGTAAGTTGTGATTACTATATGGGATGATTAATACTATCATCATATTCAGAGTAATAACTGTAACATTCCAACATTTCTAGCCTTCATTCTATACAGCCTCATATGAAGCGTTAGATACTTCTATTATCCTATGTAGGATAGCGTATATATCTATCTCAATAGTGCTACCATAATATACAGCACAAAGTTACTCAACAAATTGCGTAATATCAAGGTTGTTAAAAAATGAGTCTTTACCGGCCAAGAGGGATAATTCTGACTGTCTATGATCAGACCATTCGATCATCTGAATGCAGGAAGTCAGCTATTGGTAAAAACTTGAGCGAGCAAGCCGTAAAACCTCAAGTAATTGAAGGATTCATAAATGTAGACCATATACTTTTAAAAAGGGAAAGGAATTGCTGATGAGAAAAGAAAACTGTTCCGTCATCCGTGAATTAATGATAGGAGCCATTTAAAGCCAACACAAATCAAAGTTGGAGAAATCGAGACGGTGGCTGTCGCGTGGAAGAAGAGGGCTATGATTTATTGAATCACATAAATAAGAGCTAGCTATGGAGAAATCAAGACTAAAATTGAAATGAGTGGTGAGAATTTCATGCACAGACGAAAGTAATCGGAATGCGTAATCGAAGGTACCAAGAATGATTTTACAATCAAGGATTAGACAAACGTCATTGGTTTATGAAACATGCGACGATGCCATATGTATTCGGAGTTTGAAAACGCTCTTACACATGACACCTTTATAATCAAAGTACGCCAACCCATTCAAATCAGAAATCAGAAGTAAAATGGTTTGAAGATATATCGAGAAGCGTTTTGTTTAAGCTGGCTAACAGTTGCAAGAGATGCTTAGCACGGCGTATCCACTCGTAATCTGGTGCAGATTCGTGGTCAAGAGCCTTCAGCTGGTGTGCTCAGTAAAACTAATGTGGTCAGAATCAATGTCGGAAACTTACAGAACTATTTATTTTGGAAATTCACTTAACGCTATATGTATCTATCAAAGGATTTTCGCCCACTTAGACAAATTTATACAAACACATACTAGAAAGAACCTAAAGTTAAATCGTGTGGTCCTCTGATACCTGAGGTAGATCAGGCGGCCTCCTACGAGTTCTACAAGTAACAGCTTCCTGTCGTCTTAGAAAATTGTGATATATCACGCCTCCCTATAGCGTAAGGTTAATAGTCCCCATCTATCAGAGGTGAACTGGATTATAGAAACTGTATAAGCTACGCAAGTTTATAAGAAAGTTATACCATGCCGCTCACCCTAACCCAGTGACCAGGCAATCTTGTTACCATAACTCATCTAAAGAACAGATAGAACCTAACCATGTAAGTGATTTACTCAGATATGAAGAGGATGAAACTATGCTATGCGACCGATTGGGGCATGGGTCAGTCCCGCGATATGCATTGGTTAGCTCGTGTTAGTCGCACATGATTTTTATGCCTTTCATTAATTAATTAGTGCTGTGATCATTCTTTTAGGGAAGAGTACGTTCACTTGATAAGCATTTACATAGGGTTCCGAGTTGTTTCGTTTATTTTAAGAACTCAACACGAAAACCTAATGCCTCCCAAAAATGACTACTTTGTTTCATAAACCTGAACTCCTTTTGCCCGTCCGTAAATTATTGCCACTAATGAGAAGAAGCTCGTTTCGTGATGACTCGCTTGATTTTATTTACTGATATTTCGAAGCCACTTGAAACTCTTGTTGTCAAAGGTATGTTTACATAATGCCCATGGATGATTACCACTTTGGCATATCTGTCGTGAACTTGGCAGAAAGCAGTATCCCCAAACTTGCGAAATTACCAATATAGTGACTATCTAGGTTATACTTTAGAACTAGATAGTTTTTTGCAATATTTCATTCGCATCGGTTAAGCTCAAAATCCGTCCCAACAAAATGTGTTGGATTATTTTATGGATGGTTAAAATGTGATTAATGAACATTGATTAGGTACTAATCCTTCATACAATGGCTTCAGAAGCTTCGGAACGAAACGTTTACAGACCTAATCGACATCATCCAGAGATGTTTTTTATTTTGTGATCGAAAATGTTCAATCTTTCAAATATTATTTTGATACATAAACTTCAATGTATGATTTTCGAAGTTTGGAACAAGGGGGAACCTAACAAGCAAATTGAAACAGTGAGGATTCATTAAAGTAGTACAACATTGAATTAACTTATAGTTATAGGAAGCCTCACTAAATTTGCCCTGTTTGGAGAACACTTTTGACACATCTTATAGCAACTTACTTTACAGAGTAGATTTTGAATTGACAACTACAGTAGTCAAGAATATCTACTTAAACATAGGAGTATGAGGGAACTATTGGCAGTCACTATGATGTGAACTAGCTCACTAAAACTAACAACGATGCGACCTCATGTTGAAATTCGATCAGGCTAGTCGTTTTGAAGATGCCGCATGTATTCAAAGTTTGACAACGCTTTAACCAGCAACACCTAATATGAAGCGTACCTACCAAGCGAAATCAAAAGACAGAAGCGAGCAGGTTCGAAGATATTTTTGATAGGCTAACAATATATCGAGGATCGTCTGATCTAATCTGGCTAGCGATTGTAGTAGATGTTGAGCACGGAGTTCCGACACGTGATCTGGTGCGGATGCATGACCGAAAGCCTTCAGCTATATGAGTCAATTAAAACTAACGTGGTCAGCACCCAATGTCGAAAACTTACAGAGCTATTTATTTTGGGGGGTTTTTACCGCTACAATTTATTTGTTGCCATACGATTGATAGAATTCGTGTAAGGGTGTCGAGGTTGGAGCTCTTGGACACTATGTTTTACTTGACATTTAGACTAACTAGCCCGACGACTAGATAAGTATCATCTAATTGATTCGAGGTCCCAAGTTTTGGAGATTTTAAGTACTTTCACTCAAGATGCTGTGTTCTGTTCTCAGAAAAATGTTTGGGAGCTGACAAATTGTATTTTATGAAGACCTTCAGACTTCAACTTTACTATTCACTAATATCACCAAAAGAGTAGAGAGTTGATTTAGTAACGTAGTCTCACAGTTGAAATACCGCGACTTTATTCATTGCATTAGACATGAGGAAGAAACCAACTTTAAAGACATTTAATTTCTTATGTAAATTATATTACCACTTATAATTATGAACATCATTAACAATTTACTCATTTGAGAGTGGCAGATTTCACCATAGTGATACTAGCAGTGAAGTATCATAAATATTCGTGACTCACGTTAACTTATGGTTTTACTTCGTTACAGCCAGTTATTCTTTTGATTTGGTTGGTACACACAATTCCTGCCAATATTTTCAGAACACGGTGAGAAATACATTCAAGGTTCATTTAATCTTACACACTAACACTCCTCAATACATAAGAGCAGTCGAGGAAGTCTACTCCATGTGGCTTATTGGTCAACAACTGGGGGCATAATGATTCGTGCTAGCTCAATTCAAAATTGAATTTGTCGCGCACCTGCTCCCCGTGTCAGTGGGGCTTAGTAAGTCAATGGTCTTCGTTTGATTGGTTGACTAACCTTTAGTACAAGCATGTTCGATGTGGTTGTTATCGGTGCAGGTATATCTGGACTGGGAGCCGCCCACCTACTCACTCGTGAATCGTATAGTGTTCTAGTGTTGGAGGCACGCAGTCGTCCAGGTGGCCGAATACATAGCGTGCGCCTACCCTCATTATCAAGTAAGTTTTCTCGTATTGTTAACATCGCATAATTAAAGATTAATTAATACCTTAAGATTAAGTTTTCTTACATTTACAGAATTCGGTTTTCACAATATGAATAAGAATTTGGTTAATTAATTGTAATTAATAAACGACTAGGAACTTTAGTTATTAGACCATCATAGATAGAATCCAGAATACTTGCAGTTGTAATAAATAACAGTCTTGCTGATTACGCTTAAATCTAAATTTAAACTATGAGGTCCAGGCCTCAGTAATCAAAAATACAAATTAAACTTTTTTTTGTAGAAATACGTATGCAATTTATACATTGCTTGACACTTCATACGTGTGTAAAGAGAATTTTTTCTCGTAATAAATTTATCAAAAAAAAACTCAACTAAGCAGCAACATAAAAGGATCACATATGTTGGTACGTGATTGCACAAACATATGCGCCTAGCATGATAAATGATAACCAAAATCAGTCAAGTAGCAGTTATTTATTCTACATTAATGTTCTTAGTAACTGTCACTTCTGGTTTACTAATTACATTTTAACTGTGGATCTCAGTGGACAATTGTAGTGCTACGGGATACTTCGACGCATACCACGTATTTTCTTAGTAAACGATGCATTAACCAACTTAATTGTTCATTTTTTATGTGTAATATTTATGATTTCGAATGTAACCTTGCGAAGTTAGATTTTCGTCTCAAAATTGCGATCTTATTCTCTTTTTCTTCCACTACTAAATGTAAAGGTTCTTTTCATTTGCTAATAAGGGTGGGCATGGTCTTAAATAGAATCATTTCCATACTGTAACCTCTCTTGGTTTTACACTTCATTCTTTTTTAGATAGTATTAACTTGAAGAGGAGAATATCATCATTCAGCAAGTTAGCTAACCTACTAGTAGAGGTTTCATGAGTAAATGCAAGCATGGCTTAACCAATATGCGTTTTTTTTCCAGTTGCATTGCCAATATTTGTATTATTACTGTCATCAGTATTTCTACTGACAAATAAAAGGTTGGAGAACGTCTCTTCAGAAAATAGACATTATGCTTTGTCTGTGGAGTTTTCCGCAAATGACTTATTTTAGTTTAAAGGGAAAACGAAGACTTGTTAAAATTGTTTTAAGATACTCGTACTCAACCCACTAGGGTTACAGTCATTTTGGTACCGAAGTTAGGCTATGAGGTCTCCGTGTATTCCTGAAAGAATAGTTCATACGCCCTTTCCTACCTACCTTTGTTGGGATAACTGAGCGGCATTACTAACTTTCAAATAAATTGTGGTTGAAATTCAAGTAAATAAACCTATGCTTGGTGAGTTAAAGTTATAAGATCATACTATTTGTCATGTGAGTGTTAGGCAGACTGTCATTGTTCTCTTCATTTAGTTTTTGCATGCATATTAGAATTTGTCACTATTATTGCTCTTCGTTCCCCTTGCCTTTGTCTACATTCCTTTCATTCCACACAGTTTTAGCTTTTTCTCTAGACCTTCAACTCTACTCACTCTCTAAACCTAAGGTACATTTATTCTCCCGAAATAACACAATGCCTAATTATCCAGAATATGGAGTCTCTAGCTGGAGAATTAAATTGTTTTACTTGAGACTGAATTTCATCAGTCATCTGACCTCATCTAATCAGCGTGATAATTGTCTATTATGTGTAAGTCTGAAAATTCAATTAACAATGCTTGCGAGACCTACGGTCTGAATTATGGACAAATCGATTTTTTTGACATCTATGTATGTCTACAAGTAATTGTCGCTAAGATGGGAAGCATGGTGCATCCGAGTAATAGCTATAATTCTTACAGGTCACATAATGTACTGATGTATTATCTTTGTAATACAGCAATTAAAAACCCTACTAATGATTGGTCAGGATGTGCTTAAGTTAACAAAATTCATCAACCCGGCTTTATCTATTTATTTTATTTTATTTTTATTTTAACACATAAGTATAGGTACAGGGAGGCACCAAGTACATATGCGCCACACAAATCAATTTTGATTTGTGTGAGGGCTGTGATACTGCCCGGGTGCCCAAACCGAAGCAGGTGGTTTTCTTAGGGGGCCACACCCCGAGCCTTCGACCTGGACGTCTGACCCACAAGGCAGTGGAGCATCGTAAGGAGATGCAGTCCCATGGTAGCCGGTGACCAACGATTGGTTCATACGCCATTTGTTCCTTCAGGACACTGGAGCCCATGTGCACCATTAGTTTGGGGTCCGGTTAAAGCGCCGGAAATTCGCTTTTCGTCCTCTCATTTTTGTAAACAACACCCGTGGTGCGAGAAGGCAGTGAGTAGGACTTCCCTGGCAGAGGCTATACACGCATGGCCATGTGAGAGCATTTCGAGAGGGAGAGCGAACTCTCCCCACTCTCAGCCGTACCAGGGCATTTGGGGGCACCCGGCTTTATCTACAACTTGGGATTGTTTTTCGTGACATTTTTGCGTTTACTGCAGGTTACCAATCCTCAAAGTCATCGAAGCTTTACCAGCATATCATGCAACCATGATAGTATTAGTTAAAACTGGTTTATTATTCCCTCAATTACTGATAAATATTAGGAGCTTTCACAAAACATTTAATATATAGCGGGTTCGTCCCTGATATGTTCAATGGAACGAAATACCTCAGTTATTTAGTATTATGTGTGCTACCACAGTGCAACGTGACCCAGTTATCTATGCACTCAAGTTAGTTACAAGTTAACAAGATAAAAAAACACAATGTAGTTCTTTTATTGTTAGCCAGTTAATATTAATACTTCCTACAGCAAACTACGAGAACATATGCGCATTTAAGTAGTTATATCAATTGACATCCACCAGTTAGCTCGTTTGGCTTTTGCCAACTTACGTCATCTATGGCGAAGGCGAGATATCCGTCTATCAATTAACGGACGAGTATACTGCGCGGCAGTTCGTTCCGTTCTACTATACGGCTGCGAAACATAGCCTTTAAGAGTAAAAGATACTCGTAAGTTACTAGTATTTGACCACAGGTGTCTTAGAAATATTGCTCGCATCCTCTGAGATCACCGGGTAAGTAATAGTGAGGTTAGACTCAGGGTATTAGGGAATGATGGTAAATCAGTTGATGAGGTTATGAATCTTCATCGACTGTTGCATATGCCTGAACAACGATTACCACGACGCTCAATGCTAACCGGTGTTAGGGATGATTGGAAGAAAGTTAGGGCGGTCAAACCAAAATGCGGCATCAGTGCTTGACGTCACTAACTTCTAGTCTGAGCCATGTTGGTAGATGCAGACTACTTGGTTGGGGTTCGCGTGACTATCGTAACCAATGGTTGAAGACTTTTGGTGACATGGCTCAGAATTGATCACAATGGCGTTGGTGTATACACTCTCTGTCTTCCTTTAAACTAAGAGATTAAAATCGCTTCATATCTTTCTTTCTATGAACTAATTCTTTCTTCCTGTACTATCTCCTTATATGCAATCTTTCTTCTATATATTACCATCACTGAATTAACTACTTCTATGAATCCGGTGTTCATCTTGTTGTGCTAATGCGGTATGGCAACTTGGACCAATGCATATATGTGCCTGGTCCTACGTTGCAGCTGACTAACTGATCGATAGACTAGCCGTATTTATGGCATCTAGGTGAATTTTAAAGTTGTTTGGTGTCATCGTAACCAATGTTTTCAGCGTAAAAGCCGACAGTTTCCTTTAAGTGATTGCATGTACTACTGTTTTGTCTCAGACAGTCGATCCTAATACTCTGTATATCTCACATTTACTTGAACTTGTCCAGTGAAGAATACAGAATACATGTCCTAACCATCCAATCTAAACTTAAAAGTTTTCTGAGTTTTAGGTTTATTTGTCTGTCATCTGCCTGCTCATGTGATATATGCTTATAGTTTTACCATACGATTTATCTTATTTCGAGAGCTAATTTCAGCCTCAACATAGTTCGCTTAATGGTTCTACTACAGATTGACGATAAAGCCTAGCTTTTCTAATGCAAATTTTTATTTTGTTAATCTCCAATGACCATATTTGATAACCGTGAAACAGCAGCTCAAATTCGATCAATGATTAGTGGTCCGGTTTTTCATCGTTCTTATAATTAATGCGTTTTACAGAATATCAACGAAATGTTTCCCTGTTATGATTTCGCTGAGTTTACACCACTAGGATTAATACAGTTACTTAGGCAAGCGAACTTCAGTTACTCAACTAGTTCACTTTCTATGATCAGATAAGTTTTAGTTTCACACTTATCTTAAAGTAATCATTCCCATTCGGTAGATGCTGAAGTTGTGTCAGAAATTTTCAATTTGTTCTAATATATTCGTATATGTCTGGATTGACAACCTCAAATTCGTAGATATTGGTTCAAGGTGTTCTCAAAGTTCCTTTGTGATTGTCACAAGAGGATATTAGTCCTTTCTTACAAATTTGAACGATCAGCGATCGAGACCAGTCAGATAGGATTACATCCAATTCCAAAAGTCTAGCTAAGATGTTTGCCAATCTAACCGCTAAACTTGGAGCACCATCCTTAAAATTCTCAGGAGTTAATCTGTCGTGCCCTGCTGCTCTCCTTTACTTTAGATTGCTTATTGTCTCAACCTCAATAATAGTTAGAGGACTTACATTAATTCGCCATCCAGGTCATTCGAAATAGTGGGTAACTTAAGGCCAGTTGAACTGTTCTCTAGAGTGTTCTTCACGTAGATCAAATCTTCTGGATTGTGAATGATTAGTAGTCCTGTTTTTTCTCGGGACAGTCTCATTAACAGTAGTAATTTTAATACCTGTTCCCTTGATAAGTGAACGGTTGTCTACTGTTACATATCACTACTGCCTCTTCGAACTGTTCTGCTTTCGTTACCCACCACTGCTTACAATCATTGCATAGGCTTTTTTCAGTCTACGTTTAAGCTCTAACAGCACCCGAGATCATTCCAGCTGCAATTGCTTATATAGATGAGTGGTGAAATCCTAAAGGCCACTGAGCCATTATTCCATTCAGCACTATTACTATTGTGCTGCTCATGTATTCCTATCAGTAGTGGGCTCTACTGTTATTACTGTCGCAGTGTGTGTTAACTAATACTCGATTTCGAATTCGTTACTCTTCAAGTTAAATTTAGAGGTTTTGTACACTTCTGGTGTTTTTTCTCCTTGATCCCTAGCACCTGTTTCTAATGCCCAATCAAATATCAATCATGATAACCTCAGTACTTATCATTTCCATATTGATGAACAAAAACCTAATACGTCAGTACACGAATCATCCGATTCTGATAGTTCCATGTCATCTCGTTCTCCTCCATGTGGTCACCAATCATTTGATCGTCAATTAGATGAAATTAATTCGGATTATTCTGGTCCGATTGATGTAGATCTTGGCGCAAACTATTTAATTGGTTGTTCGAATCGACAAGCTGACCAACCATTATTTCATCTAGCTCGTATGCTACGAATTCCTACAGCTGTTACTGCTGGTGATTTATGCAAAAAATATCGCGGTTGGGAATGTGTAGAAATAGCCAAATGGCTTAATCATGTTACTCCTAACTCGCCGATAACTCCTGATCAAGTTGCTGATGGTGTATTTCTGTTTGATAAGGTTATTCATCTTACTGTTGATCGTTATATGAAAAAAAAATCTAAAACACAATATAATCATTCTGATACTACAGTCAAAGTAAGTATTTGATTCGTTCATCATACATGTTCTACTCATTGTTTAGCAATATAATGAATGGTTGAACATATATTAAGTTATTTGATAAACGCTATCATAGATTGTCATTATTATTATTAACTCATTGCCAAGTACAAATTCATGTCTTTGGCTTTCAGCCACCTTCTAAGTGTGAAAGTGAGTGATGCGACCCGGTCGGCTAAACCGAAGTAGATAAGGCGAAGTCTGAACCTGGTAATTAATGGCTAGAAGTCAAACGCCTTAATTACTGAATCACAGCTTGTGTTGGTAGTGAGATACAGGCTTTTATTCCTGTTAGGGCTGTGGCAGCTGAATAGTGTCACTTGCCTTCATACATATAGTGTGATTGGCTTCCAAGTACACGAATCGGAACCGGGTAATAAGTTTACCATTATAAACTGTGATAGATTGTTATTTGACTTGTCGATAATATGGCGTATTAATGAGATCAACCGGTTTTATCTTTATGTAAAAGCAGTGAATCATATCTAATGTATGGATAATTGAAAAAAAACAATTAATATTTGAGTCCTGAGCATTGCGATCTAATGTCCTAATCATGTCTTATGTTTGTACTCTGCTACTTTTATATATATTTCCTTCGCACTGCTGTTATTTATTTATTGATGTATCTATCATATAAATTTGAATGTGTCAAACACGAATGCCCTGGTACGGCCGAGAGGGAGGAGAGTCCTCTCCCTCTCCAAATGCTCTCACATGGCCACGTGTATATAGCCTCTGCCAGGGAAGTCCTACTCACTGCCTTCTCGCGGCAATTCTGTTGTTTACGAAATTGAGAGGACGAAAAGCGAATGTCCGGCAGTTTAACCGGGTTGCTGGACACGAAGAGTCCACCTAGGAGAGTTAGAAAACCCTGATTCCAAACTATTGCTGCACATGGGCTTCAGTACCCTGAGGGAACAAAGGGCGTACGAAGCAATCGTTGGTCACCGGCTACCATGAAACTGCATCTCCTTACGACGCCCCACTGCCTTGCGGATCACACCTTTAGGTCGAAGGCTCGGGGTGTGGCCTTCTAAAAAAACCACCTGTTCTGGTTTGAACACCCGGGCAGTATGACAGCCGAAATAAGATTTGTGTGGTGCATATGTATCTGTTGCCCCTTTGTACCAGTATTTGTGTTCAAATAAATAATAAATAAATAATGTTTTAGCTTAAATTTCAAGAATTAAGATTTCTTTTTTTCGATTAAAGGCATTGAAAACTAGATAACTTTTAACATTTTTGCAGAATTATGATATGTACTTTTCACTTTGGATAGTTAGTGTTAGAATCGTGTATTTTGACACTCATTTTTAGTGTTTGATTAGTTTTATAGATATTAATTGGTGGGGATGCAAAATCATTGATGAATCTCCTTTCATTGTTTGATGCTTTTACATTTTATGTTGTCACAACCTGTCTTGTTATATTTTTATATTTTTTTTTGAATTTTATTATCTATTTATACTTTTGCTGGTACAATCAATCAAGTAAGGATCGGAGTCAGACAAGGCTGTCTACTCTCCCCCTTCCTCTTTCTTCTGGTGGTTGACTGGATTATGCTCACCTCGACATCTGAGGGAAAACACGGAATACAATGGACAGCTCAGAACTAATTAGACGATTTAGACTTCACAGATGACCTAGCCCTCCTATCGCATACACACGAACAAAGGCAGATGAAGACAACTAGTGTAGCAGCAGCCTCTGCATCAGTGGGCCTCAACATACAAAAGGGGAAAACCAAGATCCTCAAATATAACACGGAAAACACTAACCCAATCACACTTAATGACGAAACTCTGGAAGACGTAGAATCCTTCACGTACCTGGCAAGCATCATCAATGAACAAGGGGGATCTAATGCAGATGTAAAGGAGAGGATTGGGAAAGCAAGGGCCACATTCCTACAGTTGAAGAACATATGGGACTCAAAACAACTTTCAACCAATATCAAAGTCACAATCTTCAATACGAACCTCAAGACAGTTCTATTATACAGATCTAAAACTACGATAACTATCACAGTTCTCATCAAAAGAGTACAAGTATTTATAAATAATTGTCTACACGAGATACTCATTATCCATTGTTGACCGGATGCCATCAGAAACAGTCTACTGTGAGAGAGAACAAACCAGCTTCCAACTGAAGAGGAAATTAGGAAAAGACGATGGAAATGGATAGGACATACATTACGAAAATCATCAAACTGCATCACGAGGCAAGCGCTAACTGGGAATCCTTAAGGGAAACGGAAAAGAGGAAGGCTGAAGAGCACAGTACGTCAGGAAATAGAATCAGATATGGAAAGGATGAATAACAACTAGAAAGAGCAGGAAAGGATTGCCCAGGACAGGGTTGGATAGAGAATGCTGGTTAGCGGTTTATGCTCCTTCACGAGGAGTAACAGGCTTAAGTAAGTAAGTGGCACACTCAATGATAGAGCTTAACCATATGCTAACGATCAAAACTAACAATGTTGACCCAACCTTACTCTACCAGAATATTTGTTGACTATTTCAACATTGGTTTCTCCTTTTTCATCCATTTGTTTGCTATTTTCTTTGAGGTTATATATATTTTATGCTTTCTGTCTGTCGTTCTATTCAATCTAGGAACTTTTTGATAAAGCTTTACAAGATATATTTGACACTGAAGCTCAATGTGGAATTCGTCCTTCTGCTAATTTTCGCGATCATATTGAAGAAGGCATATTCTTATCTATAGTTAGCCGTTATTTAGCATATGTAAATCCTATAGAACGCTTGCCATTATGCGTTTTAGATGATCTCTGTGAAGTGGCGGACTCGAAATGGCAATCAAATATTATCGGTGGAAAATCTAGCATAAATACTGGACAACATGGTTTAAATCAATCATCATTACTGACTCAACTTGTACAATCCTATCCTACATTTGATCAACGTAAAGCTTATCATGCTTGGGCAGAACGTAAATTAGACGCTTTAGAAAATAATGATAAGTCCTCTTTACCATCGATTGCTAAATGCGTATGTGTTAGCTGGGAGGATCGCCTAGTGACTAGTCGATTTAGTGACCTATTGAATCCATTGCTTAAATGTGTAAATATAATCTACAATGCTGTAGTTACGGAAATTGATTGGAGTAGAGCTGGTGATACTACCAATACTGCTAATAATAATATCAGCAATAATAACAATAGTATTAATAATAATGATACACACCATAATGGAATATTAATAAAGGCAATAGTGAAACGGGAATCCCATTTAACTCAAAATGGTGATGATAATAATTTGACACAGGATTCGTATGAAGAGCAGATATATGAAGCCAAACATTGTATTATTACTGTTCCAGTTGGTGTGCTAAAAGGTTAGTTGTGTTTTATTTTACATATAAATGGCACTAAGTACTTCGAAATGCTCGTTTGTTTCTTCTTAAATACTGTCTTTTTATAAAGAGACGTCAAAAACGTAACAAACGAGTTAGAAGGCTCCCCAAATGATGTCGTTAACCTTCAAGAACTAAAATGCTCCGATTGTATTGTGCCGTATTTTCACAGACTTTTTTGTGATACCAAAGGCAAATGAAAAAAATCAGTGGGTGTAGTGACTAGTGATGATTTATGTGTAATAGGAGATCCAAACATTCAGCCTAATACTGTCAGTAAGAAATGGGGTATAAATGAATACCCTGTAAGTTGGTCATTTATGATCAGCTCGGTGCTTGGAATTTAGTTCGCAGGTTTCGTTTCGTCGGCTGAATAGGCAAATTCATCGTAAATGAGTCTACAAGCAATATCGTCGCTTCTGTAAGAAGAGCCTGACATGAATTGCCTATACTTCATTGGACTTTAAGAACTTACAACTGGAAGATCGATTCAAACTTAATTAAAAGACTGAAGTGTTGGAGTTGTGCCTCAAATAGAACTATCTAGATACTAAATAGAGCATAACAGTGATATTTGTCTTAAGATAACCTAATGTAATCTTCATTTCACTCTACAGACAGTGGGTGAGGTTATTAGTAGATATCATTAAGAAGTTAAAAAAACATCAGTCAGTTTCGATAACTTCGAACAAACTAATGACCACTTGGAAACTCAAACTGACTATTGTCCACTACTGATCATGATTATTGCTTAGGCTCTTTATTTAGTAATAATTTAAGTTTTGTTTCTCAGTCTAAAGATCGAAAAGGCTGTGTTCACATTTATTAACAGTTATTGAGACTGTCGTAGAAAAAAGATTGATCAGTAGTTTCTCCTCGTAGAGTCAGACGAATAAAGCGGTTAGTTAGACATTTTAATGAACAGTTCAACTGGCCTGCATGTACTCTAGTTATCCACCATAATTTTGGTGAAGTTTTGTTTTCTGAGCTGCAAGATTTGGTCGTGGGGCTTTCATCATTCTTCTGATTATCATCAGCAAAGAGTTTAAGTAAAAGTGAATAGGGAATCCACATTTTTGGCTTAATCACTGGTAAAATCTAGGCTCCCAGTTTCAGATACAAAATATCTATTATTTTCTCTAGTGTCTCATCTCATTGATTCCTTCTTAGTGCACTACTGATTTAAAGTGTGGTTGTTTGAATTGATGCAAGATTGAGCCAGGTTTCGCATAGGTTTTTTGTATTTATCTTTTTGTTATGTGTCACTGAATGTGAAATCTGTTTTCAGCTTAAAACTGCCTGTATTCATTCTACATCAAATATAGTATTCATGTGTTGTTGTATGTGGTTAAGTAGTTCACTTTGACAGCTAACGTTTCGATAACCAACCTCAGTTGTTCTTGGAACCTACATTTGGTTTTCTCGTTACTCAGTTCAGTTCTAATGGGTCTTTTTAATGTGGCTTTTTTGCGTCCAGTGAGGCGCAAGCAGATGCGTGCTCGTATTAGGGCATGGTCGGAGTCCAAACAGGTACTCCAGAATGAGCGACAATCTTCTATTGACCCTCTCCAACGATGACTGATGGCAATATGGTCTATTTGAGTCGATCGTTGGTTTGGTGCAGGTGGTCGCCATGTTACACGATGTCTCTCCTTATGCTGAAAGTTTGTGTTTGCTAAAAATAAACGGTTGTCTGAGCACAGTTGCAGCAGACGATCACCATTATCTGTTCGCTGTGCCGGAATACTAAAATACCCACCTAAATGTCATTCTGTTTCGTTTAACCTACCTGCCTGGGCATTAAAGTCACCTGCTACGACTACTATGTCTGAACGTTTAGCTTTCTGAAGAAGTTCAGAGAGTTTTCTGTAAAATTCATCTTTCACTTCATCCGAGCTGCAGTCAGTGGGAGCGTAGGCAGAAACGACGAAAAGGCAACGACGTGTGTCCCTATCCTTCCGGGTTCTTACGGAGCCATTTAGCCGAACAGCGCATAGACGACTGTTAACGGGGATCCACTCTAATAGCGTTTGTTCCGCCCTCATGCTTAGTGCTATGCCTACACCTGCCAGTCCATGAGAACTAGCCATCGGGTCGCCAGATACACGGAGGGTGTATCTCGTCGGCTCTCCGTTTTGCCGAGGTGAGTTTAAGTGAATGACGACACTAGGATCCTGTATGCGTGTTTCGGAGACACAGCATACATCAATGGTACTAGATTCTAGGGTTTTAGCCAAGGAAGCTTGCTGACCGATTTGGCATAGTGTGCGTACGTTGGAGGCTCCAATGTGTAGTTTGGACCGAGGTTTCAGTAGATCTGGGACAGTGTTTTGCGCAGTAGAATCGTTGGCTATGGTGACACTTGAGGAGGAAACCAAAAGAGGAAGCTTAGATTTGAAAGTCGATGTAGGAAGAATAATTGGAATTGAAGAGGTTATGAATCTTCATCGACTAAGATGTTTGGGCCATGTTTTGCGTATGCCTGAACACCGATTACCACGACGCTCAATGCTAACCGGTGTTAGGGATGATTGGAAGAAAGTTAGGGCGGTCAAACCAAAATGCGGCATCAGTGCTTGACGTCACTAACTTCTAGTCTGAGCCATGTTGGTAGATGCAGACTACTTGGTTGGGGTTCGCGTGACTATCGTAACCAATGGTTGAAGACTTTTGGTGACATGGCTCAGAATTGATCACAATGGCGTTGGTGTATACACTCTCTGTCTTCCTTTAAACTAAGAGATTAAAATCGCTTCATATCTTTCTTTCTATGAACTAATTCTTTCTTCCTGTACTATCTCCTTATATGCAATCTTTCTTCTATATATTACCATCACTGAATTAACTACTTCTATGAATCCGGTGTTCATCTTGTTGTGCTAATGCGGTATGGCAACTTGGACCAATGCATATATGTGCCTGGTCCTACGTTGCAGCTGACTAACTGATCGATAGACTAGCCGTATTTATGGCATCTAGGTGAATTTTAAAGTTGTTTGGTGTCATCGTAACCAATGTTTTCAGCGTAAAAGCCGACAGTTTCCTTTAAGTGATTGCATGTACTACCGTTTTGTCTCAGACAGTCGATCCTAATACTCTGTATATCTCACATTTACTTGAACTTGTCCATTGAAGAATACAATTATTTATAAATACTTGCACTTCTTTGACAATGGTTATTGTAATTCTCGAAGTTTCAGCTGCACATATTCTTCAACTTTAGGAATATGTCCTTGCTTTACAAATGTTCGCCTTTACGTCTGTATCAGATTCTGCTCGTTCATCGGTATTGCTTCTCAAGTACGTAAAAGCTTCCACCTGTTCCGGAGCTTCTCCATCAAGTGTGATTAGGTTTTTGTTCTCTGTGTTGCATTTGAGGACTTCGCCTTTTCACTTGTGTATCTTGAGGCCTACTGACGCAGAGGCTTCTGTCACATTGGTTGTCTTGACCCGCATTTGTTGGTGTGTATGGGATAGAACAGCCAAGCCATCTACGAGGTTCTAATCGTCTAATTGCATCCAACCTGTCCATTGTATTCCGTGCTTCTCCTCAGATGCCGAGGTGTTCATAATCCAGTCGACCACCAAAAGAAAGAGGAAGGGGGAGATTAGACAGCCTTGTCTGACTCCGTTCCTCACTTGGAATGCATCTGTCAGCTGTCCTCCATGCACGACTTTGCACTGTAGTCCGTGGTATGAGTTCCGTATAATGTTGACAATCTTCTCAGGAGACTGAGTGACATCGCTCAGAATCGGTCACAATGGCGTCGGTGTATGCACTCTTTGTGTTCCTTTAAACTAAGAGATTAAAATCGCTTCATATCTTTCTTTCTACGAACTAGTTCTTTCTTCCCGTACTATATCCTTATATGCTATCTTTCTTTTATATATTACCACCATTGAACTACTTCTATGAATCTGGTGTTCGTCTTGTGCTAATGAGGTGTGGCAGCTTGGACTGATGCACATATATGTCTGGTCCTACGTTGTAGCTGACTGACTAATTGACGTTGCTGTCATTGGTTGGTGCATAACTTTGGATAACATTTATTGTGATTCCCTCCTTTTTTTGAAAGATGCTTTTATGATTCTGGATCCATGAGATTCCCATTTTATAATTGCTTTTTGTGCTTCTTTGGGCAGCATCAGGGAAAATCCTTGAGTATATGAAGCATTTTCTTCTTCGTGAACCAAATACAACGGCATCTCTCTTGAATCTACCCTATTCTGTTCAGCTTGGGGATTTTGTGTATCTTCTTCTTCTTCTTCTTCCTCCTCTTCTTCTTCTTCTTCCTCTTCTTCTTCTTCTTCTTCTTCTTCTTCTTCTTCTTATTATTATTATTATTATTATTATTATTATTATTATTATTATTATTATTAAACTTCTAGTTTGTTTAAGAAATATAAACGTTTCTCTCGTTTTCATTAAAATGATCGAAACTACCTGTTAGTAGTCTATGAGCGTAATGCCGTCATGGTATTATTTCTGCTTGACTTAAATATTCACTGTCGTGAAGTTATGCATTTATAATAATCAAGATAATAAATACTTTTACTCAATAATAATTGGATTCATGAGTCAATTAAAGCTAGACGACCACAGAAAACCTGGAGACACTGGACGGCTGTTTCGTTCTAGTATGGGACACCGCATCGGTGCCCATCCATGGTCCCGCTAATATGACTCGAACCCAGGACTCGCGAGCGAATTCTTAGCCTCTAGACCACTGAGCCTGCATCCAACAGTGTTAATGTCTAACACCAACCAATCCACAAAATCGCACCACCGTCCACAATTGTGTTCACTGTGTTAATATTTCACAACGGACTCGGTTGAACTCCGCTGGTCACGGCTTCTCACTAGAACTTTATGAAATACCAGTGCTTCCAGGTTTACCATGGTGGTCTAGCTTAAATTGACTCATAAATTCAGCTATTAACTTACTACAATCTCCACGAAACCCCTTTCGGATAATTACTTTTATTAGTTCACTATTTTTGCTTCGGAACCTTCTTATTGTCTCATAGGTCTTAATCCGTCTTCAACAATCACTTTCTATCCGGAATTACCATTGAACAAACGTCAGGCTATTGAACGTTTGGGAATGCCTAGTCAAGGTTCGGCTACACATGAAAAAGTAATTCTACGCTTTAAATATCCTGAACATGTGTTCTGGGATACTGGTGCAGCTCATCTCAAATGTCCTGATCCTCGTTTGCATATTCTAAATTTGCATCGTTATGGTAAGTGAACATTTCGGTTAGTCAATTTGTATTTGTCTTTAAATGTTATTTATCTATTGTTATCAATGTCTTTCGTTTGTAACATTCTAGGCTATCTGAAAGATTATTGATATCAGAATCGACTAATTTGTGTTCATTCTTATTTCTCTCCTGTATTTTCAGAAAAAGTTGAAATATTTTTCGCGATATCTATGATAGGTTGCTAATTTAGCAGTAGATGTTCCACGTTTTAATCATGTCATCATAACTATACATTAATGTATTATCTATATAAATTAGTCACTGGGTTACTAGCCAAAGTCATGTTACACGATCCTGTTATGACCATACACTATCAATAAGGTTAATAGTAAGTTCATAAAGATCAATATGCTGAAATTATCGTACATTTTATTCTCGATGTTAGACAGTTGTTAACAATTGTTAGGTAATGTTACTTGATTTATTGTTCATTACAGGGGTATATTTTTATGTTTTCTTAGAGAATCGAATTATTTTCTCTTAACGTTCTAGTCAGTGGAGCTGTGACTCAGTGGTGAATGCGTTTGACTTTCGTACACCACCCCACCTACTTCAGTTTAGGTAACCAGGTAGCATCATTAGAATTCAACTCGAAGCCAAGTACATGAATCCGTGCTTGGTAAACGTCTCATTTATGAGTGTTATCTAAATAAAATGTTACTCGTATACAGTAAAAGTAGTCAGAAGTGATTATATGCTATATTACCTTATGGTTATGGTGGTAACATGAACCTAACTTGTCCAAGGGAATCACGTAATGGGCTTTGATTCGTACGTCTTGTGTTCATCTACTTAAATTGAAACAAGTAGTATCGGAGTCTAGTGGTTGTTGCACTCGACTGGATCTTAAGTTCGAGCTCCTCCCTTTTAGAATAGTTCTTAGACAAAATGGGTTGATCTTCAAGATATATATGTTCGACGATAACTTGGTTTCGGTTCGGTAACTATTGGAAAACAGGGAAAAACGGGCAGTTGTTTTCTACTATAAGAGTCTCAACGGTGTATACGCAATACCAGCTACAGGTTGAAGCCAGGTCACATGGTAAACACGTTGCCTTAGGACTACTGATTCCAAACTCAGTAGCCCACATTTTTCATGCTTGAGTTGATAGTATATATGACTAAATAAACTTTCACATACATCATACTAATTTTTAAAAATACTAGATATTTTTATTCTTAAATAAGTATTATCCAATTTATTCAATTATCAGGCAAACCGGGTGTTTTATGCGCTCATTTATGGGGAGGATCTGGTCTCAATTCAGCTAATCGATCAGATAAAGAAATTGTGGATATCATATTAGATTTATTAGACTTAATGTACGGTGGAAAATACGAACCTAATTCTGAAGTATCAGGCCGTAAAATTCCCGACCCAGTGTATTATTTAGTGACCCGTTGGTCTGAAGATCCTTTTGCTCTAGGCGCTTATACTACCGGAGAGCCAGGTAGTTCCGATGCTGACCGGTTAGTCTATGCATTAAGTTTAACTGGTTTGGATGCCAAAAATCAGCGGAAAACTGAATTAGAAGAGGATGTGTTTATTGTTCACGATAATCTTAGTAGCAATAATGTGAACTTTACTACTGATAATGAGTTGACAATTCCACGTCTTCTGTTTGCTGGTGAAGGAACACTGACGGCGAAAGAAGCCAAGGTAAATTGTGTTTTGTTTTTTCCGTAAATTGAACGTGAAAACCAATAATTAAATAAATGTAGCTGACTATTATCGTACAGTTTTATTGTGTTACCGTTTATTCTATCAGGACAAATAATTTTTCCTATCCGAGGTCACATGAATAGAGTATGGCTTCGAGTTCATCAATATTTGATTAGAAACCAAACACCTAGATAAGTTTACAACAACTCTACATACGAAACATTAAACAGAAGTGTGTTGTGTTAAATCCCCATGTTTTGCAACAAATTGTATGTATCGGGTAAATCAAAATAAATGGACAGTGTGAATCGATAAAAGAGGGAAATCGATGGAGAATATGACTAATCAGAAGTATATGCATCTTTACCATTGAAATCTGTTCGAACCATTTCAGCGAGTCTTTACATTCGTCTTCAATTCAAATCAACTGTTAGTAATTAGTGCCATCTCTGAGTCTAGCAATCTATTTCTGCCATGATTATATATTTACCTAATAACTTAATGTGAATAATACAAGACACAATTGAGTTGGTCTGTGTAAACTCACATTCTCATTAACTGAGTTATCCTTCCTTCCTTGAAATACTGTACTTAAAAATATTACTGTTCATCTGGTGGCTCTACGACTCACGAGTACTGTTTCGAAAATATGAATGATCGAATAATTGTAATGTACACGTACATGCCTTATGTAGTTTCAAACTATCACCTAGAAAACTGCATAGTATGTACTTACTGTGTAAAATATTTAAAATTATATTTTACATACCTATGTGTTTGTTTTCTCCACCCTACGATACCTTTCTGCAAACCAAAAAAGCATTTTTATAATGGTAGTATGTTTTCGATTGTGTCACGCATACTAGTAATACAACCGAACAAGTTGTTTTGCTAAAATTATTATCAGACACCGCCAGTTTGTCGATCAAGTCAGTTACTATTTCCAATTATCGAACAGTTGTCATTTTGGGACCATCGAGTAAAAAATGCCTGGGTTAGGAATAGGTTACTAGGTATGGATGGCAAATCAATTGATGAGGTAGTGAATTTTCATACGTACGTACAGTTTCTACGTTATGACTGGCTGAGTTGATAACAATCTAATCGAACTTTAGATTATATATATTCAATCATATATATGACTGCAAAGCACTAGTATCTGTAGCTTTATTAATCACAATGGACAGGCCGAATTGTAATTTTAGAGAGTTAATTCTTTCTTCTTCCCTGTCTACAAGATTCTAAACGTATCTCGTTATAGAAAGTTAATATGTATAAAATCATGTTATAGAACAATCTAGTCTCCTAAACTTAACGTTCATATGATAATTTATTTTCTCATTCTCTATAACTTATTTATTTACATATCTAAATGGAAGCGTTCAATGCTTTATTTAACTGCAAGCCCCAAACTGTCTAGTGATATTGTTCGATTTCCAAATCGGTACTTCAACTGATATTTGTCGACAAGGAAAATTCTCTTCAAATTGTGAACTAATTCTCCACAAACTCGTCTAGTTCAACCTTTTTCTTAGTTTATTTGGGTGTTTTGTGGAGAATTATTTCACAATTTGAATGAAATTCTCATCACAGACGGGGTTCGAAAATCCCAATAGACTACGAAAAGGGTTTTTGAAAATTCTAGTGAGGAGTTGCGACTGATTAAGTCTAACTATATCGGTTTTGCAATCAATATGACTAAGTTAGGACAATGGTAAGTAGTCGCACTGTTTCGCTAATAGACTGAAACATATTAGCAGTGAACATTCACGACCCTGCTTCTAGAGGTTGAACCTAGGACCTCCAATCTCACACGCGAATGCTTTATTTCTAGACTATTGAGCCAACATCCAGTATTGTTAATGTTAAACTACAGGATCCTGGTTCAGTAACACAGAGGTAAGACGCTTGTACGCAATACTAAAGATCCTAGATTCGACCCCGGGATACTGAGTCGTATGTATTTGCTGCTGAGAGATTGGTTGAATTTAACGGTGTCTAGCCTTTTCAGTGTTATTTGGGGTAGATTCTCATCTGTGTATATATCTTCCTTGGTTGTAACCAATTAACTACTGTATAAAGTCTTGGAATCAGGACAGAAAACAGCTATTCATTACGTGCATCATGATTTCCAATATTTCTCCAGCTAATATATCATTCGGTAAAGTAAACCGAAATTCATTCTGTGTTGTATTATGTTTATGCTTTGTTCATTTATTTATTTTATACAATAAATCTATTTTTCATTGCTTAGGAATGTACTCATGGTGCTTTACAGACTGGAATTGCACGAGCTATTGAATTATTACCATATCTTATGAAATCTAAATCTACTATACCCGATCCATGTATAATACGTGATTTGGAAATTTTACGTTTACATGCACAATCGAATTTTTCCAGTTTCAGCACTAAACTGGCTAGTTATTTATTCGGTAAAGTACAATTAAATCGTTTATTAAATTGTAATATAGCAAATGGTAAACAATACCGTCGTGTAATTTTAACACGTTCTGCTGAACATACTGCTAAAATTCTATCACACCATACTACTAATAATGGTGATAATGATGAGAAAATAGACATCAAACTTGAAAATATCAATTATATGATTGCTAATAATACTCCATTCTCAAGATCACCATTTTATGGTTATCGTCGACGTTATCATCATTCATCTAAATCTTGTTGGAATACAGATAATGAAAATTGTAAATGTTGTTCATATGCTCATATTAGTAAACGTTCACGTCTTGCTGCTACTGGACGTAGAGGAAGAAGAGGGAGAGGGCGAACAAGGGGTTGTACAATTTACAATCAACGTGGTAATTTGAACGCACAAATCTCGCATAGTTTTATTGTGAAACGACCACGTGGAAGACCACCGAAACGACAAGGTCATGCTGCGTTGTATGCTATTTCCAGAGCACATGTAAGATTTGCATTTATTTCCTTATTTAAACACATAAACATTGGTACAAGGAGGCACCAAATAGATATGCTCCACATAAATCATTCGATTTGTGAGTGCGCTGTGATACTGCTTGGGTGCTCAGAACGAAGCAGGTAGTTTTTTTAGGGGGGCACACCCGGAGCCTTTGACCTAGAGGTCTAATCCACAAGGCAGTAGGGCAACGTCAGGTGATACAGTCCCATGGTAGCCGGTGACCAACGATTGGTTCATAATCCATTTGTTCCTTCAGGATACTGGAGCCCATGTACACCATTGGTTTGGAATCAGGGTTTTTCAACTACCCTAGGTGGACTCTTCGTGTCCACCAGCCCGGTTAAGGTGCCGGACATTCGCTTTTCGTCCTCTCATTGTTTACACTTATTCTGACATTGCAAGTTTTATTTGTTGTCATTGTTGCTTACGCCCGAAACAGTGATCTGTGCTCTTTATATGAGTTAAACGAGCAAAGAATTTGTGTAGATTTCTATTGATCTAACACAATTCGAGCAAAGAATTCACAAACGTTTTCTTCTATCATTTTGTTCTAATGTGATTATTTCAGTTTTGTGAGAATTTCCAATTAGGTTATTAAAACAACCAAGTCTTTGTCACTTTCTTCAGTTCTTTTAAACCTACGTTCAGTCAGTTATTTTTAATGTTAAAAACTCAGATAGGTATATATCTGTTTAATAGACATAAATAAAATCGAATATTGGTAATTTATTGAACAACACAACTTAAAATAAAGAGCAATAAAGAAGACAAACACAACTGCCCCAATGTAATCAATTCTTAGGTCATTTCATTGGTGGTATAATGGTTAAGGTGTTCGACTTACGACCACTTAGTCTCATGTTCGAACACCACTCCATCTACTTCGGTTTGGGCAACCGGGTAGTATCATTAATCCTCATACCTACAGTGTGGCTCATACCCAAGTATCTGGTCGATGAGTTAGTAAATAAAAGATAAATCCAATTTTTGTCAATGTGCATCATATTCATGCTGAATCCTACGTCATTGGCGTTGTTCATAACTGACTAGTTGTTACTTTTGTCCCTTCATTTCTTTTATAGCGTTATTTACGAAGAGTGTCATCATCTAGACTAGTGTATAATCGATATAGATTAGAATCTTCCAATTTATTAAATCAACCGGTTAACTCAGTATTACCACCCTCCACGTCACCAACATTGTCTGTACGAGGCAGAGGTCGGGGTCGAGGTGGTAAACGAGGTAGACCACGAATACACTTCCCTCGTACTTATGAATCTACTGGTACAAGTTGGGGTAATTATCTATCTGAAGAAGATAGACAAGAAAGTTTATTACAATTAAGTAATTTATTAAATGATCTTCACTCACCTACACAAAAATCTAAACATGTTTGTGTAACTATACCACAAGAATTGTGTTTAAATACTGAAATTATTCTTACTAATGGTGATACAACAACAGCAATATCAAAAGATGATGGAGTAGAAGAAGATGAAGAAGAACTCCTGTCTCGTATTGATGAAGATAATTCTGTTAATGACAATAATGGACATCGTTATGATTATTCAGTATGTGTAAAATTTGTTAGTTTAAAAATTTGTTCCGATGATTTGTTTTTTTCTCGTACTTTTTTAAATGCTCGTATCAGTCAGTCAGTCAGTCAGTAACAACGTAGAACTTCGTACGTACATACATCAGTTCGGGTTGTCATACCACATTAACATACAGATACAATTGTTGATTCAAGTCCCATAATGACAGAGGTAGCAATAGTATAAACAGTAATCGGAAAGATTAGGGTTTGAAGATATTATTCAAGGAATATAATCAAGTGAAATAAATTTAGGAAGAGAACAAGTAAAGGGACATGAATTCAGAAGATTACAATTTGGGAGAACACAAAGAATAGATGTACCTGTGCCATTGCAAATGATTTTGAGCCATGTCATTCAAGGTCTCTAACCATCGGTTGCTATCATCTCGCGTATCCTAATCAGGTAGTCTATACCTACCAATATGTCTCAGTTCACTTGTCGGTGACTTCATGGATTTATGCCATGTTTTGATTTGGCCGCCTCCTAGCTCTTATAAGGTTTACATGTTTATAAACTATTGTTCTTTAAATTTTAACTGAGGTTTCTTTCATAATTAACAGTAGAAACCAATGATTTAGTGATTAAAACTAGTGTTATTCAATTAGGTTTCATGAACTGTTCAGTCCACTTCGGTTTCGAACAGCCGCGGATTTTATTAATGTTCAGTTCAGTTCAGATTACACATAAATAAGATGGACATTTGGTAATGCGACTACGCGGTAATCACGTAGAGACTAGTGTACCAAATACATATGCGCCACACGAATCTCAATTGATTTGTGTGAGGGCTGTGATACTGCCCGGGTATTAGCTCTTAAAATAGTCAAGGAGTAATTGGGTCAATGTTTGAGTCATCTAATATCCAGCCATCAGAGTCATAGTTTCGAATCGCCGCTTCACTTGTTTTGGTGGCTTATGTAACCGGATATATATTACTGTGTTACACTTAGAGTGTTGTTCAAAGCAAAGCACACAAATTTGTATCTGTATGATGAGTGAATAATTAATCAAAATAATATGTGACTTGAATTTGGAATGATAAACTTGTGCAACTTTACAATTATTATTATTTAAGATTCATATATGTTATATGCAAATTGCGGGTGTTTGTATATGTACTCGTTTTTAAGCCATAATTCATTGTATGTCTGATTTCACCAACTGGTAAAACTTCTTGCTTTTTTATGAAATTCATCATCACTGGCGATGGTGGTGAGATATCAGATGAATAACAGCATAATTTCTGACAACTTACAGTGATATACTAAACAATGGAAGAGGAGGAGATGGAACAAATGAATATATTCATTTTATGAGAAATATTTTAATGAGAACTAACAGTGATTTTTTTCAAACCTTAATTTGTTTATGTATTGGATGGATAATGTGAGATTTCATTATGTGAATCATGGTGTAACCTAATAAATAAATTTTTCAACCTTAGTGTTAGCAAGACATTGATTGGATTAAAGCACATTCCATGTAGGATTGTATTGATGCACAATGATTGGCTCTTTCTTATCCAATCAGCGCTAGTCAATAGTTCTCATGTAAAAATTATATACTCTCGACCGTTGCTGCTACTTTGACGTGGTAGTCAGGTTTGCCTATCGCGATGAACCAATCGAGCTACACTGGCTGTAACAATCGTTCCTCAAGGTCCTACCATGTCAGACAGGTTGGTTGAAGAACGGTAAGACTAAAAGCAGCAAACCCGAGGTCTGAGGGCGAAGTCGCACTGCTGATTGTACAGAAGTCTCCGGAGGCAAGGTTTCAAGAAATACGGACCTAACAGGAAAATTATTCACAAAAAGGTCGTGCGTGACCGACCTCAAGCAGTTGTGCCTTGGGCACTGCGGTCACGCTCTCAGATCACTAAGTTCATCTCTAATCCAATTTCCTTCTTAGATACCTCCAGCAGAACTCTTCCATGGTGTGGGCCACCGGGAAGTGATAACCGCCATCATACCTCTAACAGCACTCAAGACCACTGTATTCACTGTTACTAGCTGTAGAGTGCTAACGTTTTTTTCATGTTGTACTTCTTACTTCCATCTATCCTTGTTATTTGAAATATAATTTCGTTCCTGTTCAACTGTGTTCTGATTTAGGTAATTGTTGAATGAATCGATGTCCAAGAATACTACTAAGCCATAGAAATAGCTGGGTAGTAATAATATATGAGAAATTATAACACTTAGTCTTTTTTTTTCTGTTTTAAAGACTAACATCAGATTTCCTAAGTAAAATATACTTAAGAGTTTCAATTGTAACAAGATAATTTTTCTTTTTTGTCGTGAGTTATACATTCTTATAATATTTCCTTTTTTTTCTTCAATTTATATAGGGTTTGTCACTGGAGAACAACCATGTGGATGTTATGCAATAGTAGAAGTAGTAGTAATAATAATCATAATTTGATGTATATATTATTATGTGTAAATGTGTGTATGCTCATATAAGAGTAGAGAACCTAAAATGTTTATCATTTTGTTCTCAGCAACGGTTGATATTTCTCTGCTGCTTTTTATCCATTTGTTCCATCTTTTTTTCTTGTTTTTTAAAGAAAAAAAGGATTCTTTTTATTGTTCTTCTTTTTTTGGTTCATTACTTATGTTCTATCACATTTCACATCAGTAAGTTTTCTTTTTGTGTGTATGATGATTTTCGATTGTTCAACAATTGATTGTCTTATTCTTTATGTATATTCATATGTTGTATGGTAAATGTATGTGTTTCTGTTGTTTTTCTTTTTCTTTATCTTCTTCCTTTTTCTTCATTTTTTGTACATATTTCTCTTTCTCAATGTATGTGTTTTAATCTTTATTTTTTTTACATTTTAAAAAGAGAATTAGTAAATAAAAGAATAAAAAGAAAAAGAAACTGTTTTATGTATAAATTACTTATGCAAATATGTGAACACATAAATATTAGTACACTAATATAAGTCATTTGATTTGTGAGTGGGCTGTGATACTTTTCGGGTGTTCAGGCCGAAACAGGTAGTTTTCTTAAGGGGCTGTGCCTCGAGCCTTCAACCTGAAGGTCTGATCTACAAGGTAGTGGGGCAATTTCAGGAGATGCGGTTTGATAGTAGTCGGTGACCAATAATTGGTTTATACGTTTTTTGTTCCTTCGGGATACTGGAGACCATGTGGGACATTGGTTTAGAATCAGGGTCTTCCAACTTCCCTTAGGTGGACCCTCCGTATCCGCGAGATATTTTCAATAGTATAAATGGATCGTACTGACATAATGAGCTCAGTGTTGAATAATTTTACGATATTTAAATTATTTAGCAACAATAATGATGTGGGATTCATTTGAGAGTATCTGTTCATCATTCACATGGTACAGATTAGAAAGTTATTAGAAAAGGTAAGAAATAATGGAATATTTGCTTGCTTAAATATCTAGGTAAACTATCTGTTAACTGTGTAAGTATTGTCAGAAAGGGGGTTTTGTGGGGATTGTAGTAATTTAATAGTTAAAATCATGAGTTGATTAAAGCCGGACGACCATGGAAAACCTGAAAGCACTAGATGGCCTTTTCGTCCTAGTATGGGGCTCTTCGGCAGTGCTACTATAATCTTCACAAGACCCCCTTTCTGATAATAATTATCATGTGCCCATTAGTGAATTTCGAGTAATTTATACTGTCTGGGCATTGACACCGTTAGATGCCAGCTCAATTGTTTAGAGGTCCTGGGCTCGAATCCCGCGGGGCGGGATCGTGAAGTCTTTCAGTAGGACAAATTGGCTCCCAGGTTTCCATGGTGGTCAAGCTTTATTCGACGTATTGTAGCAAAATCGTCCCGCTTTAGATTTTTTTAACTTTATATTAAGCGATTAATATACTCAGTTTGTTATGATCAATGTAGAGCGTGGCATGAATGTGTCAGCCAAAGTTGTGATACTATGTCGATCCGACGAGATGAGTTTAGTATGTTGTAACAACGCAATTGCAATGATGCTAGTATCAATGGTAATGAGAAAAACTAAATATGAAAGGATATATATATATTACAACGGAAGTTCTTTGTAAAGATAAGGAACTGATGTATCTATCCTACTGTGACCAGTACTAAGCTGTCACCTAACCACTAATGGTGGGACTCACGTAGTCTTCACCTTCCTACAAGTATCCGTCAATGATTTCATGAAGTGATGTCACTGTTTGTTTCTGAACATCCAACTTACTCTTATTCCACACGACGTCGAGATTTACGGCGGTTAGCCATATTTTGAAAGCTTATAATTTACTGTGGAGCGAAATAGTGCAAAATTCAAGTCAAACCATCACCAAAGTGACTAACATGTATTTCTCTTGGTATGTGCTTTATAGTAAATGTAGACGATCGTGATGGGATTCATGGATAGAATATATTTTACAATGCATGACAGTATTAGAACCCCTAAAACGCCTGCAAACCTTTGCTGAAGAAGATAAGTTACAGTTATCATTCATCGAATAAATTTCATATCTACTTTTTAATCCCCACAAGTCACAAACAATTGGATAATTTGTTGCCACGTTACATATTTGTGCTGTAATCAAACATAAGGTACTGAATACTGATTGCTACGTTTCTTTAATATTGAGACTTCAAATGAATTCAAACATAGCGGCAAATTAACTGGCATTTCATTGCCGCATTCTATAAATCCAGTCAGAAATCCTCACAGAAAATCATTTTTTATTAGCTACGGTTTCTACAAACCTGAGATTACCCATTTTAAGGTTTCTACTTGGGAATTTGAAAACTGTTTTAATGTTATGACTATAAAAGAACATAGTTGTCTACTTCACTCATCTACCTAAGATTGATGTTCCAACTACCATCTTCAAGTGCATAGCTCGATATTACTCTTTTAAATATAATTGTTAAATGGTAAACGAAATGTGAAGTGCATTACCATTTATGCAATATGGAAGGGTAATTTTAATTCTCACGGTAGGTATAGATGTGTGATTAGTGAGTATGTTCTCCCAAAGAAACATAACCAAGAAAGATCAATTAAAAAATGTCACTAAACTACATTACACAAGTACTCAAGCCGTTGCTACACGTTTGTAGAGAAAATGTGGTTCATTAGCTTAGTGACCACATGCTTTAATATGGAACTGTATATAGTTCGAATCACAGTAGAGATACCAATCTGTCGAAATTCTAGTAAATGGATAGTATGACAGCTTTTGAGTTGCACCACATAACATCTTAAATGATTGATTCTATTTTTTTTTTTATCTTTTTGATTTCAGTCACAAAGTTTGCAACATTGATTAGTCGAATTCAGTACAATAGTCAGTGACCTCATAAGCAGATGCTGCAGTATCTTAAAATGACAGTTTGGAATATACTTCCAGTCTACTTATTCTTATGCACAGTGTATCGAGATTGGCAGCGTTTATATATGTTAAATACAAGAGCGATCACCTGAACGCATGAAAGTCCGTAGCTCTACCAACCACTTCACTATCATTACTTATTACTTTGTATTTAATCTTAGCCACTGATCATTCGATAATTCCATTAAGTACAAGTGTTATGCTTCAAAAGTGTCTGGTGAAAAATAAGATTAACAATCAAGCACAAGTCTATTTACGATGGGGCATTTTTCACATTCGTCAAGTAATGTATAATATCATCACATTGTGTTCAAGTACACATTCAGTATAGAATATGGATTTATTTTCCTGGATCATATTGCATGGCGTTAGGGACTACTGGGATCTACTTCTTTATTCTTTCAAAGAAAAAGTTGTGATCAAGGCGGCCGGACGGAGTTTTCTCACTTCATATAGCAATAATAAAGTCGACCTTAACTGTGAGGACAGCCCCCAGGTAAACTTAACGAAACTCAGAAAGAGGAGACATTTCATACAATTATCTTTTGGAAGAACATTCCCGGATCTTAATGTGTACCTTCCCCATTGAACAAATGCTAAAAAGCACTATATACGGATTGAATGACTGTAATAATGATTTCTTGTTTACTAAAAACTGTAAATACCTGAGTGCTTTGTACCATAATTAACATTGCTAGGAATAATATTCCCTCTCATTCGTCTTCTATCTTCTAACTTGAGACTTGAAGGGTTCTAGTTTTCGAGTACCCAAGTAGTACACAAGAATATAAGTCAGTCAGCTACAATGTAGGACCAGACATATATGTGCATCGGTCCAAGTTGCCAAACCTCATTAGCACAACAAGATGAACATAGAATTCATAGAAGTAGTTAATTCAATGGTAGTAATATATAGAAGAAAGATTGTGTATAAGGATATAGTACAGGAAGAAAGAATTAGTTCGTAGAAAGTAAGATATAAAGCAATTTTAATCTCATAGTTTAAGGGAAGACAGAGAGTGTATACACCGACGCCAATGTGATCGATTTTGAACCATGTCACCAAGAGTCTCCAACCATTTAGTTACGATAGTCAAACGGACCCCAACCAAGTAGTCTACATCTACTAACATGGGTTAGACTAGACGTTAGTAAGACTTCAAGATATAACATTAACGAAGAATGAATAAGATGATACAATAGAACGTATGTGTATTTATCAATCAATAGACAAACACATATTTATATCAGATGGGTTTTGTGGATAATATGGTAATTTCAATGGTTAAGATCATGAGTCAGTTGAAGCTAGACCACCATGGAAAACCTGGAAGCACTGGATGGCCGTTTCGTCCTATTGTGGGACTCCTCAGCAATGCGCATCCACGACTTCGACCCCTGCGAGATTCCAACCCAGGACCTATCAGTTTCGCGCGTGAGCGCTTAACCACTAAACCACTGAGCCGGTATCCAACGGTGTTAATGTCTCACAGAGGGCGAGGTCATGAATGCGCACTGCTGAGAAGTCCCATAGTAGGACGAAACGGCCGTCCAACGCTTCCAGGTTTTCCATTGTGGTCTAGCTTCAATCGACTCATGATCTTAACCATTGAAAAATATTTTTTTTCAAAAAAAAATTTTCAAATAAATAAAGTCCTTTGAAATAAAAATCTTTAAGATCATTATAAACAACCATCATGTAAAAATAAATACATAGTTGTATGTATCATTATATATCAAACCAATGTACAATAGAATGTTTATATAATTCACTATTTGAATAAAATGAATAATTATCGTCATTTAGTTGATCTATAGTAGTAAATGATTGTATAGATTTAGGACCAAAATGATATAAACAACCTGTTTGAACAGTGACATATAGTCCCTGACATAAAATTTCCCCTAAATCTTTTGAATTTGTATGATAATTCACATTATTAGTAGTATTCAACAATGGTCCGAAGCAAACTGATGTTATACGTGCATTTTCATCATAATCTGGAAGCTATTAAAGGGAATAACAAAAAAGAAAACAAACATAAACAAGAATCAATAATAAAATCAGAGTTCAAATAAAAGTTAATTATTGTTTTGAATGTATACCAGAATATAAACAATGTTATTAATTGAGAGTTTTTATTATTAGTTGTATAGGCATTGGTAAAACTCCTAAATATCCTGGTATTGCTGAGAGTGGAGAGTCAGCTCTCCCTCTCAAAATACTCTCATATGGCAATGTGCATACAGACACTGACAGAGGAGTTCTATTCATTTAATTCTCAGGGTGTGTGTGTGGGGGTTTGTTTACGAAATTGAGAGGATGAAAAGCATACAAGATCCTAGTGTCGTCATTCACTTAAACTCACCTCGGCAAAACGGAGAGCCGACGAGATACACCCTCCGTGTATCTGGCGACCCGATGGCTAGTTCTCATGGACTGGCAGGTGTAGGCATAGCACTAAGCATGAGGGCGGAACAAACGCTATTAGAGTGGATCCCCGTTAACAGTCGTCTATGCGCTGTTCGGCTAAATGGCTCCGTAAGAACCCGGAAGGATAGGGACACACGTCGTTGCCTTTTCGTCGTTTCTGCCTACGCTCCCACTGACTGCAGCTCGGATGAAGTGAAAGATGAATTTTACAGAAAACTCTCTGAACTTCTTCAGAAAGCTAAACGTTCAGACATAGTAGTCGTAGCAGGTGACTTTAATGCCCAGGCAGGTAGGTTAAACGAAACAGAATGACATTTAGGTGGGTATTTTAGTATTCCGGCACAGCGAACAGATAATGGTGATCGTCTGCTGCAACTGTGCTCAGACAACCGTTTATTTTTAGCAAACACAAACTTTCAGCATAAGGAGAGACATCGTGTAACATGGCGACCACCTGCACCAAACCAACGATCGACTCAAATAGACCATATTGCCATCAGTCATCGTTGGAGAGGGTCAATAGAAGATTGTCGCTCATTCTGGAGTACCTGTTTGGACTCCGACCATGCCCTAATACGAGCACGCATCTGCTTGCGCCTCACTGGACGCAAAAAAGCCACACAAAAAAGACTCATTAGAACCGAATTGAGTAATGAGAAAACCAAAAGTAGGTTCCAGGAACAACTGAGCTCACACTTAGGTAGTCCTGAAAACGAGGCTGACCCAGATGTTAATTGGAAAGACATACAAGCAGCTGTGGAAACAGCAGTGACATCTATTAGTGATTTAAACCACAGGGTTACAAAGAACCAATGGATTTCTTCAAGGTCTATTGCACTGATAGATTCTCGTAAACTCATCCCATCAGGTTCTGAACACGATGAAGAGCGTAAACAAATCAGATCTAGGTTAAGCAAAAGTCTAAGGAACGATCGTGAGCAGTGGTGGGTAACGAAAGCAAAAGAGATGGAAAAGGCGGCGGCTATAGGGAACACAAGACAACTCTACAGACTAATAAAAGAAACTGGAATTAATAAGTCAAGTGTAAGTCAGACTATTTCGGAAAAAACGACACTCATCTGCTCCCAGTCCAGACGTTTAGAACGATGGGCGGAACATTTTAAGGAGCAGTTCAGTTGGCCTTCAGCTACTCTACAACTACCCTCTATTCCCAGACAGTATGAATGGAACATTGAAGTAGGTCCCCCAAATCTAGCTGAAGTTCAAAAGACTATAGCTAATCTGAAACGTGGAAGGGCAGCTTGTCCAGACGGATTGGCCCCAGAGGTCTTTAAGGATGGTGGTCTAGTTTCAGCGATTAGGTTGACTAATATTTTAGCTAAAATCTGGGAGTTAGACGTTATCCCATCTAACTGGTCACAATCACTTATCGTCCCAATATTTAAGAAAGGGTCAAAATCATCCTGTGACAACCACAGAGGGATTAGTTTAACTAATATAGTATCTAAAATACTAGACTCGATAATTTTCGGACGCCTAAGACTCACGAGCTGCAAATACGTGAAAATCAGGCTGGCTTCAGACCTGGTCGTGGCTGCATCGACCACATATTCACCACTCGTCAGGTTCTAAAACACAGGCATACTTATCGGCGTCCGACAATAGTGGTCTTCCTTGATTTAAAAGCAGCGTTTGACTCTGTTGACCGAGAGGTTCTGTGGCAGTGTCTGTCATTGAAAGGCGTACCTCAGAAGTACATAAACCTTGTGAAGGCTCTTTACTCGAATACTACTAGTCGAGTCAGAGCTTATGGCGAACTGTCATCTGCTTTCGCAACCTCAAGTGGCGTCCTCCAAGGCTGTCCACTTTCTCCAATTTTGTTCAACTTCATCATAGATCTACTGATGGAAATAACGCTCTCATCTACTGAATTCTCGGGCGTCGATCTCCTACCAGGAGGTCCACTTATTGACTTAGAATACGCAGAAGACATAGTCCTGTTTGGTGAAGACGCTGATGAAATGCAGAGTCTTTTGGTAGCACTGAGCAACAATGCCAGAATGTTTGGGATGCGCTTCTCTCCCTCTAAATGCAAACTGTTGCTTCAGGACTTGTCTGCATCAACACCTGAACTAAGGATAGGGGGTGAAGTAGTCGAACGCATCGACAACTTCACTTATCTTGGAAGTCTGATCAGCCCTAATGGGTTGGTGTCTGACGAAATCTCAGCACGGATTCGAAAAGCTCGCTTGGCCTTTGCCAACTTACGTCATCTATGGCGAAGGCGAGATATCCGTCTATCAATTAACGGACGAGTATACTGCGCGGCAGTTCGTTCCGTTCTACTATACGGCTGCGAAACATAGCCTTTAAGAGTAAAAGATACTCGTAAGTTACTAGTATTTGACCACAGGTGTCTTAGAAATATTGCTCGCATCCTCTGAGATCACCGGGTAAGTAATAGTGAGGTTAGACTCAGGGTATTAGGGAATGATGGTAAATCAGTTGATGAGGTTATGAATCTTCATCGACTAAGATGTTTGGGCCATGTTTTGCGTATGCCTGAACACCGATTACCACGACGCTCAATGCTAACCGGTGTTAGGGATGATTGGAAGAAAGTTAGGGCGGTCAAACCAAAATGCGGCATCAGTGCTTGACGTCACTAACTTCTAGTCTGAGCCATGTTGGTAGATGCAGACTACTTGGTTGGGGTTCGCGTGACTATCGTAACCAATGGTTGAAGACTCTTGGTGACATGGCTCAGAATTGATCACAATGGCGTTGGTGTATACACTCTCTGTCTTCCTTTAAACTAAGAGATTAAAATCGCTTCATATCTTTCTTTCTATGAACTAATTCTTTCTTTCTGTACTATCTCCTTATATGCAATCTTTCTTTTATATATTACCACCACTGAATTAACCACTTCTATGAATCCGGTGTTCATCTTGTTGTGCTAATGCGGTATGGCAACTTGGACCAATGCATATATGTGCCTGGTCCTACGTTGCAGCTGACTGAATGTTCGGTATTTCATTTTGCCAGTTTCCTCTTTAACGGTATTAATCTGACGTGTTAGATATGACTAAGCACCGAACTAGTGTTTGTTCGATCACCGCACTATGCTTGTGTGCACGACATGCAGGCGGATGGTAGTGAGCACACACACAAGATACTCAGCTACATGGGACACTGATTGTAAACCTGAGGTTGATGTTGTGTTGTGTACTAAAATCTGTGCTCCGGGAGAGGCTCGAACTCTGAACCTCCGCATTATAAGTACGGAGCTCTAACCAAATAAGATGTAACCAACCTTCATAGGCACCCATTTCTGCTATATCTTACGTTGCCTTTCTTGTTTTCAGTAACACCTTAAATGAAATTAATCTGTGAAAAACATACCCAACTGTTCTGCGAAATATTTAATTATAAAGTATTTGTTTAACACTATACATGTTAAAACAAAGTCAGTTAAAATGATAAATATCACTAGTTTTATTTTATTTGAACACATAAATATTGGTACAAGAGGGCACCAAATATATATGCGCCACACAAAACAATGAGAATTCAAAGAGAAGGGAAAAAAAGAAATAATAATGGAGGAAACGATAGGGTATAATCCGAAGAAATCTTTCAGTTAAGGAAGAAACCACTTTTATGAAGAAAGTAAAAGAAGGTTACAGCAGGATCGCCATTGGCTTCTATTCTGAGCCATATCTGATAACGTCTCTAGCCACTGTGTTACACCATCTCTCGGACCCCAGCCAGGGAGTCGTGAAGGAACAACACAAGCCAGCCCTTTGCAGCTTTCCTTCATACCACGACACCATGTCGTACACTGACAACCTCTCCACTTTTCCCAACCAGTCCCAGCGTCGGCAAACAATAGACGACGTGGAATTCTCTGGGACGACATTCGTAGAACATGTTCGAGCCACCGAAGTCGGTGTTTCAAGATGGTGACACTAATTGCATTATCGTCACTGTGCCCGAACACACGATGCCGAACTTCTGAATTACTAACATGGTGTTGCCACTGGATGTCAGCAATCCTTCGGAGACAACGATGATCGAACACAGAGAGTCGTCTAACGTCCTCAACTCGGAGAGGCCAGGTTTCACAAGCATAGAACAAAACTGCTCTCATCAACGCGTTGTAGATCCTACTTTTTACAGTCAGACTAACATCACGAAGGCGCCAAAAATGGCCCAGATTGGCATAAGCCGCTCTAGCTTTCACTATACGTGCATTTATTTCATCACTCACACCACCACCAGCACTTATGCAGCTACCTAGATACACGAACTTCTCGACTACTTCTATCTCCTCACCATCCAGGGTAAGTACAGGATTAGAATCCTGCCAATCTTTTAGAAGTACTTTGCACTTCGAAGGTGCAAAGCACATACCATACCTATGGACACTGATTGCCAACTGATTAAGTGCGGATTGCATGGCTTGGGCATTCTCGTACAGTAAGACAATATCATCCGCATACTCAAGGTCGAGGAGTCTTTCTCCAGGCAACAGATCCACACCACCATTACTTACATCCATCAGAGCTGTTTCCAGAATGTCATCGATGGCAAAGTTGAAGAGGAATGGTGAGACTGGGCAACCCTGTCTAACCCCACTGCTTGAATGGAACAATGGAGAAAGGTGGTTGTATGCCCTCACTCTGCCTGAGGTGTTTATATTATAGGGCCTATATGATGTTAATAAACTTATCAGACACACTCTTCTTCAATAGACAATCCCAGAGAACAGTTCTGTCCAACGAATCGAAGACAGCCCTGATATCAAGAAACACTACGATTGTTGGCTTTTGATAAGTATGGCGGTGTCTTAACATTTGGCGGAGGGTGAAGATATGATCAATACATCCTCGACCGGAACGAAACCCAGCCTGCTCCTCGCGAGTCAATCTTTCTCGGGTTTTGAACAACCTACGAAGTATAACGGAAGCCAATAGCTTGGACGCAATAGGAAGTAGACTTATCCCCCGATAGTTGTTACAGGAACGACGTGAACCCTTTTTTAAGATATGGACAACTATCGACTCATTCCATGACGTTGGTACACCCTCTCGCTCCCAAACCTTTGTAAACAATGTCGTCAGCTCCTTAGCCAGAAAGTCACCACCATCTTTAAAAAGAGCCGGAGGTAAGTCGTCTGCGCCTGATGATTTGTAACGTTTCAAGAGTTGGAGTTGCTTGCGGACTTCTGCCTCATTTGCCCCCAAACGCCCTGGTACGGCCGAGAGAGGGTAGCGTCCGCTCTCCCTCTCGAAATGCTCTCACATGGCCGGGGAAGTCCTACTCACTGCCTTCACATAGCGGAAGTGTCATTAACGAAAATGAGAGGACGAAAAGCAAATGTCTGGCGCTATAACCGGATCCCAAAAACAATGGTGCACATGGGCTCCAGTATCCTGCGGGAACAAATGGCATATGAACCAATCGTTGGTCACCGGCTACCATGGGACTGCATCTCTTTACGATGCTCCACTGCCTTGCGGGTCAGACATTTAGGTCAAAGGGTCGGAGTGTGGCCCCCTAGGAAAACCACCTGTTTCGGTCTGGGCACCCGGGCAGTATCACAGCCCTCACACATATCAATTGAAATCTGTGTGGCGCATATGTATTTGGAGCCTCCTTGTACCAATATTTGTGTGTTCAAATAAATAAATAAATAATAAATCCGCCTCATTTGGTGGATCAGTCGTCACCGGCCATGGAGGGCAGGACAGTCTGACCGATGTTGCCGGAGTAGCAGGCCAGTTGAACTGCCCTTCGAAAAATCCTGCCCATCGTCCAAGACGTCGATGGATGTTAGTGATTGGCGTTCCGTGATCTTCGCAGATTGTTTCGCTCACACCAGACTTCTTGCTGCCAGTGGCTCGGATGAGTTGGAAGAGCTTCCGGTAATTACCAGATGCAGCTGCTGCTTCCAGCTCATTAGCACACTCCGACCACCAGGCTTCTCGGTCCTTACGCAAGCTTTGCCCGATTTCATTACGTAACATCCTTCGTTTGTGGTCAAACTCACGGTCACCCGGAGAAGACCGACGGGCTTCAATGAGTTGTAAGGAACTAGAAGAAACCCAGTGCTTGTAAGCGGGACGTTTCGCGAACCCACAACAGACTGTACCCGCCATTTTCATTGCGTCATGCAATCGCAACCAATGCTCATCTATGCTTTTCGGTGGAATGGTAACTAGCCTAGAAGCTAGCTCGGTTCGGTACCTACTAGCAACAGAATTTGCATCCAGCTTGCTAACATCAATCCTTTGGTGGCGGTCACGTTGTTGCCCACTGAAAAGTAAGGTAAGATTGGCGCAGACCAGAGCATGATCAGATTCCAGATAGGTACTCCAAAAGGAGCGGCAGTCTTGTACACAACCGCGCCAGCGGTAGCTGATCGCGATGTGATCAATCTGAGTCCAGGCTTCAGATGCAGAAGGAGGACGCAAGGTGGCACATCGGCGATGACTGTGCCGAAAGTTAGTGCTAGCCAGAAACAGGTTGTGGTCTGTGCATAGTTGCAGTAGACGTTCCCCGTTATCTGTCCTGCGACCAACAAGTCCCCATCGGCCACGTAAACGACTCCCTTCAGTGCCTAGACACCCGACCTGAGCATTCAAGTCTCCAGCTAGTACTACAATATCTGTCGAACACTGCTCGGGTGCCCAGACCGAAGCAGGAATATCACTAGTGAATATTTATATACGACAATGATGTTCAAATTGATAACAAAATATACCGCTGAGGAGTCCCACAATAGGACGAAACGGTCGTTCAGCGTTTCCAGGTTTTCCATGATGGTTTAGTTCCACTTGACATATAATCTGAACTACTGAAATTACTATAATTTTGAAAAAACATCACTTTCTGATATTAATAAAATAGACCAGAAAGAAACTCAAGGAATCAATAAATATTCTAATGATAAACTAAAATTAACTTGATTAGAAGATCGATAATTTTGAACATAGATACAGGTCAATAGGTTGAAAAAATGATTGTATCTTTGGTAACGTTTGAATTAATAGTTTTCATTTAATTACTCTGTGTAGTAGATCTATGTTTTAATCAAATCTAAATTCTTTTAGAAGATAATGTGTAATAATCAGCAATTGAACTGTATTTGAGACATCATTAGTTGTTGATTAAGTTCCAACACAGTTCATTCAGTTTGTACAACGTTCTTTTGGCTACATATGGATTACTATTAGGACCATGTTTTAGTTCAGTCTTCTTTTTGATATCAATCAAGATTGTTCTACGTGAGTAATACAGAAGCCCGGGCTAGAAATTAAAATCGATGCTTTAACTTTTGAATTTCAAAATACGGGTTGTTTTTATGGTCAATGATGGGATTTAGAATCGTCTCAGACTGATATTATCAGTAAACGAAGTTAACAGTTTTACTTTCGAGTATATGAGAGAATAGATAATTGTTGATTGAGTTCCAAAATCTTCCTCGTCAAAATCCTCAAAGGCTCAGAAACTCCAGTAAACGTCTTATCCAATCCACGTTGATTAGAAACTTCTCAAAAAAGCCCAGAAAGTACTAAACTACATCTCACGGTTTTGACTGAATATTTACCTATACTGTTATTGTATTTGTTATGGTTCCAGGAATTTCCGGGATCTCAAGGTCGTATATAACTTTATAAATACTGTGTTTTTCTGTACATGAACTAACCTTGGAGTAAAAAGTGTGCTCACAATTCGCACCTTCTCTCCGTTGTTCCGGTTGAAGTGTGGAAATACTTGGCATTATGGAGACCAGTTAAAAAGACAGGTTGAATGTATCAGTAGCAAGACTTAACAATAATGTTATGGTTGATTAGTGAACAAGCTATAAATATACATGAGGAATTTTAGAAAAAAGAAATTATCAGTTCTTTGCCATAGAGACTGGATACTGCAACATTCACTGGACGGCCGTTTCGTCCTATTGTGGGACTCCTCAAAAGTGTGCATCCACGATCCTGCCCGTGGGATTCTAACAAAGGGCCTTCAGTCTCACTCGCGAGCGCTTAACCTCTAGACGACTGAGTTGACCGACATCCAACGGTGTTAATGCCTAACCTCAACCAATCCACAAAGTTGCGCGACTATCTTCCATTGCACTGAGGTAGATACTTGTGTTTATCCGACACGGATTAGCTCCACTGGTCGTGGATGAGCAGAAGAGTCCCGTAACAGGACGAAAGGACCGTCTAGTGCTTCCAGGTTTTTAATGATGGTCTAACATCAATCGGTTCAAGATCTCAATCAATAACTTAATAACCTCCACAACCCTATACTGAAAATAGAAATCTAACACAAAAATTAATTGAAAAATTGAATCATAAAAATGTGAATGAATATAGTTCACATATATAGACACTTACCATATACGTTCGTATTGTATCCAATGTCCATGAATTCAACCAAATTAATCGACCACCTGGACCACCAACTAATAAACAATTCACACCTCGACCTTCAGATACAGTTGAAAATGCCATAGGAACTAAAGGATGATAATTATCATCATATATTTGTAATAATGGTGAATCTATTAGTGGATCATTTATTTCAGCTAGAAAATCTAAAATACGATTAGCTATCCGAACTCCAGAACAAGAATATACACCAAGCCAACAGACTGAAATAAAAAAGATTATTAATAGAAATGACCAAAAAAAGGAACCACTGAATAGTGCATAGTGATTCATTATTAGCACTAAATGAATGTATGATGTTATCTGTCATTCAGTTCAATGACAGATTAGTGCTACTGATGTTTGATTGACATATTTTATGGAATGGGAAAATGAATTTGCAAGTGAATAATGCTTGTGGGAAATATGTTCTGATAAATGGTTCATCTAACAATTTAATAGTTGAATTCATAAGTCAATTAAAGCTGGACCACCATGGAAAACCGGAAAACACTGGACGACTAAATTCTTCTAGTATGGGACTCCTCAGAAGTGCACATCCACGATCCCCCCTTCGGGATTCGAACCCAAGGCCTATCGATCTCGTGAGCGAAATTGCGCCACCGTTTACCGTTCATATGACGTTTACAATGAACATATGGGTACTAATTTATCTACGGAAAAATAACCTGACTGTTCATCATAGCTTGTATTTAATCACCTTATCACAAAATTATGTCATATCGTAAAATATATCTAGTTCTACACGATTCACTTGGTGCATCATCAGTGGATATTTGATCGGAAATTTTTATTAAAACTTAATTTAAACAGAAGTATAGAACTACAATCTATATCGAACTATTTGTTAATAATAATTATTATTCAAATTCACCAACCATGTATAAGTTTATACACTTGGTTGTCATGATTTATACTTTCTATGTGTTAGCCAGTTGATACTAATTCATCTGTACAAAATAAATTAAATGGAGTAGAGTTCCAAGCCCTAGCTTAAAATTCTGAAGAAAAGTAGAAAAGAGGAAGGCCAAAGAACACATTACGTCAGAAAATAGAATCAGATATGAAAAGTATGAATAACAACTAGAAAGAGCTGGAAAGGATTGCTCAGGACAGGGTTGGATGGCGAGTGCTGGTGGGCAGCCTATGTTCCTCCACGATGAGTAACAGGCGTAAGTAAGTAAGCAAGTAAGAGTTTCAGCCTGAGGTTAAATGGTTGAAAGTTAAATAATATTAACAACCCTAGTTCAATTGATCCAGCTGTCAGATAAATATTAGTTTAACTTATAAATAGAAACGATTTGATGATTATGTCATTAACCAGCAAACAAAAATAAGTCGATTTAATCCATAATCAATTTATGTGCCAATTAATCACAGGGATGACATATTTATTTATTTCATCGTCTACCTGAAGTTTGTGCTGATGATATCATTCAGAAGAGCGAGAAAAGCTCCACGACCAAACTATCCAGCTTAAAGAACAAAACTCCATTAAAATCATCCACCTTGTAATGAACAGAACACGGGTGGGGAACAATCGAATGTATCTGACAGCAAATTACAGAACTTGTTAGTAAAATCTAACAACCATATATTAAATGCTCATTTGCAAAATGTCCATCAACTGTCTCAAATGACTCAGACTTCATTCTTCTTGCATTTTCATACAAATTGCATTCTGTCTTCATTCTTTACTGTTCGATCTTCTTGTCTCTCTGCTGCCAGATATTCTGTTCACGACTAACATCATATACTACTCATGACTAGATAGGTAGCACACACCACAACCTGAGCTACAAATCTTCTCCACTTTAATGACTTTGTCAAGATATGTATATCATTTGAACAAAAAAAAACATACTAAACTTTAGTTCATGTTTATTGGTTGATTGAATTTTCCCAGTGATTATTAGGACTGTGATGGGTTAGTCACCTTTGGCATACGTACATCTTATATGGATTGCATCGATACTGCCGTTTATACACAAACATTTTAAACCGAGTTGAATGGTGGTTAGCAATGGAATCTAAAACGCACGTTTCTTCCTACTTGGAAATTATCAATAAGGAAGATTCAAGCAATCAATACAAATGAAATAAGAATCACCTTTCATTGAACAATCCATTAGCAATCTGAACTCAGTAGGTAAGTGGATAACGTGTCGGTGTTTGAAGCAAAAGATACTGATTTACGGTTCCGGGATGGACATCAACTCTAGGGTTCAAGTAAGTCTAGGACAAAACATGAGTCCAGGATTCCACTACTAACGACCACCCATCTCTGCTTAAAATCTACAAAACTTTAGTGGGTTTCAACGAGGTCATATGCTGAATGGTTTACACAGGTAAATCTTAAAACATATTATTATCATCAAAGTTACATGATAGAGGAAAATTGATTAATTAAACCATTATTCAGTTTCATAGTCAGAAATATGAATAATGAAACTATCATGAAAAGCGATAAAAACTGTTATGGAATTGGAAGAACATAAATTTGTAAATGACTGAGCGATGTCATGTTTTTCCAGCCGTTTTTAATGTTGCATGAACACCATTTGGTTGTTAAACGCTATGACATATCTTTGCTTCAATCAATCCATGTGGACAATTGCGCGTACGAGTTCTACTGGAAAAAAGTTGAAATCTTCGATAGAGGAAATACTAAAAACCACAGAGTATATTTTCAGATACTTGGGACTCAGATCAGTCAACAATCAATAAACACATTGAAATCAAACCAACTTATCAACTAATCCCAAGAAATCATAGAGAAATATAGAACCAAGAATCAAATCAACGGGAGATAATGAATAAAGAAGAGGCAAATAATGACAGATTAAATATTAAAAATAAACAATCAAGATCGAAGTCAACAGGATAAGTTGTGAATCATGTATGGAAAAATTCAAACACTTCACTTCTATCCGAAGTTTGTGCTAAGGATGTTGATCAGAAGAACAATGAAAGCTCCACAATCAAGGCATACAGAATGAAATCTCACCAAAATCGATTAAATCACAATGTAACCGCTAGTATAAGTGAGTAAGAATCGAGCTCATTATGTTCAGATGTTGGGTGATATCCCGTCAATTCCCTCTTACTACTCAACACAGATTTTATTTATATTTATCTGAACACCTGAATACTGGCACAAGGGGGCACCAGATACATATGCACCACACAAATCTCATTTGATTTGTGTGAGGGCTGTGATACTGCCCGGGTGCTCAGGCCGAAACAGGTGGTTTTCTTGGGGGGTCACACCCGGAGCCTTCGACCTACAGGTCTGATCCACAAGGCAGTGGGCATCGTAAAGAGATGCAGTCCCATGGTAGCCGGTGACCAACGATTGGTTCATACGCCTTTTGTTCCTTCAGGATCCTGGGATCCATGTGCACTAATGGTTTGGAATCATGGTTTTCCAAGTCCCCTAGGTAGACCATCCGTATCCACCAACCCGGTCAAAGCACCGGGCATTCGCTTTTCATCCCCTCGACTTCGTAAACAACACTCTCGCCGCTAGAAGGCAGTGAGTATGACTTTCCTAACAGTGGCTGTATACGCGTGAACATTCGCTTTTCATCCTTTTAATTTCATAACCAACAGTAATACATCGAGAAGGCAGTGATTAGGACTTTCCTGGCAGAGGCTATATACGCGTGGCCATGTGAGAGCGTTTGAGGAGGGGGAGCGGACTCTCCCCACTGTCAGCCGTACCAGGACATTCGGGGGCACAGAGAATGCATACAGACATACAGCAAATAATCATCAGTTATCATAAACGAAATGTTATGGAATCTCAAATAGCAGGATGTTTAGTAAAATAATAATAATGGTAATAATAATAAAAATAATAATAAAACAAGCAAATATTGGATAGTTAATTACCATGATAATTGGAATGATTCCATTTGGCTACAACTAATTCACCGGATGTTAAATTGAAGCATATTCCATCAATACGTTTAAAATTATTCAATAATACTGAATCATCATTGATATTTATAAAATCAGCTGTCGAAGTGCTACTACTACTACTTAAATTAGTCTTCTTTTTCTTCATTTGTATATCTTCATTACTTTTATGTATGGAATTCTCCATATTAAGATGATTAGAAGAACATTGTCTACGAGGTTGTTTCAAATCATAATCGGTAGTAGTATTAGTAGTAGTGATATTATGACTTTGACTACTATTTAAACTATCATCTAATTCATTTTGTTGATAGTAATGATCATTCATAATATTAGTATTAATTGTTTTAATTAATGTTAAACGATATCTATCCCATAAACATACATAACCTTGATTATCACCACTAGCAATTAAACTATTATTACGATTAATAACTAAAATAGTTATTTCATGTCCAGCATGACCATATAATTGTTTCCAACCGGTAATTTCCCATAAACCAGCGGTTTCTCTATTATTATTCTCATCATGAATAGAATTATTAAGATTTTGAGTAGGATTCATCGGAGTAGTAGTAGGTTTTGGACGTTTCATGTTTCGTTTTGTTGATTCTTTTCTTGATCGTTTATGAATATTTGCTGTACAAGTTGGCTTATTTTCATTTAATGATGATTTTCCTTGATAATACTGTTATGAGGAAAAGAAAAATGAAGACTGTTTTTTTATGTGATTATACATGAAAAAAAGGATGAATGACATAGAGACTGAGAGATATTATGTACAGAATTATTAAAAAAGTCAAGAGAACTAAACAATATTTATAATGAGCGAAAATTGATAGTGGCTAGCAGTGAGATCGAGGACAAAGCGCGTTTCGTCCTATTTGGGACTTATCGGCTGAATTAACCTGTATCTCGGAGTTGATTTTGTTAGGATCGTTAAGCTTGAATGCTACTACTGATTCGTCTTACTCGAACGGAACGAAGGATCAAGGATTCAGAGACTCGATAGGCTATTCTGGTCCGTTGTCCCCGACTCAGCTAACTCGATCAAGAAGTCTTGGTAAGACGTAGAAAGTGTATTTTACAGGCAACCAGCAGATACCAGGTCAATTAGGCACACAAATTAAGCGTATTTATACAAATATATATAAATTTTTAAACATTCATCAATAAGTTCGTCAATCGATTGCCATTCAAATATTTAAACATTTAATCGATAAGATAAAATTACAAAATGTGAGTTTTGGGGGATCTATCGTCCCCAACAGATTTTCACTCTGGGACTTAGTACTGTTCGTTTCAAACGCCATCGCGTTATCCACTTAGCTACTGATAAATAAATAAAAAACAATACCAAGTGAATTTAATATTTATAATGATTCTAGAAGTTGATTTAATGATTTAGAGGTTAAATTAATTAACCTTTAACAAGTAAGATGTAGGATCGAACTCCTCTTTATCTAAGACAAGTGATGAATGGCGTTATACTAACCAGAATACAAACAATATAGCTTATAGTTGAGTATGTAATTCTATACTTGGTGAATTATTTACAAAATATGTTCAAATTTATTATTCTCGTTAGGGTTAGCATATAACACATTAATATAGAATAATTGGTAGGTGTATCCACTCTTTGTGCTCTCCCAAATTTATTTCACTGAATTATACTCCTTGAATAACATCTTCAAACCCCAATCTTTCCGATTACTGTTTATACTATAGGATTTGAATTGACAATTGTATCTGTGTGTTAATGTGGTATGGCAACTCGAACTAATGTACATACGTGAAACTACAATGTATGGACGACCTTTGATCGATGCCCAAGTGAAATTCAGAGTGTCTACCTACTTATTAGGACTAAATGAGGGTTATAAAGCAGTCTGAAGAATAAGGATTACGATTCACAGTTGATGGTTAGGGTCAACAGTTAGATTTACAGTTTTTCACCACGAGCTGACATCAGTTAAAATGCCAAAACGCTATTACACTACTAGTCAATCAGAATTATTTTCATTGAAATCAGGAACTGACTTAAGTTGGGTTACCATTGACAACTTGAAAGCACTGGACGGCCGATTCGTCGCAATGTGGGGACCACATTGTCAGCAGTGTGTACTTGAATCCAGCACCTACGATCTTATGTGCGAACGTTTAACCTCTACATTATTCAGTCGGCATTCAACGGTATTAATGTGTAACTTCAGTCAATCCACGACATTGAGCGACCATCTTCCATTGCTTTCGGTGAGTAACCGCCTCACACTCGACACCGGTTAGCTCAATTAGTAACGGCTTCGCACTAAAATTATTTCATTGTTGTAAATTATATACATTTTTTCACTAGATTACATTGTTGATACTGAGATAGGGCTATTGTGTATATCTTCAGTAATCAAGTTTTCTATTGTTGTCCCAGCTATTTATTTTATCTCAAACTTTTAACCGTGATCTAACCTTTGATACATTTGTTGGGCATAGATCAAGCTTCACATTATGTATCAATTATGTGCGAAATTCGTTTAATATTACGCTTATTAACATTCTCAATATTTCTATTACGTAATAATTTGGCATGACATTCACTAAAGTTCGAGCTATTCAAAGTACATCTGTATGTAAATGATCATATTGAAATGTGATTAAAGAATTGTAGTCTTGATCTGGTTGGCGTTTTTTAGCAAGATGTTCTTCTAGAAGACGAGGTGGCCGTTTAAGGCCAAGTGCCATGGTTCGGCTGAGAGTGGGGAGAGTCCGCTCCCCCTCCTCAAACGCTCTCACATGGCCACGCGTATATAGCCTCTGCCAGGAAAGTCCTAATCACTGCCTTCTCGATGTATTACTGTTGGTTATGAAATTAAAAGGATGAAAAGCGAATGTTCACGCGTATACAGCCACTGTTAGGAAAGTCATACTCACTGCCTTCTAGCGGCGAGAGTGTTGTTTACGAAGTCGAGGGGATGAAAAGCGAATGCCCGGTGCTTTGACCGGGTTGGTGGATACGGATGGTCTACCTAGGGGACTTGGAAAACCATGATTCCAAACCATTAGTGCACATGGATCCCAGGATCCTGAAGGAACAAAAGGCGTATGAACCAATCGTTGGTCACCGGCTACCATGGGACTGCATCTCTTTACGATGCCCACTGCCTTGTGGATCAGACCTGTAGGTCGAAGGCTCCGGGTGTGACCCCCCAAGAAAACCACCTGTTTCGGCCTGAGCACCCGGGCAGTATCACAGCCCTCACACAAATCAAATGAGATTTGTGTGGTGCATATGTATCTGGTGCCCCCTTGTGCCAGTATTCAGGTGTTCAAATTAATAAATAAAAATGCCGACTCCATTCCCAAACATCATCTTTTTCTCAGGCTTGAGACCGACAGTAACTCGAGAAGAGATGCAGTCGGAGTCTAGAGTTTTGATAGTGTGACAAACTTTTATTTTTCATAAAATGTTTTCTTTTGCCAAGTGTTGAATTATATCTATTCTAGATCAGTCATGAAAACTAACTTCTTGAGAAAAGTGGCATACTGATTAAATCTATCCGTTTTCAACCACTAAGTTGAAGGTAAAACTATTCAGTCGACACACTTCAATTTTGAATTTTGTATTGTAACAGTATTATTAACTTTAACACAATATTATTTCAATTGTACATGAGTGATATTATAGCGTATTCAATATTTTCCATTCCAAATATCAACTAGTACAAAGCTTAAGCGAGACTGAATGAAATGACCCAAAATCGTTTGTTATGGCTTGGATTTCATCACATGATTTCATCTCTCTGTGCTAGTGAGATATGCCAACTTGAACTGATGTGTATACGTACCAGGTTATACATTGTGACTAATTGATTAGATGTAAGATAGTTATATCGGGTACAAAATCACAATGACTTACTTGTGGTAACCAACTGTCAACGGATGAAATATCATATAAATTTGTAGGCAACTGTCTTACATAAATTGATCCAAAACAGGTACCAACAAATAACTGAATACCATGACTTGAACTAGGTGAAATAGTTAATGAAGTAATTAAAGATTTTCCAGTATCTAATGGAAGAGGATTTGAATACGGTAATTGTAAGTTTATCTCATCATTATGTTGATGATGATGACGATGTAGTTCTGATGGAGAGGAATCAGTAGTTTCAAAAGGTTCATCATAAGGATAATTAGAAGTATTACAAGTACTATGTGATTCCTTGGGTAAACGTTTTATAAAAATATTTAAAGTTCTATTGTCTAGTAAAGATGGTTTCAATTTTATTAAATATGGTACAGGATACAATTTATCTTGTAAATTACTAATGTCTGGTAATAACGATACCCATATACATGCATTTAATTCACAGTGAAGAATTTTCCAATACCATGAACAATCGGTATGAACAGCTGTTGCGACCGATGATGATGACATTTCTGTAGAATGAGATGATGAGGATAATGACAGGAGACATTTACCAATTTCATGATAAATGTTGAAATCAACCCAACCATTCCAAGAATGATATAATTTATCATTATTTATTGAAGAGATACTGTTAAGTTGATTCATATGATGAAGTAAATGAGTATCTTTCGTATTGAATTCACACCATATAGAACCCGTTAAATGACTAAGAAATGGTATTTTTAATATTTCAGAATGTTCTAGTGAATTCTTTGTAGTTGTCGATACTGATGACTTTGTATTGATTAACTGTTTCTTCCAAATTATTTCGAACTATACACATAATATAAAGTAATAGTTATCATTATCATAAAAACATACAAATAAAGAAAGGAAGCGATTTAATTTAAACAACCATTGAAAACCTGGAAACATCGGACGACCGTTTCCTCCTAGTTTAAAACTCTTCAACAGTACAAATTGACAAACATATAACAGGAAATCAAACTCACGACCTTCAGTTTTGCGTGAAAGTATAGCACTGACTCGGGTTACAATAGTATAAAGGTTTAACTTCAACCTCAGGTTGCAAGGTGGTAGATAAAAACTCCTGAGAAGTTCAACTTTGGGACGAAACGACCTAGTAGTGCTTCCAGGTTTCCAATGGTTGGCTAACTTAGATTGGTTTTTGGTTTCAATGTAATTCAATAATTTGTAAAACCACTCTAATGGAAATACTATTTATAAGAACGATTTTAGTCAGGGTTGTACGTTTCGCCTTATGCGACAGTGATTAGTTGAACAGTGACGCCATTTTAAAGTATACGAATGTAAAATGAGCTGAAAAATCAATACTTTGTTGATTTCTAAGTCACAAAAGTAAGCAAAATATATACACCCAATTTAAACTTCTACTTTACGTACTACGGATTAGATAAACAAGCTGTGTCTCTATAGAGTCCATATACAATAATTGTCTAAATTCATGTTTAGCACCCAAGTACGTACGATAAATTGATGGTTACAGAAACCAACTAGCAATAAATAGATTGCACGTTCAAGATCCAATCAGTTTGCGAGACATGTTATTCGATGTCATCAATGATCTGTGTCTTACATTTCCACAATGGAATAAGATAATTAAAATCAATTAATCAACCAGCTTTTTTCGTTATAATTTGTGACATCTCAGAAGAGTGAGAGAACCAACAAAAGAAATACCAAGGAAATCAGAATAACAATAGTGTCAATGATTGGATACATCCGTGACACCAACCGATTTCAAACCATTTGATATAAGGTCTTTCAATTATCAATCATGATTACTCTACATTGTCATAGATTCTGTTCGTTTATAGTCTTGTAAATAAGTTGCTATGTGTTAAATATTTTAATGACTAAGTAGCCTGTAGCTCTTCTAGGGTTACTGCCGGTCCCAAACCCGGGTAAAGGAGGAGGGTTGGGCGTTAAGTCAGTATCCCTATCCCGTAGGAAACAACCTTGCTAAAAAAAAAGCTAACTAGTAGGTGAACGTAAGGAGTACGTACTGAGAGGAAATAATATTTAGATCAGTTGGTATGATACTTTATGAATTCAATCAATCAATTGTACACTTACAGAGTTCACCTGTGGACTACCTGCCCATTCACCCCATTTTAATCCAATCACAGTTTCTAACGGTGTGTTGTTCAGTTTAACTGATGAGTATTGTTTTTCACTTACAGAAAATGTTGCAGCTTGTAATGAATTCTTATCGTCATCATTGATATTATTACAGTTAAATAATGCGGGTGTAGAAGAACGTCTATCTTGACTCGTCATATTAGACATTGTACCAGTGGATTTACTTTTAAATTTTGACGTCATATTCAGTCTGGATTCATTAGAAATTGACAATTTACTGAAACAAAGTTTCAAAAGAATACAAAACAAATGAAATGAGACTAATAGTAGGACATATAAATAGGTAAATTATGGGATAAAATCGAATTACGTTTGCTAATTCGAAGAATACATTGTCCCGGGAGTCGAAGTCAGCCATCAAAAGAATGAATAGTATTTGATAAATCCAGAAAGGCGAGACCAGAACACAACTGACTGGAGAACACTAGTTGACACCCTATGGCTCATGAGAGGTAAAATGTGTGAGCAGTAGCAAGTAGCACTTTTAATAAAACATCGGATGTAGTCAGGAAAAATTTTAAATTTGTCAACCGGGAAGCTGAGTAAATTATGCAATGGTTTGCTCTATATTGCTTTACAGTTGTGAAGTAAGAGACGTATATCTGTTGCAAGTATTCTGTCATATTTGTCTATAAAGGCAATGGTCATAAACGGTAGAACCAATGAGTGAGCGATCCTGGAGTTATACTAGGTAAAAAACAAAAAATCAATAGATGAGGCTATAGACGGCCATAAACGTAGGTTGGTTAGTGAAGATGTTACACTTCCCTAACCAACACGTACTACAACGGTCAACGCTGACTGGATTCGTTATAAGTTGGAAAAACCTACAGATAGGCTAGTTAAGACAAAACGCTAATCCAACTTCTGTTCCAAGTCATTGAGTTAGGTGAGGACTTCTTAGTTCAGACCCAGGCAACATTCGTAATCAGTAGTTGGGAAAGTTTGCTGATCTGATGAGAAATCAATTGGTCATCGATTATTATCAAAGCAACTTGACTCGATTTTGGAAAAAAAGAATTTATTTTAATGGTTACTTGAAAAATATACAACTAAACTCTATCCGTTACACAGATGTTAAATAAGGAATTCAATACGATTTGGTTAACAGTGGTTGTCGCCATATAAATTTTTAATTTCCAATCTTTGAAGTCATTGTTGCGACAACAATTAAAAAATAAACATTGGGTAATATAAATTTTCTGATAATTAGGAAAAACCAGATGTTAACCATATTGATTATGTGATAATTTTTCCCTCAAAGCTACAGACTAACATCAAGTTCCTTAATTATGAGTTTATATTACATGAAAAAGATGACTAATTTTTATGCAACTAATATGGGATTTTCTATCACTTAAAGAATGTCACGTAGATAGGAAATTCTTTCTTTATGTAACACATGTACAACGCTACAAGTAGCTCGTACTTCCACAAGAGCTGCTTCCAGAATGCAACCGATAGTAAATTTTGTAGAAAAATGATAAAGTTGAAAAATCCTCTCTCTCTCTAACTCAAACACTGGATTAGAACAATGGAGAAACATGGTCGGACGCTTCCATTGATCCCAAGTTGCTTGTATATAAAGCTTTTAGGATGCTAATGAAATAATGAGGCAGATGTTTCTTCAACAGACAATCAAAGAATACAGTTCAGTTCAACGTACCAAAAGAGCCTTTGATACCAAGAAGCACAAAGATTGTCAACCCGTAATCATCTTTAGAAAATTAGATGAGACTAAAACAAATTGTGCTTAAAAAATTTAGTATATAATGCTTGTAATCTCATGACTAGTATTCACTCTTGACTGACAAATCCTAACTAGCATGAAAAGTAGATTCAGAGAGTGCTAAAGAATGTCAGGATTTCTCTTTTTTAACTTACCGACATGGATGAGGATATTTGTGAAATAATTGTTTCGGTGTTTGACCATAATTATTAATCATAGCTTCAATAGCTTGTGCTAAAATAGGATCGTCTATTGTATCCACATTGATTGCGCCAAAATATGTCTAGGAATTATTGATTATAAAAACATAATATTTTTTTTCTAAGAAAATTATCAATATACTACTAGAAAAATGTAGATAACAATGATTAGTCTCATACACATAGTTTCCTTTATCATTTTGAAAAGAGCAAGAAAAAAGATTCTAGTAGAATACCATGAATTCATTTTATTTCATCTGGTTCTCATCAGCTGCTTACAACCTGGGATATATAAAATCATAATTACATAATGGGTTTGGTTGGAAGTTATATTGAAGACACTATGGTATAGTAGGGATGTAAATAAAATTAATAGACCATATATTGTAAATATATACATCATGTGAAAGAATATTTTACAACATTGATTGTGAAAACAGTTCAAACGGTCAGAAACAAGTGAATAAATAATATATGAGAAGGGGTTTTGTGGAGATTGTGGTAATTTCAATAGTTGAAATCATGAGTCATTTGAAGCTAGATCAACATGGAAAATCTGGAAACACTAGACGGCAGTTTCATCCTATTGTGGGACTCCTCACCAGTGCGCACCCACGACCCCGCCTCGATGGATTTGAAACCAGGAACTACCAGTCTCGCGGGCAAGCACTTATCTACTAGATTACTGAACCGGCCGGCATCCAATGGTGTTAATGTCTAACTTCAACTAATCCACGAAATTGAGCAACACATCTACAATTGTCGTCAGTGGGTTATTATTTCACAACAGACCCGGTTGAACTCCATTGATGACGGCTACTCACTAGAACTCCAGGATATACCTCTTGAAGCCAGTCACTAGTGAGCATATGTTGATTAGTATCAAAGGGGGTTTTTGTGGAGATTGTAGTAATTTCGCTCAAACCCGTGAGCGGGATCGTGGATGCGCACTTCTGAGGAGTCTCACAATAGGACGAAACGGCCGTCCAGTGCTTCCCGGTGTTCCATGGTGGTCTAGTTTCAAATGACTCATAATCTCAACTATTGAGATTACATAATGAGTAAGTATTGATAGGAATAAAATGAGTAGAGCTCAGTTGATGAAATAAGATTACAAATTTGCAAGATAGTTGAAATATAACTTCATGATGTAATAGATACAAGGAAGAGTTTAAAGAAAAAGAAAAAAAAGTTTCAGCGAAGGAATATTTGTCACCAAGGCAAGGAAAGATTAATAACCATGGTTTTTTCAAAACAATCATTAACTTCTTAAGTCATTGGTAATTGTAGATGATAGTGATTTGTAGTTTAGAAAGATGATATTCATTGTTTTGAGTTGTTTATTCTCATGAAATCATTGACGGTCGAACTGATACATGTAGGTGAATGCAAAATAATCTCAATCAATAGTTAGGAAAGTTGGGTGATATGATTCATAATTGATTTAAATGTCATAGATTCAGTCAGTCTTTGCCTTTTCGTTCAAATGTTGATTTTCAAAATTATCCTAAACTTTTTTATTCAATGAATTCCTTCTTATTTTTCGGATTATATTGTTTATATGTAATTTTTTCTTGTACTACTAATGCTAATATTACTGCTACTGTAATGCATACTACTTATGCTGACAGACATAAGTAGTATGTAATACCAGTCAGAAGTGGAAAACCTGGTATCAGAAGGCTAAGAAGATCGGGTTGAGGAGAATAGAAGGGAAAATAGAAAGCAATTATGAACTGGAAGAAGCGTACAGAGTGTGAAGGACAAATGATAAAAATTTGCAAGTGAATTGGTCAGTGTATGGTTTTCATATTTTAGCAGGAGATTCTATAATTTAGTTTTAAAAATAAATTGGTGGTCACTCAATTAAATGTTCGTTCACTTTACAACTAGCCTCAGGTTTATCTTGATAATGTCATCCCATTGTGACGATATGGTCTGGCGACGTGAACCGATGTACATTCGTGTCAGGTTCTAACATGCTGAACGGTTTTTATTTGTAAAGTTTTACTATCTTTCAAGAAAACAACATCATCAGAAGTGATACGAATTCAAAACAAGATTGTTTACATTTGTTATACCAATGTGACTTCTTAGCAATGAGAAACGTCTGGACTGAGGGCAGATAAGAGTGTCGTCCTTTGACGAGATTGCCTAACTTACACTAGACTTCTTAATTCCAGTTTCTTTTACTAGTCTGAAAAGCTGTCTGGTGTTACCTACAGCTTCTGGCTTTTCCATCTTTTTCGCCTTCATTTCCTACTACTGCTCACGATCGTTCCTTAGACTTTTGTTAACCTAGATGTGATTTGTTTTCGCTCTTCATCATGTTCTGACCCTGATAGGATAAGTTTAAGACAGTCTATCAGTTTAATAGATATCGCAGAAATCCACTGGTTCTTCGTAACACTTTGATTAAAATCACTAACAGATCTGGCTGCTGTTTCCACAGTTGTTCGCATATGTGTCGAAACAACATCTGGGTCAGCCATGTTTTCTAAATTGCCTAAGAGTGACCTCATTTGTTCCTGAAATCTACTTTTGGTTTTCTCGTCACTGGTTTCAAATCTAATGGGTTTTCTGCGTTCAGTGAGATGCAAACAAATACGTGTTCGTATTAGAGAATGATTGAAGTCTAAACATGTGCTCCAGAACGAGCGACAGTCTTCTATCGAGCCTCTCCAACGACGACTGATGGAAATATGGTCTATTTGAGTCCATCGTTGGTCTGGTGTAGTGGGTCGCCATTTTAGACGATGTCTCTCCTTATACTTAAAATTAGTACTTGTTATAAATAAACGATTGTCTGAGCACAGTTGCAGAACAAGATCACCATTATCTGTTCACTGAGCTGGAACAATTAACAATCAATATGTGTTCTGACGTTTCGATTAGAGAATATAAGTTCAATTTTAATAAAAAGATCAAGCTATTACTTTAAAAACATGAAACAAACATAGATTTTAAAGTAATCAACTCAGTAGAGAAATTATTTTTAACAAGATATAAACAACAGAGAACGTATTTACTTTGTGCTGTCCATTGAAAAATAATGTTAGGACGTTCTCCCTCAAATGAATGGGATATTGTAGTAAGCTTATTTCACTATTGTATTATTTATCTGTTCACACTGTAATTTAGACACTTAATCCATCATGTAAATTTCTGTGTGAGTATGATGGAGCACATTTCTGCACATCAATTTTCGATTTAATCTCCAATAGGTTGTAACACACAGATAATCAATAATTTATCCATACTCGATTAACACTCATAAATGTATATGGATTTTTAACATTCACACACACACTCTTGGTTTCACTGTGTGCTTGATTCCTGTACGCTTACAGATTTTACCAATCTTTAATAATAAACTATCTCTATAACTAGTATTGTTCAGGCTTTTGAATAAATCTCGAGTAAATCCATAATTCTAGTAGGAGATTTAGCCTGAATTAAATATTCAGTTAACGGTATATCATGTATTGGAGTCAGATATAGAGGATACTAGCCTCTACAACACCACTAATTGCAAATATACCAAAGAAACTATCGCTAAGAAACACATCAAAGTGTTGACTCTCAGTATTAAACAAAGTATGTGATAAATAATGAAACGAAGAAAAGCACTTTAAATAATAATTGGTAGTAGACTAATTTGATACACATCGTTTGAATGTGGACAAAACGCATATTGTGGATTACATTGCTATTTACTTGTTTAAAATTAAATCAACTTGTATCATATAACCAATAGAAATAAAGGATACATATACCAACAACAGTTAATCACGTATCAGTTTTGGAATATTAATAATCAATAATAATAATAATAAACAATGTATCAAGAAAAGATCTTACATATGGATGATATAAATTCAAGGAATCTTTAGCATTTTGTCCAGATTGTTTATAACCAAATGATAAATCAATCCAATGTGATAAATTCATTGATACATAATCACTTTCTAATGAAGCACGACAAATTAGTGTGAATAAACGTGGGTCATTTTTACACCAACTGTAAATGAGAGAAAAACGATGTACAGTAAGAGAAAAGATAAATATTCAGTCAGTGAATCAATAATAAGCAATACATAATTTAATATGTATAATGTAACGGACTAAGTTGATTACGTAACATAAGGATAAGATAAATATCAAAATATAAGAAATAATATTAGTAGTAGTAGTAGCAGTGGTAATAAAAGAAGGGTTAGTTATAAATAGTATTGCTTGAGGAGAAAGAATCAGAAGAATAAAAGGTATAAAATTGTTATGTCCCGATAAGATCCATTGGGGTATAAACTCGGGAAAATTAAAATCCGGATATCAACTCTGGATCTTCAAAAAAGGGGAGTGGTGATTTTTGGGATCAATTTGTGGACCAATACTATAGGTATATTTTTATCGGATAATTGCTAAATAACTAAACTGTTCATATCCGTGTCCTTCTTATTATGAACTTTCTTTTGACCTATCAACTTGTGTTATGCCCTGTCTATTATTAGAGGATTAGATCTTTGTTTACATTCAACTGTTTTCAGTTTTCGGGGAGATCTGTACCGACAAATAGAAGGTGTAACTATGGCATCACCGGTTTCTTCAATTTTTGCTAACTTATTCATGCATTCACTGGAAACAAGTGCTATCTCAATGTGCTCCATTCCACGAAAAATTTGGTTAAGATACGTAGATGACACTTTTATCAATAAAAAAAGAGATGGTTTAGACGAACTATTTCAACGTGTCAACAGCATTTATGAAAAAATCAAGTTCACCAAAGAGTTGGAATCTCCTGAACGGAAATCACCTTTTCTAGACTGCTTGGTTGAAAGGAAGTATACTGATTGTTTAAAAATTAGTATTTTCCGTAAGCCGACATATTCTGGGAAATTTCTAGATTTTAAATCTGCGCATCCATACTCTACGAAAGTGACAGTAGCCAAAAATTTGATAACAAGAGTAAAAAAACTTGCCACTGAACCAAATGATATAAAAATGGAAATGAATTTAGTTGTATCCACTCTAACGATGAATAATTATTCGAAAGGTTTTATTAAAACAATAATTAAGAATGAAGAACAAAATGATATTATTTAAAAAGAGTTAAGCAGGAAGAATGGATTAACACAGTGGTGATCACATATCGTAAAATTATTTCAGAAGAGATCAGAAGGATTCTAACTCTTCAAAATATAAAAGTATTCTTTCGTACAAACAATACTCTAAGATCAAAGCTAGTAAGAATCAAAGATCCAATACACAAGGATGAGCAACAGAATTGTGTTTATGAAATCAAATGTAATGATTGTAATGAAACGTATGTAGGTGAAACATCAAGGCAATTGAATGTGAAGGTGAAGGAACACAAACTGTGCTTAAAGCACATTCCTAAATCCTGAGATGATGTAAGAACACTTGAGAACAAATCAGCAATAGCATTACACTCGAATGAATCGGGTCATACAGTTGATTTTAATGGCGCAAGAATCATTCAAAAAGGCCTTAATTCTTACAAAGAACGACAAACAGCCGAAGCCCTACATATGTGGGCAAATCCAAACAGTATTAATAGGCGAGATGGAATAAAATTAGCTGTCCCATGGCAACTACTAATTAATAAGTAAACCTGAACTCCTTATTCCATTCTATCTATTTATATCATATTAACTAATGAATAGATAATACATTCAACGGTTCAAATCAGTTATCGTATCTGAATATGTTAAACAATTGACGGGAACGTTAAAATAACAAAAACTTTCAATTACAAATACATTCCTCTTTGAATTCAGTCTGTTATCTTGTTTACTTATCTTGTTTATTTATCTTCATTTAATGCATGCTGTGACATTTTGATTCATATTATATATAAAATGATATGTTTTCTTAATATACCCATACCGAAGTCAGTATATAATTGAATGAAATTTCTCACATCACTTACATAGACACAAAATCTGTTATCTTAGCATTTTTCGTTTCACCACACATGTCCCTTACACACTTATGTAAATATCTACTTCAAAACGTGTTCACATTGATTGGATGTCCTATACAGCATACAGTAAACCAGAGAACCATGTACCTATTTATATTCGATAATTTTGTTGTTTGATTATATTTTTCCTTGAAAAAGCTTGGACCAGATTGCCAGGCGAAACGTTGGATTTACCTCAAATTCATTCGCTGAAATTTTACAAATACATTTTTTCCTCTTTGTACCCCGTATGTTTAAAATAAAGGATTCATATTGCAGAGGCTGAGATTGGTGTTCTGAACTAAAGTGGCTGGGCTAGGCTGAAAGCAGAACCAATAAAGACTCTAGACTGCTCGTACGGGTTTACGTGTCATTGATCCGATCGATAAGTCACTGTTCTCTAATTGGCGGTCACAAGTACAACAAAAATAATTTTGAAACCCAGTATCTAAGAGAAGATAAACAGTGAATGCGTCACCTAACAACACCTAACATTTTCTTTTATATATTACCACCATTGAATGAACTACTTCTATGAATCCGGTGTTCATCCTGTTGTGCTAATGAAATATGGTATCTTGGACCGATGCACATATGTGCCTGGTCCTACGTTATAGCTGACTGAATGACACATAAACGTTTGTTCAAGACAATCTAAATCAGATAGTCCTGATCTACCAAAATGTCTCACAGTAGAAAAAAAACTTATGAACCAGTGATACGTCTTGGTTCGGATGTCTCTAGATTTATTCCAACATGTGTTTACACAAGCTTCCATCAGTTGTTGAGGTAGTCAGTGGTTAGACATACACAACACATATCACAGCCACTTTAGTTGATGAAAATTTACAGTTTTATCAACTGATTTGCATTATATATCTAGTACCCTGTGTTTAACCTCAACATCAATCACTTGGTAGCTCCAATATACACACGAATATATCTATAACCAGAAAGCTACAGCTTACGGAACTCTGCTACTCTTAAAGGTCGTGTTTTATAGCCATAAATTGATAGAGCAATATTTCGTAGATAAAAGAGAAATCAACAATGGTATACAGGGATATGAACTGTAATTATTGAGTATATGTGGTTTCTACCAATACCAGATACCTGGACAAACATTGACAGAGGTAGATCGAAGTTTCAACATATAACATTATAGGTATCTGAATCAATCAATCCAAGTTCAAAACGAGTTATATAAAGTGACAACAGACGAAGTCAATTCCCTAGATACGTGTTAATTACAGAGAAAAATCATATAAATAATAAGATCACATTAGCTGGAAGCAGGGAGCACTATAAAGAAGTTGCCTTTTGGTTAGAAGCTCTTTAGAATTAAGCCAATACCACCTCGGTCAGGTATTGAATCCAAGAATTCCTGGTGCAATAATTCTGCTTCACTCATTTTATACTGTTGAATTCCATATTCGAATGACCTGATAATCATTGTTACTCCAATTCTTTCTTTTACAAATATCTATAAGATCATATGATATTGTATCTCAATGTTATACTTTAATACGAAATCATGAAATAGAATGAATTTATACTATTCTATCTAAATATTTACTTTGGTTTTATTGAAAATCCATAAACGATACTTTAGTAAAATTTTCACTCATTCAGTAATAACATCTGAGATTTAGTCATTGAATCAGTCTTAGTTGAATTCCCACAAGATCTATTAGTTTCAATTAGAGTTGAATATCAACGGCATTGAAAAAATGTTCACATTTCTTAGTATAGATAATCAAACATAACACTTAGGTAATAAATGTTTAAGTATATTTACTATAAAAGTATTAAGACGAAAAATAAAGTAGTTCAATACAACTGATGTGGAGCTAGTCAGTGTCGGGTAGAGACAGTACAGTGGAAGATGGTCGCGCGATTTCGTGGACTGGTTGAAGTTAGACATTAACACCAACGGATGCCAGCTCAGTGGTCTCACACAAGACTGAAGGCCCTTGGTTTGAACTCCGCCAACGGGATCGTGGATGTGCACTGTTGAGAGGTCCCACATTAGGACGAAACGCCCATTCAGTGCTTCCATGTTTTAAATGGTGGTATAACATTAATCGGTTCATGAGCTCAATCAACAACTGATGTGATTAGTGAGAAAAGGGGAGAAAATAAAGAAGAAAAAAAAGAAAGAAGTCATAACTTACGGTGGTAATTCAACATTATCTACACTATCACCTGGTTGTCGACAGCCTAATTTTAATCCACTTCGATTAATAAACATTTCTGGTTGAAAATAAAATTCAGGTACTAATTCTTTAACACATGAAACAGAAGTAGTGGCTAAACGCCATGTTGTTGCAATTGAATGAAATAAACGATCGGGTACATCGAAATTATTATCTAGAAAATGAAAATACACATAGATAACCAAAAAATGTTATTCTGTTTACACATTCATGATTAGAAAAACAAAGCGTTGACAGTAAGAATAAATAATCAATAGTCAGTTCCGAAATTATGTTCCATACTAGTTAGTAAGTTATTAGTCAGTCAGTCGTCAACATCGTAGAACTTCATACATACGTACATCAGTTCGAGTTGCCATGCCACATTAACATACAGATACAATTGTTGATTCAAGTCCCATAGTACTAGAGGTAGTAATGGTACAAACAGTAATCGGAAAGATTAGGTTTTGAAGATATTATTCAAGGAATATAATCAAGTGAAATAAATTTAGAAAGAGAACAAGTAAAGGGACATATATATATATATATATATATATATATATATATATATATATATATATATATATATATATATATATATATATATATATATATATATATATGTCCCTTTACTTGTTCTCTTTCTAAATTTATTTCACTTGATTATATATATATATTCCTTTGATTATAAGCTTCCGTTTGACTTACTGACTACTATTATACGGTACACTATCCTTAAGCCATTGTGAGGAGATTACTGTTTCTTAATCATTGACAAATCTAAGCTACGCAGGAACAACCAAGTGATATATATATATACACAGTATAGTTACTTAATCAGTCAGTCAGCTACAACGTAGGACCAGGCATTTTTGTGTTAGTTCCATACTTGTTGAGACCTTACCGCAGGAGACGGATGTCCGTGAGATAAGGCGAGGTGTGCATTTCTAGGGTCGACCTTTTCTAACTCCACCCCTGTTTGTGGGAAGGTAGCGTCGCTGTCATGTAGATTGTTTGAAGGAAACACCTTACTGCCGTCACACCTCTGTACAGTCAGCAGTACGACTTCGGACCTTGGGTTTGCTGCTTTCAACCTTACCGTTCTTTAACGGACCTGTCTGGCATGGTAGGACCTTGAGGAACGATTGTTCCAGCCAGTATGGCTCGATTGGTTCATCACGATAGGCAAACCCAACCGCCACGTCAAGGTAGCAACAACGGTCAGGTAGTTACTTAATGGTTATAAAATAAGAATACATATATAATAGCAGTCTATAAATAGATCCTAACGGTTACTATTCACTTATTCTTCGTTCGGATATAACACATTTGGTCATTGATATGTCGGTATCATTATTAGTCAAGTAATGTAACGCAGAGTGCCCTCTTAATTCATGAATTTAACAAAAAGAATAACCAGCGAAGATAGGTTATCTTAGAAAGTTATTGATGTATATTTTCCAACCATTAGTAGTGCCTTTAAACCAGTTACTAAGCAAAAATTATCACAGGATTGTGATTTTAATCTGAAGAAGTTAGTTAATTAATCTCATAGCAGTAACCTGTGCTATCTGGCTCATTAGCGTTGATCGAATTCAATCGATCACACTGCAATGTAGCCAATAATCTAATTGATTTAACTTCTTGTGTATGATTTTGAGATGCTAAGTGGATATAGACGTCATCCGTAAACTAATCGAGCCATAATTGATCTCCTGTAAAACTAAGATATTTTCATTCATTCATTACTCGGTACTAACTAATTTTATGTTAGTTTACTGTTAAATACTGATTAGATTCTATCAATCAAGTTGGAATCATACTCTCTTAGATTTCCAAAATCCGAAATTAAGATGTACTATTTGACATAAAGTGATAGGAGGGAAAAATAGTGAAAAGTTCATAGGTTAAGGTTCTATGACAGTTAGAACTTGTCAGCAGGACATAAATTCGATTTTGGGAGAATTGATGTTCATAATCACAGAATTAATGGAAATTTATATCAAACATTAATCCATTTTACTCTGTTCATAATCCACACTACGACTTTACTTCAATGGACATTTCAGTGGTTTCGATCTACTGATTTGCCAAGGAATTAAAGACATATTGGCCAAAGATGGTGCATTGACTTAAGTTAGACATTTGCCCTCATCGGATCTCGGCTTAGAGGTTTAGCCTTTACGCAAGAGGTTGAAGGCCTTGCGTCCGAGTTCCGGACGCGAAGTCGTGGATGTGCACTGTTGAGGGATCCCTTACTAGGAGGAAGAAAGTTTTCTTAGGTTTCCAACACTTGTCTATTAGAGATCGGTTCGCAATTTCAGTAATATAAACTAGCTTTTAAGGACGCTTAAAACATATGTGGCCATTGTGAGATTACTGTTTCTTAATCATTGACGAATCTAAGCTACGCATGAACAACCAAGTGATAACGGTAAAAATCCAAACTGTTAAGGGAAATAAGATAAGAATACCCTTGTATAGTTCACCTTGAAAACGTAAATGACGAAAAGTGTATGGGGGTAGACGAACAAGAAAATGTAACACAATTGCTTCATTTGAACAATGCGCTGGATAATGATATGGTGGACAAACATTACTTAAATTCGATAAAGTAGATGTTTTTGATTTTATTTCCAATGCTTCTGGATGTGATGTAGATAATGTTTTGGAAAGTAATTCGGCTTCATTAAATCGTGCTGCTACAGCTTCAGCTCTATCGTCTTCTTGTACAGCTATTGGACGGTCTAACCGTCGAAATGTAGTCGGTTGGGTTAAGTCTAACACAAGACTTTCATAATCCTTTAAAAAAAAGAAGATCAGTACATAATTCGACAGAAACCCTTAACAAGTTAACGAATATTTTAGCTGATCAATAACTAAGGAGTATGATTTACATATACAAAAGTATTAAAGTAAATAATACAGGGTTTTAAGCATTCACTGAAGGGAAACAATATGTATCACAGTTTATTGAAGGAGAAGAATAGGAAAGCAAACTTAACAAATTAAATTAATAAGCATAGTAAACATCACGAACAATGAAAGCTCCGAAGAACTAGAGAACTGTCTCGTTCCAGTACGCGGCTCTTAAGCAGTGGCGGATTTCAATAAGGTTTAAAATCATGATATTTAAGTCTCTTAGCAAGTGCCTAGAATTTAGACTATTGAGTCATTATCCAAAGGTTAGGATTTCTAAATCAAATAAATTCACAACCATTTCCTAACGCCTCATATTCAACAAGGTTAATGTTTTCTGTTCAATTCTTCCTCGTTATCGGTGCTTGTCCAACACTAAGGTTAGATGTAACTCAACCCCTTAAACTAAAAAAATATTAATTTATTACTCATTAGTGAGTAACTTCATTCATTGGCTGAGAATTTACCGATAATGCAGAATAATCAACATGTCATAACGCAAATCAATAAACTATTTAACATAAAACAAAAGGACAATTCAATTTTACATATTGAAATGAAGCCACTCCAAGGCTGACCAACTGAAAACCGTATCATAATACGTAACTACACATATCATTCATTTAGATTTGTACTATTTAACATTGTTCCGTAGATATTGACAGGAGTTATTTGCAAATTTCATTTTGCAATTTCGGGAGTCCAATCGTATTAACTAATCAGGTACATGCATTAATGATGAGCTGTTTGCTGATTCCATTATCTACGCAAACTAAGCTAGAAAATGTGTTTCGCCCATGTTATTAGAAGTAGGAGAGATAATAGGAATTGAATTGGGAGGTTGATTATGAATACAGGGGTCTTGAGTGCTGCTAGAGGTATGAAGGCGGTTATCACTTCCCTGTTGTTCACAGCGTGGAAAGGGTTCTTCTAGAGGAACCTGAAAAGGAAATTGGATTAAAGGTGGTCCTAGAGACCTGAGAGCGTGACCGCAATGCCCAAGGGACAACTGTTTGAGGTCGGTCAAACACGACTTTTTTGTGGGTAATTTTTGTGTTAGCTCCGTACTTGTTGAGACATTACCGCCGGAGACAGATATTCGTGGGATAAGGCGAGGTGTTCATTTTTAGGGTCGACCTTTTCTAACTCCACCCCACCTCTCCTTGTAGGAAGGCAGTATCGCTGTTAATCTGGTTGTTATTTATGATACCGAATTAAAGATATTGCATTTATTAAGGTATAAGACTTGAAATGAAATTCTCGATAAAACTTACGCTTTAAAAGTAGTCTATACTCGTCCACTAAATGAAAAAATAAGTGTAGAAAAGTTCAAGCACGATATACTTAGTGAATATGGCAACATTACAGATAACCACACCTCAAGCATATACAGTTAAATACAGAATTTAGGTGCCGTTCCATTTTCTGAGCTGAATAGTTTGGTTGTGAAGCTGGACGACATCATGAACACAAACTACCTGAAGCTGTACTACCAAATCATCCAGCTCAGAAGATGAAACTCTACCTTAATCATCCACCTGAGTTACAAATCCTCTCTACAGAGAGGAGAACATTTTACTAAACTATTCAAAAACAAATAGGCATACACGTATAATCCATGGAAATATAGGATATTGCATTAAATCATTATAACTTCGACCAGCCATTGTGTTTAATTTCATTAAATAATCAAAATTTGATAATTCACCATTTAACCATTCTTGTTGCACATTTTGTAATTTACATTTTTTTAATTGTTTAAAAGTACAATGATGATGATGATTCAATGGGAGAGGATTAAATATTTCAGATTGTTCATATGTATTCATTAAAAATGGATTATAATAGTGATGAATACAATAACATGAATGATGACCAATTAAAGGAGTGATAGTTTCGATAAAATTATCTCTGTCCTATAATTTAAACGAAATAAATATAAGAAAGAAATATTATTATTATATAAAAAAAATATGTAGTTTGTAAAAAACGAGGATAAAATAAAGATTTTGATGGAGTTTTGTTTTTTGAGCTGGATGGTTTGATTGTGGAACTTTCACCGTACTTCTGAACGACATCATCAGCATAAACGTCAAGTAGAAGCGAAATGTTCGAATTTCTTCACACATGACTAACAGCTTATTTTGTCGACTTCGATATTGATTGTTTAATGTTAATATTTAATCTGTCATTAATTGCCTCTTCATTTTCATTGTATCTCCCGTTGACTTGATTCTTGGTTCTATATTTCGCTATGATTTCTTGGGATCAGTTGATAAGTTGATTTGATTTCAATGTGTTTATTGATTGTTGACTGATCTGAGTCCCAAGTATCTGAAAAATACTTGGATGTTTTTGGTATCCCCTGTTTCCAAGATTTCCATATTTCCCCAGTACAATATTTGTCCACAGTTGTCTACATGCATTATTATAAGCGAGTATATATCATGGCGTTTGACCTTGTAGGCAAAGATGAAGAGGGCGTCCACTTTGCCCGATGTAGCATTTTTCGCAGTTGTAACAATTTATTTTGCAGATGATGTTCGGTTTTTCTTCATTTGTCATTTCGTCCTTTGATTAGCGTAGGATGCATCCAGCCCAAACAATAAAACTCCACTATAATCATTCACCTGAGCTACAAATCTCAACCATTACAAAATATAGAAATTAGAGTGAGTAATATTACTCTTGGTAAATCAACTCAATAAGTATTAAAACTAATTGTACTGAAAACATTACTACTGATTAAACTTACTTACTTACGACTGTTACTCCTCGTGAAGGAGCATAGGCCGCTCACCAGCATTCTCCATCCAACCCTGTCCTGGGCAATCCTTTCAAGCTTTTTCCAGTTCTTATTCATCTTTTTCATATCTGCTTCTATTTCCCGACGTAATGTGTTCTTTGGCCTTCCTCTTTTCCGCTTCCCTTAAGGATTCCCAGTTAGCGCTTGTCTCGTAATGCAGTTTGATGATTTCCTCTATGTATGTCCTATCCATTTCCATCGTCTTTTCCTAATTTCCGCTTCCGCTTCCGCTGGAAGCTGGTTGGTTCTCTCCCACTACTGATTAAAGAAAGTAGTATATTTCAATAGTTGGGATCATGAGTCAATTGAAGCTAGACCAACATGGAAAATCTGAAAGCACTGGACGGCCGTTTCGTTCTATTGTGGGACTCCTCAGCAGTGCGCATCCACGACCCCGCTTCGCGGGATTCGAACCAACTAGACCACTGAGCCAACCGACATCAAATGGTGTTAATGTCTAACTTTAACTAATCCACGAAATTGAGCGACACATTCACCAATGTTTTCAGTTACTTAATATCTCACAACTGACCCGGTTGGACTCCACTGGTCACTGCTTCTCACTAGAACTCCAGAAAGTACTTCTTGAAGCCAGTTACTAGTGAGCATCATCCAATTTGGATGATACATATAATAATTAGGTTGCTCTTATAATGAACAGGTGCAAAACTAAAGCAATATGTACATTCGCATCGATGACACATTCATTATCGTCGATCAGTGTATTTGAAAAAGGGAACTATAATAGAGGTTTATTAGTGCAAATTTGAAAAATGAAATCATTTGTGAAGAGGAGGAGCTTAAAAAAACAAATTACAGTCCGTTGACGTTTCATCAGGCAGAAAAGTCAAGTCTTTCAGTAGAAATTTGTCTATAAAAAGTTTATCTGCACGCATCTAAGCACTATCCTTACTTTCGTACCCATTTATTGCAAAATAAACTTAATCAAATGTTTAACAGGCACAGCAGAAAAGATATGGTCAGATAACACGATAAACACACGACCACCGTTAGAGGAAAAAACACACACTTTTTGTTAGAGAAGTCCCAAAACATCCATCGTTAGAGTCTATATAAGCTTAAAAACTTTAGGAAACATTTTATCCAATACGCGTTGATTAGAAGCCTTGAGGAGAAAAGTATAGACAATACAGAACTGTGTCTTACGGTTTGACTGAGTATTTACCTATACTGCTAATATATTTAATATAATTCTGGAAATTTCTAGAAGCCAAAGGCTGTGTGTAACTCTAAAGATACCATCGTTTTTTGCCGTACACAAAATGATCTTGGAGTAAAACGTTTACTCTCGATTCATGCCTTCTCTCTTTTGTTAAAGTTGGGGTTATCAGAACCGCTTAGGAATACTGTTTAGATGTATCGATAGTAAAGTTTATCGCGATTTCACGATTTCGACTAATATTGAAATTAGTCAAGATTACGTTTTTAAAGGAACTCGGCTATCATCATCATCAATCATCAATTGTCATCATCATCGATAAACAAGGAGGATGGGATGCAGATGTAAAGGCGAGGATTGGAAAAGCAAGGACAGCATTCCTATAATTAGAGAACATATGGAAGTCAAAACAACTGTCTGTCAACCAATATCAAATTCACAATCTTCAATACGAACATCAACACAGTCAGTTCTATTGTACGTAACTGAAACTTCGAGAACTACTACAAGCATCATTAAGAAGTTATAAGTATTTATACATAGTTGTCTACGGAAGATACTCAACATACATTAGCCGGATACCATTAGAAATAGCCTTCTGTGGGAGAGAACAAACCAGATTGAGTTGAAGAGGAAATTAAAAAAAGACGATGGAAATGGATAAGACATGCACTACGCAAGCCCTAACTTGGAATCCTGAAGGGAAGCGGAAAAGAGGAAGGCCAAAGAGCACACTACGTCGGGAAATAGAATCAGACATGAAAAGAATGAATCACAACTGGAAAGAGTTGGAAAGGATTACCCAGGACAGGGTTGGATAGAGAATGCTGGTGAGTGGCCTATGCTCCTTCACGAGGAGTAACAGACTTAAGTAAGTAAGTAGCGTTCTTAAAGTAGAACCTGACAACCCAGTACAAAAGACACTAGTTGATATATTTATAAATATATCTATCTGACACAAATACTAATGTTGTTGAGTGAAGTAATAATGATAATATTGATAATAATAGAAACTATGTGACTCACTTATCTAGTAGATTCTTATGTACTTATTTTTTAGAAACTTATTAGTAATGATAACTAGAAGTTCAAACCCGAAAAAGAAGTGTGAAGTTCGCATAGACAACTTCTTCAGTTGAAAGTTTATTTATTTAATTTAATTAACTTACTTTAGAAGAATACATAGCAAAAAGCATTGGTGCATTCACATCTGTTTCATCGGGAAATATTTCTACTGCAATATCACGTAATGAATATCGACGTGCTTCAATATGATGAATTGATTTGAAAGACCATGCAAACCATAATCGATTAGAAGGACTTTGATAGGGATACAACGATTCCTAAATAAGAAAATAAAACGTGATTTGATTGGTGGATTTGCATAAATACAATAACAGATTTATTCTTTTTATTTATAATACATAATCTTTTGGCTTGGAAGAAAAGTACCACAAAAACAGGAAAATAAGATATGCACATAAATATTGTCTCATAAGTATGGTGGGATACTAAGACAAAACTTCCCGTAACTTGGACTCTGAACTACGTCTTATGACAATCGCATAGTCACGGAATTGTATGACCTTTAAAACTTCAACCAACGAGTCATGATAGATCAACAGATGTCAGGAATACGGATCTATCTTTCATGCTAGACCTTATATTTCGAAAATAAGAAGCTTTCTGACTATTTCTTTCAATACCAGCCTCAGCTTATGATGTACTTTACGGAATCCATCGGTATAGAAATAGATGTAGGAAGGTGTGAATATATATTTATAACCGTCGCTGTGATGGATCCATTATTTTAGAGTAATAAAATCAGTCCATAGAACGTAATAATAAAAAGACATAAACAAAAAATCTCAAACGGATAGATTTACGAAGATGGTGGACACTACAAAATTATATCTCTATCACTCGTTTAAGGTGATATATGGTGTCTGTTATTTATATCAACAGAGATAAGTAGTATGTAACACTAATCGGAAGTCGAACAACTGACAGCAGACGGCTCAGAAGATCAAATCGAATAGAACGAGAACACATAGTAATTGTAATAGCAGTGAAGGAACGATGAAAATTGAGACAATTGATCGACGATTTGCAAATGAAGTATGGTTTTCGTATTTTACGAAAGAACTCTGTAATTATATATCAAACAATGAATCAATTATCTCTACCTGAGTGTTCATTCACTACAGATAAACGATATTCATGATAAGACGTAATTTGACCGTTAAATGGCTCCGTAGCACTATTTTTCAAAGAAAACATAAAATGGCATGAAGCTAGAAGAGATTTTGTGTTAAGAAATGATTACAAAAAATCAATATAATGCGCTAAGCAAACGAAACTGAATTACCTCAAGACTAAATACCAAACAAGGTGTTAAGCTCAGTTAAAGTTCACTAATAAAATAATATGAGAATATGTTCTACAGTATGTAATTTAAAGTTTTTATTTCTAATGCAAACTTATTCATTCCTTAAAACAAGAATTAACTGTATTATAAGTCATATTGTGGTGTGCTACTTATGTAGACATAAGTAGTATATGATGTTGGACGTAAACAGAATGTTTGGCAGCAGAGAGACAAGAAGACCGAACAGTAAAGGATGAAAACAGAATGCGATTTGTGTAAAAATGCAAGAACAAAGGAAGTCTGAGTCATTTGAGACAACTGATGGACATTTTTCAAATTGACTATTTATTATATGGTTGTTAAATTTTACTAACTAGTTCTGTAATTTGCTTCCGAATACATTCGGTTGTTCCCACCCGTGTTCTTGTTCACTATAATATCAATGTATGAAAGCAGGAGGCATTCAGGACTCAGTAGCTAAGTGAAAAACACGATGGCGTTTGAAGCGAACGGTACTGGGTTCGAGTCCCGGAATGAATATCAACTCTGGGATGCAGGTACGTCCAGCTAACGATTACGAATAGGATGAACCGCGTGCCATTATCCATCTTTGCTTAAACAGGAAAAAATTGTTGATCGTCGCTAACCATATTTAACTTCCAGAAAATAACAAAACTTTCAAAATCATGTCGATCAAACTGAATAATAATAATCTACTTACAATCTCAATAAATTGCACGTTTTTACTGTCATTACAGTCATCATTCATCAATAAATTTCTATTCATTAGTGGATCAGGTTGAAATCTTAACCATGTTTGACCAAGTATTAAATCACCTTCAATAGGTGGAATATGTAGAATACCAACTAAACGACATGCCCAAACAGCTTGAATATGATATCGGCTAGCTGATGCTAGTTGTATTAATGGAATAGATGATAATGGTAAACATAATGGTAAATTATGCCATGTACAAGCTGCACCAACTACAGGTGGAGAATCATTCATGATTGATGGTAAACCAATTAACGAAGCAAGTGGATGTGATTGACGCGCGGATACTGTAAAATTAAGAAACGAGAAGCAATAATATTGATATAACGATACTTTTCTTTACAAATAAGACCAATATTGAAGTGGTGGCCTAAAGTTGGATATTAGTTCAGTGTGGGTTATCGGTAGTAAATAGTGTGTTACTTAGTATATATCACTAAGGTGTAACTGAAATATTGAAGGAACTGATAGTTCTTGTTATTCAGTTTCTCATTGTGAGATTTTACGACTGAGGTATTCAGGTTATGCACTGGCTAAAACGGGTTCCAATACCATAGGAACGGCCAATACTAACAAAATTGCAGATACTTCTTGTGCTACTGTCAGCACCATGAAACCAAAACCTAGGGTTTCCTGAAGATTACCTATAACCCTCTTACATCAAAATGTGGTGTACGTGATATCGTGTCACTTAGACTAGCTCATTAACAAAATTTGACCAGCACTATTGATTAGGTCTTAGTGTGACCTATTAGTATAATGTACGCACCAATGAGAGGATTATGCAACGTAACTGATAAAATTCAATCAACATTAAATGTTTCAACAAAAATTAAATTGATTACTACCATTCGTTGATGAATCTTTTGTAAATATCTAGTTTTACAGGAGGTCAAATGAAAGCATCTCCGACTGTGGAGCTAGATAAGGTAAACCTGAATATCAATCAAAAGGAGCATCAGTTTTTTCAAGATTATTAACAAATCAAGGTGATGAATATCAACTAGTACAAAGCAGATGAAATAATATCTAGAGAACATTAAATACAAATTAGTTTATCTGAAAGACTAGACCATTTATGATTAACAAATTAACTTGGTTCATACAAAAACAAATCTTATGATGTAATATGTGGTTCAGAATAAACATGATAAGGGTTCACATCAAAATGTTCCAGTTCTACAACTGGAAAATCTAGTGAATAGAAATAATTCTAATATAATCTTGAACTCAATTCATTAGGTCGACTTGAATAGTAGATTATAATTTAAAATAAACCTGAGAGAGATTCCATGATGATTTGATTGAGATCATGAACTGAACACCATTGAAAACATGGAAGCACTGGATGGCCGTTTCATTTTATTGTGGAGCTCTTTAGTAGTGCTCATCCATAATACCGCTCGAGGGATTCGAACCCAGGGCCTTCAGTCTCGCTCGCGAACGCTTAACCACTAGAACATCGAGCCGTCATCTAACAGTGTTAATGCTTAACCTGAACCAATCCACGAAATCGCGCGACCATCTGTTGTACTGAGGTAGTTACCTGTCTCTACCCGACACTGACCAACTCCACTGGTCACGGCTTCTCACTAAAAAATCCGAGAATTCTTCCACGAAGCTATTCATTAGTGAGCACATGGTAATTACCAAAATGAGGTTGTGGAAATTATTATGATTTTAATTGAGATCATGAACCGACTGATGTTAGACCAACATTGAAAACCTGAAAATACTGGACGAATTGGAATCCCGCGAGCGGGATCGTGGATGCGCCCTGCTGAGGAGTCCCATACTAGAACGAAACGGCCGTTCAGTGCTTCCAGGTTTTCCATGGTGATCTAACATTAATCGGTTCACGATCTCAATCAAAAACCTAATAATATCCACAACCTCATACTGATAATTCTATGATTCCATGTAGAATCAGTTACTCAGTAATCATGACTGAAATATATTCCCATTATATTTCAGTGGTAATAACATTTTACTGTTTATATTTGAAGATAGCTGAAGCCGATTAGGAGTGAAGTTGTCAATGTGTACTCTTGAAAAATCAGATACAAATAGAAGTCAATGGTCTTGTTACATTCAATGATATCCTGTTATGTTAATATGTAAATTGTTTACAAATTAAAAGAAGTTTTATAAATCAACAGTATTATTAAACTTCTCATCCATATGAAAGCGTAATCAAATACAAAATTGAAAATTCGAATGAATTCATAAAAATTATCACTAATATCCGAATAGAAGAAGATGGAATGATGGCAAGTTTTGATGTTTGCTCATTGTTCACTAATGTTCCAGTTAATAAAGCTTTAGATATTGTAAATAATCTCTTAGATTAGGACACTGAACTTAAACAACGTTGTCCTCTAGATCCCTCAGATATGATTAAAGCGTTGGATCGATGTTTACACTAAACTGTTTTCAATTTTTGAGGAGATTTGTACAGACAAATAGAAGGTGTAGCTATGGGATCACCAGTTTCTCCAATTGTTGCTAACCTATTTATGCATTCATTGGAAGCAAGTGCTATCTCAATGAGTTCCGTTCCACGAATATTTAATCAAGATACGTAGATGATACTTTAGCCATTATAAAACGAGATTCTGTGGTGATACCATATCGTAAAATTATTTCAGAAGAGATCAGAAGGATTCTAACTCTTCAAAATATAAAAGTATTCTTTCGTACAAACAATACTCTAAGATCAAAACTAGTAAGAATCAAAGATCCAATACACAAGGATGAGCAACAGAATTGTGTTTATGAAATCAAATGTAATGATTGTAATGAAACGTATGTAGGTGAAACATCAAGGCAATTGAATGTGAAGGTGAAGGAACACAAACTGTGCTTAAAGCACATTCCTAAATCCTGAGATGATGTAAGAACACTTGAGAACAAATCAGCAATAGCATTACACTCGAATGAATCGGGTCATACAGTTGATTTTAATGGCGCAAGAATCATTCAAAAAGGCCTTAATTCTTACAAAGAACGACAAACAGCCGAAGCCCTACATATGTGGGCAAATCCAAACAGTATTAATAAGAGAGATGGAATGAAATTAGCTGTCCCATGGCAATTACTAATTAATAAGTAAACCTGTACTCTTTATCCTATTTTATTTAACTCTTATTATTTGAATAACAGCAATTATATTCAATGGATCTAATTAGTTGTCTTATTTGAATATCACTGGTTGAAATCATGAATCCATTGAAGCTAGAAAACCATGCAAAACCTGGAATCACTGGAAGGCCGTTTCGATCTAGTATGGGACTCCTCAGCAGTGCGCATCCACGATCCCGCTCCTCGCGAGATTCGAACACAGTACCTATCAGTCTCGCGAAAAGCGGGATCGTGGATGCGCACTGCTGAGGAGTCCCATACTAGGACGAAACGGCCGTCCAGTGCTTCCAGGTTTTTCCATGGTGGTCTAGCTTCAATTGACTCATGATTTCAACCAGTGAAGTTTCTAAAATCTCCACACAATCCCTTCTGATAATAATAATCATCTGCTCACCGGTGCCTGACTTCAAGAGATACTCCTAGAGTTCTAATGAGAAGCCGTTACCAGTGGAGTTCAACCAGGTCTTTTGTGAGATATCAAATCACTGAAGACAATGATGAACGGTGGCGCAACTTCCTGGATTGGTTGAAGTTAGACATTAACACTGTTGGATGCCGGCTCAGTGGTCCAGTTAGTTAAGCGCTCGCGCACGAGACTGATATGTCCTGGGTTCGAATCTCGCGAGGGACGGGATCGTGAATGCGCCCTGCTGAGGAGTCCCATACTAGAACGAAACGGCCGTCCAGTGCTTCCAGGTTTTTCCATGGTGGTCTAGCTTCAATGGATTCATGATTTCAACCAGTGAAATTTCTAAAATCTCCACACAATCCCTTCTGATAATTATTTGAATATGTCAAACAACTGACTGGAACATTAAAATAACACAAACATTCATTGACAAATACATTTTTCTTCTTTGAATTTAGTCTTTTGTCTTGTTTCTCTCCATTTTATACATGCTGTGACATTTTCGATTCATATCACATTGAAAATTATATTCACTTCGTGTTGTTCTACTTGTATCTTCCCATTTTTATTTAGGACTGCAGTTGATCAGTCTCTTATTGGCATATGTGTATCCTGTGAGGTTTACCTCGATAGAGCCTTAAGTCACAAGCTTTATAAGCAAAGATGGATAGTGGCTAGTAGTGTAATTTAGGATGCGCGTTTCGTCCTATTTGGGACCCGTCAGCTGGATGTACTCAGTACTGTTCGCTTCAAATGCTATTGCGTTCTTCACTTAGCTACAGGGTCCTGACAGCCACCTGAACATCAATCCCGGGACGCAAGTACATCCAGCTGACGAGTCTTAAATACAACAAAACGCGCATCCTGGAATCCACTGTTAGCCACTACCCATCTTTGATTAGAAAATTATATGTTTTTTTGACATTCACCGACTAAAGACAATATATAGTGAATTAAATTTCTCCTCGCTTACGTATACACACAATCTGTTACCTTAACATTTCGTTTCACATCACATGTCTCTTACACACTAATGCCAATATCTACTTTAAAACTATTTAGTATACAGTGAACCGGAGAACCATGTACCTTATTTATATTTGATAGTTTTGATTTGATTATATTTCCGTGAAAAAGCTTAAACTAGATTACCAGATGAAACGTTGGATTTACTTCAAATTCATTTGGTGAGATTTTACAAATACAGCTACTTCCTCTTGAATTTTTTATCCATCTATTTCATGGTGGTCTAGCTTCAATTGACTCATGATTTCAACCAGTGAAGTTTCTAAAATCTCCACACAATCCCTTCTGATAATAATAATCATCTGCTCACCGGTGCCTGACTTCAAGAGATACTCCTAGAGTTCTAATGAGAAGCCGTTACCAGTGGAGTTCAACCAGGTCTTTTGTGAGATATCAAATCACTGAAGACAATGATGAACGGTGGCGCAACTTCCTGGATTGGTTGAAGTTAGACATTAACACTGTTGGATGCCGGCTCAGTGGTCCAGTTAGTTAAGCGCTCGCGCACGAGACTGATATGTCCTGGGTTCGAATCTCGCGAGGGGCAGGATCGTGGATGCGCCCTGCTGAGGAGTCCCATACTAGAACGAAACGGCCGTCCAGTGCTTCTAGGTTTTCCATGGTGGTCTAGCTTCAATTGACTCATGATTTCAACCAGTGAAATAATACAAGTATTACATAAACAGAAAAATAATAAATAGATAACTTCATACAATCTTTCCTTACATAGATTTGAACGTGAATTTGCATGTATCAAACGTTCAGCCATTGGTAAATGTGTATAATAAAATCGACTATGTTGACGTAATGAACTTTCTGCAGGATCAACACACCAACCAAATGGAATAGATTCCGAATGATAAAATAATCCTCTTTGTTAACAGAAATAAACAAACAAGAAAATGAGAAATAATAAGAGCTTTAGCAACAACAACAATAAAAATGACATGAAAATATCAGTTCGATCTCTTTTTTTCAAATCAATAAACTATGTTTAGTTCTCAATTCACTTGGTATCAGTCAGTTAGTCAGTAATAAGGTAGAACTTCATACGTACCTACATCAGTTCGAGTCGCCATACCACATTAGCACAGAGATGCGGTTGTCGATTCAAATCCCATAGTGGTAGAGATAGTAAAAGTATAAGCAGTAATCCAAAAGATTAGGGTTTGAAGATGTTATTCAAGGAGTATAATCCAGTGAAATAAATTTATTTAGTATTGTTTATTTGAATCTTCGTATTGATGTTTAGGACTGTAATAGATCAGTCACTTATTGGCATATGTGCATACTGTGAGTATTGCCTTGATTTAGGCTTAATTCACAACAATTATAAGCAAAAATGGATAGTGGCTAGCAGTGGAATCCAGGACGCACGTTTCGTCCTATTTGGGACTTGTCAGCTGGATGTACTTGCACATTGGAGTTGATGTTTCCGCTAAGGTTCGAACGCGCGTCTTGGATTCCACTTTTAGCCACTATCCATCTTTGCATATGTTTAGTTCTATTATTGTTTCTTAATTGTTATTGATTACTTCCAGTATTCAATGTCAATGGATCCCATATGTATAAATTTACGGAATTGTAAGCTCTTTTTTATTCATATCCCTTCCAACCTCTTACACAGGGACGCCTTTCGCCATACACTGACAAATCAATAACAATGTACCTCGCGACTAGATATAAATGTACGAACAGCTAAACGTTACTCCAAAGGAATCACCATTAAAATATTTTATCTTAATGATTATCTTCCTTACACTTCTACATGAGATTAAACAAGAGTTTCCATTTGAATCATGATGAAGTATATACATGTCACAAACTGTCTGACCATCACTACATCCCTCAATACTATCGATTTATAATTTATAAACATAGAAATAATTTCTATTGAACGACATAAACCAAACAATTCATGTATTACTATTATTCGGCTGCTCACAGTGGAAGTAAATAGAAAGGGGCTCAAATTAGAAACTTAGTAACTGAAAGTCAGGAAGATCAACTATTGAGTAATAGCTTCGAAATCAGATTCAGGTGGTTTATGGATTACTTGAACAAATGACTTTATATTTCAAGTATTTCCAAGACTGTTTGATTTTGAACTATGAGTACCAGTGAAATTTAGAAGGAACATTTTGCTTTATTTAGTAAACACACTTGTACCTACCTAAATATTACTGTTCACACCGAGACTTGAACTCAATATCTATAGCTTAAAATCCTGAAATGTCATTCCAAACAACCTAAAAGACAACTACTTGGAGTTTGTAGTAGTGAACAATAGATTTTGTGCAAGCATATCAAGCTGATAAGTAACAGACACATATATTTGAATCACTCAATAAACAAAGTAAAACAGCGAATCAAAGCATAAATTTATTACCTGCTATGACTTAAATGTTCAGATACACGAGCCCAAAGTACAGTTCCTAATGGACCTACAATACGTTTACGTTCACTATAAGCATCTAACCATGCATTATGACCATCAACGCATTGTTTACGTGCTTGATTACACAATTGTGTAATAGAAAATTTTCTTGCTAAATATTTTTTAGATGAAACATTCAATGATGAAAAGAGATTTTCATTATTCGGTAATTTGTTATTGGTTGATTTTGGCCAAAACATTTGTATCAATTGAACAAGTATTGACTTGAAAAGTTAGACAAAAAAAACAGAAAACAGATAAAGAAGAGATTTGGATAATGCAGTTCAGAATACAATGGAATCAGTGAATACAAACAAATCTATGAAGTCACTGACAAGTGGACTGAGCCATGTTGGTAGGTGTAGACTACCTAGTTGGGATCCGCGAGATAATAGCAACCGATGGTTAGAGACCTTGAATGACATGGCTCAAAATCATTTGCAATGGCACAGGTACATCTATTCATTGTGTTCTCCCAAATTGTAATCTTCTGAATTCATATCCCTTTACTTGTTCTCTTTCTAAATTTATTTCACTTGATTATATTCCTTGAATAATATCTTCAAAACCTAATCTTTCCGATTACTGTTTGTAATATTACTACCTCTAGTACTATGGGACTTGAATCAACAATTGTATCTGTATGTTAATGTGGCATGGCAACTCGAACTGATGTACGTACGTATGAAGTTCCACGTTGATACTGACTGACTGATGAACAAATTAATGAAATAAGTATGCAAGCAATATTATAAGCATTGCTATTTCAGAATGAGTTTTTTGTTGAACACTTACGTAACTGTGCTAAGGAAATCATATAATTACTTAATTATTATTATTGCTGTTAATGTCTTACTAACAAAGGTAACCCAAAATGATTTTTATCTAATTTAGTTGTTTTTTTTTTTACATGAACTTGGCTTTCTTCTGATTGGTTGTTACTACATACAATGTCCTTCAATGTTACATCCAAGTTCTCATTACTCTATAAACACTGTGTTGTACCATTTATAATATGTTTGGATATCTAATTTCTCTATGGTTTATCTTCTTTCTGTTCTAGAAGCTAACTGTTGAAGTGTGGCGTGCCAACTACCATCATATTCCGAAATAAAACAGTGAATATTAGAGAATAGCGTAATCATTTCTCGATTCGGCCAAAATATAAGAAACTGATAACAATTATTCATTCAATTAATAAACACAATGAAAATATTAGAAAAAAAAAGGAACTTGGAAAAAGTAAAATACTCAGAATTACAGCTTCTAAATGCCTTGATATTGCTGAGGATAAGAAGAATCCTCTCTCACTATCGAAATGCTCTCACATGGCCACATGTATACAGCCACTAAGGGGGAAGTTCGAATCACTGCTTTCTCGCGGCATTACTGTTGTCTACGAAATTGAGAGGCGACAAAAAAGTATCCGGGGCTCCCACCGGGTGGACACGAGGAATCTACATAGGGGAATCGGGTAACCTTGATTTCAAACCAATGGTTCACATGGGCTCCAGGATGCTGAGGGAACAAATGGCGTATAAATCAATTATTGGTCACCGGCTATCATGAGACTGCATCTACTTACATTGCTCCACCATCAAGTCAAATTTTATAAGTGTTGCCCCCTAAAAAACCTACCTGCTTCGGTCTGGGCACCCAAGCAGTATCACAGCTCACTCACAAATCAAGTGACTTGTGTGGTACGTATGTTTTCAGTGCCCCTTTGTATCAATAATTATGTGTTCAAATAAACAAATAAATAAATCGGAGAGTGGTTTTGTGGATATTATAGTAATTTAATAGTTAAGATCATGAGTCAACTGAAGCTATATCACAATGGGAAACCTGGAAGCACTAGACGGCCGTTTTGTTCTAGTATGCGACTCCTTAGAAGTGCTACTATAATCTTCACAAAAACCTTTTTTGTTAATAATCATCATGTGCTGACTAGTGATTGGCTTCAAGACATATTTCCTGGAGTTCTGGTGAGAAAACGTAATCAATGGATTTCAACCGAGTCTGTTGGGAGATAGTAACTCACTGATGAAAATGGTGAGCGCTGGTGAAATTTCGTGGATTGGTTGAAGTTAGACATTAACATCATTAGATGCTCACTCAGTGGTCTAGAAGTGAAGCGTTAGGGCTTGAGACTGATAACTCCCGGATTTAAATCTCGAGAGGAAGGGTCGTCGGTGAGCACTGCTGAAGAGTTCCATACTAGGGTGGGACGGCCGTCCAATGCTTCCAGGTTTTCCATGGTGATCTAGCTTCAATTGGTTCATCAATTCAACTATTAAATAAATTTAAAAAAAAACAATACTCAGAATTACAAACCTTTTTATCACGAACCATAGATACACTTTTATTATTTGTAAATAATTTTAGATGTATTAATTTATTTAAATCAGGCAATGATAAGATCCACTGTTCACCAAGTCTTTTATATGCAATTCGAATTACATTACGATATGTATCTAATTCATATTGTGTAACATTATTGAGTTTCTCTTGTATCCAAGGTGATAATAATATGGATGGTGAAGTTTGTATTGATTTATTACTGATAATATGATTACTGTTAAGTATCATTTCAATAATTGTATATAATTGATTTAATTGTTGATTTATATAACAATTAGATATAATATTCGTTTCATTATTAATTGTTAAGTTTAATAATAAATCATGATTTATATTATGATGATTATCTAATGTATTTAATGATATATATGTTAACCATATTGATAAATTTTGAGATAACCAATATTTTATAGTGATTATATTACTCCAAAATGTAGGGGTATACTAAATAATTAATAAAATATAAAATTGGGATATGAATAAATATGTTATATCCTGATGATAATAATGAATGGTAACTTATGGGATCTATTTCTGGACTAATGCTATACGAATATTTTTTATCATATAATTGTTAAGTAACTAAACTATTCGTATTCGTGTTCCTCTTATCATAAGCTTCATTTCGACCCATAGACTATTATTATACGATTCACCGTTCCTGAGCTATGCCCAGTGTATCGATTGCAGTCTCGCATATTCACAGCCACTTTAGGCTAAATCTTGTACAAATGTTGTTTCCTATTTTATGGTTCGATGTGGTCTGTTTGGCTCGTATATGAACCCAGTACATGATTCATATCACAGAGGCTGATATTGATGTTCCGGACTTAACAGGCTGGGCTAGGCAGGAAACAAGACCGGTAGGGACTCTAGACTGCTCGTACATGTTTTTATGCGTCATTGGCTCGATCGATAATCCATTGTTTTCTGATTGGCAGTATCATTACGTTATACATTAATAGGACAGGGTACAAGTTATAACAAAATAAAAGCAGCAACTGATTACCTTTGTAAAAGAATCAATAAAAGTAATTGTATCTCACTGTAAGTTGGAAGAAAGATAGAAGTGATCAAAATAAAACTCCACCTGGAGGAGCCCCTGTGAAGCTACTACCGGTTCCAAGCCCAGATAAAAGAGAAAGGTTGAGCATGGAGGTTAGCCATCTTATCCCATAGACAATTAACTCGATAAAAAAACGTTAACCAGAAAAACTAATTCAAAACATTTAAACTCTGCCTTGAAAGTTAAAAAGTCTTCATTAAGGAGAGTTATGACGCCACACAGTAAAGGCCGAATTTCTTCAGAAATCATGAGGCTGATGCCTCTTTTGACAACCACAGTAACCATGTAAGTTGGCATCCGTCCATGAAGTCGTTGAATATAAAACTTCATCATGTTAGCAGATACACCCAATCTAGTTGAGAGTCACACCATAACCATTTTCGGTGGTTGCAAACATTCAGTAAAATAGATTAAAATAGGGCTACAGTGACATAGATGAATACAATCTTTATAATTATTTGGATCTTTAGTATAATTATTTCTTCATAAATATCTTTCTACGCTGATATTTAGGAATGTTTAGTTTTTCTTATTACTATGCATTAATAATTCATATTATCAAGTGAATTTCGCCTTGGTATTGTGTGGTACCGCTATAACACATATATCCCAGCCTCTGGTTTGATTTTAACCTACCAACTACAAATTGATATCTATGTTGTACTGATTAATGCCTATTAGCCTGTATGATAGTTCGTTATATTGATCAGTAAATCACTGTGATAACTATGGTCTGACTTGTAGAGGTAATTCCTGGAGTTCTATTTGAAAACTGTTATCAGTGGAATTCAACCATATCATAATTGAAATAAATATCACTGATGGAGGTGGATGACGTTTATGTATTGTTGCGATTTCATAGAAGTTATAAAATACCGATACACTTGTCTAAAAATGCACAGTTACATCAACATGTGAATATCATAGGCTCAATTCTTCATGGGATCATGAATGAGTACTGTTGAGGAATCCTATACTAGGATGAAATAGCTTTATCTAGAGCTCCATGATTTACAATGATTCTCTAACTAAAAACAACCTGTAAAGTGAAACTACAATAATTAGAAATGTTGTTTTTTTCGATGGAGATTGATCCAGTAGCATTTTGACAGAATGTATAACATTTTTTTCTGAATACCTCCAAAACTCTATTTGTTAACAATGGTATAGATCTCATTCAATGAAACTGTATCTTTCTGAATAAATCTCACATTACCAATCTGCATGGCGCCTTTCTAAAAGAAAAAACAACCAATTACGAACAGCACAAATGTGTGAATTTTCGGAAAAAAACATCTAACAGTGATAAACAACCGATCAATATGGACTGTTTATAAATACTTCATTTGGTGTAAGGCAATGACTGTTGCTAATTATAGATCAACGTTGCTGTTATATCTAGAGCTTAGATTCTTAACATGCCACGTATAATGTTAGCACTCGAAAGCTAGAACACTCTTAAATCGCAAATGAGAAGACAGAAGACAAGTGAAAGGTATACTATTTCAAATAGTGTCTATTATGGTACAAAACTGTCAGATATTTACATCTCCGGCTCTTTCTGAGCTTCTTAAAGCTTCCTCGAGTTCGCCTGTGAACCATCCTCATAGTTTCTTCTATGATAATCGAGTATCAACAGGTGTTTAAAAAATCTAAAGATTAAGCTTAATCAATTAACTGAATTTCCATCAATATTCTGTAAACAATATGATTGACACTAATAGGTGAAAGACAAGCAAGTGATGACTTGCCACAACACCAGAAAGTTTTAAGTTCGACCCCTAAAGAGTTTCGTAATATCATGGAATAACTCCTAGTGCTGTCTGGTGCTAAAAAAGAAATCAATTTATAAGAAATATCACCTAGAAATCAATATCATAATAAGCAGTTCAATATAATCTTCATTAAAACTCAACTTACCATTGGTGGTAGGGTTGCTAAACATGAATTCAACAAATAAGAGTCTTCATTAAATAGTTTTAATAAATAAGTAACTAAGAAATCAACAGCTACATCAATTTCTGGTAGTTGTATACGTGAAACAAGAATTCGGCCAAGTGCTTTATTATATAAATTCATAAAATCATTCGTTGTTATACAATTTGAAATATTCGGAATTTTTAATAAATTACCACTCTAAAAGAATAAATATATTTGAAGAGAAAAAAAGTGATACAGTGATAGAGATTATGGATAAGTATAGGGTTGTGATCATTAAGTTATTGACTGAAATCTTAAACTGATTGATGTTAGACCACCACTGAAAACCTGGAAACACTGGATGGCCGTTTCGTCTTATTGTGGGACACCTCAGAAGTGCGCAGCCACGATCCCGCCCGCGAGATAATAGGTAAAGTGTTCGCGCGCAAGACTGTAAACCCTAGGTTCAAATCGCGCAAGCGGGATCGTGGATGCGCACTTCTGAGGTGTCCCACAATAGGACGAAACAGCCGTTCAGTGCTTCTCCGATTTTCAATGGTGGTCTAAAATCAATCGGTTCATGATCTCAATTAAAAACATTATAATCTCCACAACCTCTTTATTGATAATAAGAGTCACCCAGCTTCACGGTCAGAGGTGTTACCAGTGGACTATCCTAGCCGCGACTGACCTCCTGTAGGACTGAGATGTATTTACAATTAATTGGTCACTGGGTGGTGATCAGTGTTTATTTACTTATTTTAACACATAGGTATTGGTACAAGGAGGCACCAAATACATATGCGCCACACGAGTCTCAATTAATTTGTGTGAGGGCTGTGATACTACCCGGGTGCCCGAACCGAAGCAAGTGGTTTTCTTAGGGGGCTACACACCGGTGATCAGTGTGATGTGTGTCAGGTCCTTCTTAGTACAGATCGAATCATATCGAATTATGATTTACAGTTGATGGTTGAAGTTAAGAATTAGATTTAAGATTTTTATCACGAACTGACATCAGCTGAAATGCGTAAGTGCTATTTAACCAAATGGATAAATGAATTTCACGCCAAAATACAAGACCTGTTATCCTAAATCTGATTGGTTCGTCGATAAATTGTAGTCTCACCCTACAAATTCATTAAAATAAATGGAATAAAAAAGAGATAGGAGAAAATAAACAGAAAAGCATATTTTTAATTGAGTATGACACTTACCTGAATATGTTGTGCTGTAGTAAACATTGAAGTGATTACAGCTTGTTCCAAACTTTGATGCATGCATAAAAATAAACTCTTATGTTTTGAAAATAACAAATGTATCTCTCTCATTATCTCACATCTACAGATCTTGTTATTGTCATGATAGAAACAATAATTCGACAGATCACATGAAGTTTGTTTTCTATCAACAACATCATGATGATATTGATGAGGAGTAGAAGAAGTAGTGCCGGTTTGATTCATATTTTGATCGATATCAATTTCTTCCCCTAAATCAACATGAAAACTTTGTATTCTTGTATTTTTATTCTTGTATATTTCAGGCATTGAATTTAACTGATTCAGGATATTGATCATTTGTTCATCTCGATAAGCTACAACAGAGAGTTGAATGATACATTGTATTTTACAACATTTGGTTTAGAAAAGTTCTGTGTTTTTGTTTTTTTGATAAATTGGCCTACTAATATTTTTCTGAGAGTTAAAATGATCTATGTTAGATAATTACCATTCAATAACTCATTCACATGGTAGTATGAAAAGAAATTCTAGCTTCTGTCGATCCATTACAACTACTTGTTGAGATCATAAAGATAGTGCTTCACAGTTTATAAGACATAAGTCAGTTACGGTGCTAGTATAGTTTTATTTAACATTCATCACAAAATTGAGAGGAACGTATGTAAAAGCGGTAGTAGAAATAATCATATACATTTCGTTAAGAATTTATCACAGAGTAAGAACGATAGTGGTAAACGCATATAATGCTCATTTCTTTCAAAGAATAATATACATTGCATGCAATTCAAGCACCAGAAGTCTCTGTATCAATAGGCCTTAATATACACAGGGAGAAAACCAAGATCCTCAAATACAACATGGAAAACACCAACCAAGATAATCACACTTGTCTCATATACATCAATTAGAGAAACTATCAAGTATCGTTTCGATTACAATCTTAAAACATAGACCTGTGTAGGTGGTAAACTCTATAAAATATTGTTTTGATCAAATGCTTTATTAAAAATCGATCGACCAAAATCACAAAAATTCAATTACGAAATCATTCCAAGTACATTACATCTCTCTTCATCACCTACTTACGCCTGTTACTCCTCGTGAAGGAGCATAGGCTGCTCACCAGCACTCTCCATACAACCCTGTCCTGAACAATTCTTTCCAGCTTTTTCCAGTTGTCAATCAACCTTTTCATATCTACTTCTATTTCCCGACATAATGTGTTCTTTTCTGTCTTCATTACATCATAAAATTTTGTTCTACTACCGCTTTCAATCGATTGTATCATTACTTGCCATTTCTAACTTTCTTCTAAATTAATAATCTTATCTTAACTAACTGAGTTTTGTTTGCTTTATTCTTATATATTACTAGAGTTTAGTTATGTTGCATGATCGCTTGTATCCAACTCATTAGGATTTTGTTACAATCGTACTGCTATAGGATATACATTACGCAAATCACTAAACTAACTCCGCCTGTAGCTCTTCCAGAGTTACTGCCGGTCCCAAACCCGGGTAAAGGAGGAAGGTTGGGCATAGGGTTAGCGTCCCCATCCCGTAGAAACCTAACTCGCTAAAAAAACGCTAACCAGAAAAAATAACTCAAACCATTTAAACTCTGCCCTGGGAGTTAGAGGTAATATGACGCTTCATGGTGAAAGTCGAGTTCCTTCGGAAGCCACGAGGCCGATGCCCCTTCTAACAACCAGAGAAACAAGTTTTATAGGTACATGGAACGTCCGGACAATGTGGGAGACCGGGAAGACCAGTCAAATAGCAACGGAAATGAGGAGATACAACTTGGCAGTACTGGGAATCAGTGAAACCCATTGGACCCAAGCTGGACAACAAAGGCTAAATACGGGAGAGATGCTGCTATACTCCGGTCACGAAGAGGAAAATACTCTACACACTCAGGGAGTTGCTCTAATGCTATCCAAATTAGCACAAAATGCACTTGTAGGATGGGAATCTCACGGATCCAGAATCATCAAAGCATCATTCAAAACAAAGAAGGAGGGAATCACAATGAACATTATCCAATGTTATGCACCCACCAATGATAGCAACGACGACGTTAAAGATCAATTCTATGAGAGGCTGCAATCAATCATAGAGAAGTGCCCAAGAAAGGACCTCACCATTCTGATGGGGGATCTAAACGCCAAAGTCGGAATGGACAACACCGGATAAGAAGATATCATGGGACTACATGGACTGGGAGAGAGGAACGAAAACGGGGAAAGATTTGTAAATCTGTGTGCATTCAACAAATTGATCATAGGTGGCACAATATTTCCACACAAACGTATACACAAAGCTACATGGATCTCACCGGACCACACCACAGAGAACCAGATAGATCATATTTGCATCAATAAAAAGTTCCGAAGGACAATGAAAGATGTGAAAACCAGGAGAGGAGCGGATATAGCTTCAAATCATCACCTGGTTGTGGCCAAATTGAAACTGAAGCTAAAGAAGAACTGGACAACTGGACAAACAGCACCACAAAGGTTCAATACAGCCTTCCTTCGAGATACTGACAAACTCAATGAATTCAAGGTAGTTCTCAACAACAGGTTCCAAGCCTTACAGGATCTACTGAACGAAGAAGAAACTACTATGGAGGATAGCTGGAAAGGTATCAAAGAAACATTAACTTCAACGTGTGAAGAGGTTCTGGGCCCAAAGAAGCATCGTCACAACGAATGGATCTCTATAGAAACACTGAACAGGATCAAAGAAAGAAAGAACAAGAAGACAGCAATTAACAACAGTCGAGCAAGAGCAGAGAAAGTCCAAGCACAAGCAGAGTACATAGAAACAAACAAGAAAGTGAAGAAGAGCATTAGAGCCGACAAGCAGAAATACGTGGAAGAACTAGCAACGACGGCGGAAAAAGCTGCAAGAGAAGGAAATATGAGACAGCTTTACGATACGACGAAGAAGCTTGCAGGGAAATATAGTAAACCAGAGAGACCAGTCAAAGACAAAGAAGGAAGACCAATGACTGAGATTCAACAACAGCGGATCAGATGGACAGAGTACTTTGAGGAACTCTTGAGTGGGCCGGCTCCAATGAATCCACCGGACATCGAAGCAGCACACACAGATCTTCCTATAGATGTCAATCCACCAACCACGGAAGAAATCAGAATGGCCATCAGACAAATCAAGAGCGGGAAAGCAGCAGGACCCGACAATATACCAGCTGAAGCACTGAAGTCAAACATCGAAGTAACTACAAACATGCTTCACCTTCTATTCAAGAAGATTTGGGAGGAGGAACAAGTGCCGATGAACTGAAAAGAAGAACACCTCATCAAGATTCCAAAGAAAGGAGATCTGAGCAAATGTGAAAATTACAGAGGCATTACACTACTGTCAATACCAGGTAAAGTCTTCAACAGAGTGTTACTGAACAGGATGAAAGACACAGTAGACGCTCAACTTCGAGATCAACAAGCTGAATTCCGTAAGGACCGGTCGTGCACAGACCAGATTGCGACACTACGGATCATCGTCGAACAATCAATTGAATGTAACTCATCACTGTACATCAACTTCATTGATTATGAGAAGACATTTGACAGTGTAGATAGGAGAGCGTTATGGAAAATTCTTCGACACTATGGAGTTCCTGAGAAGATTGTCAACATTATCCGGAACTCATACGATGGACTACAGTGCAAAGTAGTGCATGGAGGATAGCTGACTGACGCATTCCAAGTGAGGACCGGAGTCAGACAAGGCTGTCTACTCTCTCCCTTCCTGTTTCTTCTGGTGGTCGACTGGATTATGAAGACTTCGACATCTGAGGGAAAACACGGCATACGATGGACAGCTCAGAACCAATTAGACGACTTGGACTTCGCAGATGACCTAGCCCTCCTATCACATACACACGAACAAATGCAGATAAAGACAGCTAGAGTAGCAGCAGTCTCTGCATCAGTAGGCCTCAACATACACAAAGGGAAAACCAAGGTCCTCAAACACAACACGGAGAACAGCGATTCAATCACTCTTGATGGCGAAACTCTGGAAGACGTGGAATCCTTCACATATCTGGGAAGCATCGTCGATAAACAAGGAGGTTCAGATGCAGACGTCAAGGCGAGGATTGGCAAAGCTAGAGCGGCATTTTTTCAACTGAAGAACATATGGAACTCAAAACAACTTTCAACCAATATCAAAGTCAGAATCTTCAATACCAACGTCAAGGCAGTTCTACTGTACGGATCTGAAACTTGGAGAACTACAACAACCACCATCAAGAAGGTACAGGTATTTATTAATAGCTGTCTACGCATGATACTCAACATCCATTGGCCGGATACCATCAGCAACAGCCTTTTGTGGGAGAGAACCAACCAGCTTCCAGCGGAAGCGGAAGCGGAAATTAGGAAAAGACGATGGAAATGGATAGGACATACATAGAGGAAATCATCAAACTGCATTACGAGACAAGCGCTAACTTGGAATCCTCAAAGGAAGCGGAAAAGAGGAAGGCCAAAGAACACATTACGTCGGGAAATAGAAGCAGATATGAAAAAGATGAATAAGAACTGGAAAGAGCTTGAAAGGATTGCCCAGGACAGGGTTGGATGGAGAATGCTGGTGAGCGGCCTATGCTCGTTCACGAGGAGTAACAGTCGTAAGTAAGTAAGTAAGTAAGTAAGTAAGTAAGTAAGTAAGTAAGTAAGTAAGTAAGTAAGTAAGTAAGTAAGTAAGTAAGTAAGTAAGTAAGTAAGTAAGTAAGTAAGTAAGTAAGTAAGTAAGTAAGTAAGTAAGTAAGTAAGTAAGTAAGTAAGTAAGTAAGTAAGTAAGTAAGTAAGTAAGTAAGTAAGTAAGTAAGTAAGTAAGTAAGTAAGTAAGTAAGTAAGTAAGTAAGTAAGTAAGTAAGTAAGTAAGTAAGTAAGTAAGTAAGTAAGTAAGTAAGTAAGTAAGTAAGTAAGTAAGTAAGTAAGTAAGTAAGTAAGTAAGTAAGTAAGTAAGTAAGTAAGTAAGTAAGTAAGTAAGTAAGTAAGTAAGTAAGTAAGTAAGTAAGTAAGTAAGTAAGTAAGTAAGTAAGTAAGTAAGTAAGTAAGTAAGTAAGTAAGTAAGTAAGTAAGTAAGTAAGTAAGTAAGTAAGTAAGTAAGTAAGTAAGTAAGTAAGTAAGTAAGTAAGTAAGTAAGTAAGTAAGTAAGTAAGTAAGTAAGTAAGTAAGTAAGTAAGTAAGTAAGTAAGTAAGTAAGTAAGTAAGTAAGTAAGTAAGTAAGTAAGTAAGTAAGTAAGTAAGTAAGTAAGTAAGTAAGTAAGTAAGTAAGTAAGTAAGTAAGTAAGTAAGTAAGTAAGTAAGTAAGTAAGTAAGTAAGTAAGTAAGTAAGTAAGTAAGTAAGTAAGTAAGTAAGTAAGTAAGTAAGTAAGTAAGTAAGTAAGTAAGTAAGTAAGTAAGTAAGTAAGTAAGTAAGTAAGTAAGTAAGTAAGTAAGTAAGTAAGTAAGTAAGTAAGTAAGTAAGTAAGTAAGTAAGTAAGTAAGTAAGTAAGTAAGTAAGTAAGTAAGTAAGTAAGTAAGTAAGTAAGTAAGTAAGTAAGTAAGTAAGTAAGTAAGTAAGTAAGTAAGTAAGTAAGTGAGTAAGTAAGTAAGTAAGTAAGTAAGTAAGTAAGTAAGTAAGTAAGTAAGTAAGTAAGTAAGTAAGTAAGTAAGTAAGTAAGTAAGTAAGTAAGTAAGTAAGTAAGTAAGTAAGTAAGTAAGTAAGTAAGTAAGTAAGTAAGTAAGTAAGTAAGTAAGTAAGTAAGTAAGTAAGTAAGTAAGTAAGTAAGTAAGTAAGTAAGTAAGTAAGTAAGTAAGTAAGTAAGTAAGTAAGTAAGTAAGTAAGTAAGTAAGTAAGTAAGTAAGTAAGTAAGTAAGTAAGTAAGTAAGTAAGTAAGTAAGTAAGTAAGTAAGTAAGTAAGTAAGTAAGTAAGTAAGTAAGTAAGTAAGTAAGTAAGTAAGTAAGTAAGTAAGTAAGTAAGTAAGTAAGTAAGTAAGTAAGTAAGTAAGTAAGTAAGTAAGTAAGTAAGTAAGTAAGTAAGCGCTAACTTGGAATTCTGAAGGGAAGAAGAAAAGACGAAGGCCAAAGAACACATTACGTCGGGAAATAGAATCAGATACGAAAATGATGAATTACAACTGGGAAGAGTTGGAAAGAATTGCCCAGGACAGGGTTGGATGGAAAATGCTGGTGAGAGACCTATGCTACTTCACTAGGAGTGACAAGCGTAAGTAAGTAAGCGATCCAAGCATAGTCCTACACACACGCACAACCAGGTAAATTTGAGACCTTCAAAAAACACTCTTTGTAACCCTCTAAATAATAAAAAAAACGGATTTGCTATAACGTATGAATATATTTCTATACCGTTGTTTTTATTCACAGTCAAAAGAACCTGTAAAATGCTTCAACAGGTTTATTAATTAACAGTTAAAATAAAGTTTCATATCATGAAGTGATTTTGATCAAACAATCATTGAAATATAGAAAACTATTTTATTTTACAATGTGACCATACACTGATATGTAGACCAGAAAGGTGTCTAGTGGTATCGCAGTCAATCTTTAACGCAAAGCAACACTTGATTGTCTTTAATTCATTATTTGTATTTGTTGTTTGAATCATCCCATTGATGTTTAAGACTGTATAACCTAGGGCCTATCAGGACTCAGTAGGTAAGTGGATAACGTGATAGCGTTTGAAGCAGACGGTATCGGGTTTGTGTCCCAGAGTGAATATCAACTATAGGATGCAAGTACGTCCAGCTAAAAAGTCCCGAATGAGACAAAACGTGCGTCCTAGATTCCACTGGCAGCCACCGTCCATCCCTTCTTAATTTAAATTACGTTGTAACATCCATTTACTCAGAATAGTACGAAATGATGTCTATTTAGTGAATTTTTATCAGTTGCTTACAATCGTATTCATACCGAAATATAATGTAACATTAAAACATAAACAATACGCAATGAATTTAAAAATCGATTGCATAGTTAGTGAAATAACAATTATCTAATTAGAAATTATATAACATAATAGAGATGATACTAATACCGTGATAACTGCTGCTTATATTGACATAAGTAGTATATAACACTAAACAGCAATAAAATGTCTGGTAGCAGAATGTCAAGAAGGATAAAATGAGAACAGAAAGCAATTGATATGGAAATGCAGGAACGATGAAGTCTAAGACAATTAATGAACATTTTTCAAATGAAGTATTTACTGTATGGTTCTTAGATTTAATAAATCAAAGCAATGAACAACAATTATGGGTTCACATTAAATCTGGTAAACATACGTGAATAAATAAGTACATTTACAGTACAATTTAATATCCATACTAAATGATTATAATGTAATTTTAAATTTCCACAGAGATACTTAATATTCCCATCTTCAGTAGTTGTTTGTATATCATCTGTAGTAATGAAAGAGAGAGAGAGAAAGAGGTAGGGAACGACAAACCCAAATACAATGAAACTTTGAAAATCGGTACAATCATCCAGATTATTTAAGGTCTTCTCCAAACATAAACGACTTAGTATGGAGGCAACTGTGAAGATTTTCAAAATTTCACAGCTTATATCACAAATTGGTCTTAGCTAAACCAATATTATAAACCTGGAAGCAATAGAAACTCATTTCGTCGTTGTATGGGGTGCGCATTCAAGACCCCGCATTCGGGAACCAAACTTACGAATATGATTTCAGAGATGAAGAACTTACAATCTCCACAAATCCCTCCATACCAATAATAATTATTTTTAACTGTCAGATTGATTAAGGGTGGAACTTTTGGAGTTTTATTGAGAAACAGTAAAAAATGCAATGTGACCATGTAGGTTGAGAGAGAGAGGGAGGGTTCAACACTATCGTCAATTGATTGAAGTTCAAGATGTACGCGATTTGATTCCAGTTCAGTGATCTGCAGATCAAGTGTTTGCATACAAGTCCAAGAATCCTGGCTTCGATTCCTGGACACAAGGTCGTGAATACACATTATTGGAGTCTTATACCAGGACGAAACGGCCACCTAATGCTGTCAGGTTTTAAATGGCACTTTAATCATAGTCAGTTTTTTATTTAAACTGAAAGCACCAATCGATAAAACACCACATTGCCTAGCTGGTCGTTACTAAGAAAACTAAATCCACAGTTCTACATAGGACCCATATTGTTATATTACATTCAGACGCATTTACCAAATAACATACGTGCATGTGTACAAATGTTTATCGAGAACAGAAATCGAGCAATTTATTCAAGGGTGATAAAACACTTACTTAAATGAATTTATGAACACTTAGTATCAGATACTCGCGATAAATACAGGCAATAGAGATGCATAGTTGAAACAAGACATTGACCTGACCGTTGTTGCTACCTCCTGACCGTTGTTACTACCTTGACGTGGTGGTCGGGCTTGCCTATCGTGATGAAGCAACTGAGCTATACTGGCTGGAACAACCGTTCCTCAAGGTCCTACCATGTCAGAGAGGTCGGTTGAAGAGCGGTAAGACTAAAAGCAACAAAACCTAGGTCCGAAGGCGAAGTCGTACTGCTGACTGTACAGAGGTGTGACAGCAGTAAGGTGTTTCCTTCAGACAACCAGCATAACAGCGATGCTGCCTTCCCAAAAGGAGGGGAGGGGTTAGAAAAGGTAGACCCTAAAAATGCACACCTCGCCTTATCCCACGGATATCCGTCTCCGGCGGTAAGGTCTCAACAAGTACGGAGCTATTACAAAAATTACTCATAAAAAGGTCGTGTGAGACCGACCTCAAGCAGCTGTCCCTTGGGCACTGCGGTCACGCTCTCAGGTCACTATGACCACCTCTAATCCAATTTCCTATTCAGGTACTTCCAGCAGAACCCTTCCACGGTGTGGGCGACCGGGAAGTGATAACCGCCCTCATACCTCTAACAGCACTCAAGACCACTGTATTCATAATCAACCTACCTCTTCAATTCCTATTATTCCTCCTACATCGACTTTCAAATCTAAACTCCCTCTTTCGGCTTCCTCCTCAAGTGCCACCACAGCCAACGATTCTAGTGCGCAAAACACTGTCCCAGGTCTACTGAAACCCCACTCCAAACTACACATTGGAGCCTTCAACGTACGCACACTATGCCAAATCGGTCAGCAGGCTTCCTTGGATAAAACCTTAGAATCTCGTACCATTGATGTATACTGTGTCTCCGAAACACGCATACAGGATCATAGTGTGGTCATTCACTTGACATCACCTCGGCAAAACGGAGTGCCGACGAGATACACCCTCTGTGTATCTGGCGACCCGATGGCTAGATTTCATGGACTGGCAGGTGTAGGCATAGCACTTAGCATGAGGGCGGAACAAGCGCTATTAGAGTGGATCCCCGTTAATAATCGTCTATGCGCTGTTCGGCACAGAGAACAGATAATGGTGATCGTCTGCTGCAACTGTGCTCAGACAATCGTTTATTTTTAGCAAACACAAATTTTAAGTATAAGGAGAGACATCGTCTAACATGGCGACCACCTGCACCAAACCAACGATGGACTCAAATAGACCATATTGCCATCAGTCATCGTTGGAGAGGGTCAATAGAAGATTATCGCTCATTCTGGAGTACCTGTTTGGACTCCGACCATGCCCTAGTACGAGCACGCATCTGCTTGCGCCTCACTGGACGCAAAAAAGCCACACAAAAAAGACTCATTAGAACCGAATTGAGTAATGAGAAAACCAAAAGTAGGTTCCAGGAACAACTGAGCTCACACTTAGGTAGTTCTGAAAACGAGGCTGACCCAGATGTTGATTGGAAAGACATACAAGCAGCTGTGGAAACAGCAGTGACATCTACTAGTGATTTAAACCACAGGGTTACAAAGAACCAATGGATTTCTTCAAGGTCTATTGCACTGATAGATCCTCGTAAACTCATCCCATCAGGTTCTGAACACGATGAAGAGCGTAAAGAAATCAGATCTAAGTTAAGCAAAAGTCTAAGGAACGATCGTGAGCAGTGGTGGGCGACGAAAGCAAAAGAGATGGAAAAGGCGGCGGCTATAGGGAACACAAGACAACTCTACAGACTAATGAAAGAAACTGGAATTAATAAATCAAGTGTAAGTCAGACTATTTCGGATGGTGGTCTAGTTTTAGCGATTAGGTTGACTAATATTTTAGCTAAAATCTGGGAGTTAGACGTTATTCCATCTAACTGGCCACAATCACTTATCGTCCCAATATTTAAGAAAGGGTCAAAATCATCCTGTGACAACAACAGAGGGATTAGTTTAACTAATATAGTATGTATAATACTAGCTTCGATAATTTTCGGACGCCTAACTAAGACTCGCGAGCTGCAAACACGTGAAAATCAGGCTGGCTTCAGACCTGATCGTGGCTGCATCGACCACATATTCACCATTCGTCAGGTTCTAGAACACAGGCATACTTATCGGCGTCCGACAATAGTGGTCTTCCTTGATTTAAAAGCAGCGTTTGACTCTGTTGACCGAGAGGTTCTGTGGCAGTGTCTGTCATTGAAAGGCGTACCTCAGAAGTACATAAACCTTGTGAAGGCTCTTTACTCGAATACTACTAGTCGAGTCAGAGCTTATGGCGAACTGTCATCTGCTTTCGCAACCTCAAGTGGCGTCCTCCAAGGCTGTCCACTTTCTCCATTTTTGTTCAACTTCATCATAGATCTACTGATGGAAATAACGCTCTCATCGACTGAATTCTCAGGTATTGATCTCCTACCAGGAGGTCCACTTATTGACTTAGAATACGCAGAAGACATAGTCCTGTTTGGTGAAGACGCTGATGAAATGCAGAGTCTTTTGGTAGCACTGAGCAACAATGCCAGAATGTTTGGGATGCGCTTCTCTCTCTCCAAATGCAAGTTGTTGCTTCAGGACTGGTCTGCGTCAACACCTGAACTAAGGATAGGGGGTGAAGTAGTCGAACGCGTCGACAACTTCACTTATCTTGGAAGTCTGATCAGCCCTAATGGGTTGGTGTCTGACGAAATCTCAGCACGGATTCGAAAAGCTCGTTTGGCCTTTGCCAACTTACGTCATCTATGGCGAAGGCGAGATATCCGTCTATCAATTAACGGACGAGTATACTGCGCGGCAGTTCGTTCCGTTCTACTATATGGCTGCGAAACTTGGCCTTTAAGAGTAGAAGATATTGGTAAGTTACTAGTATTTGACCACAGATGCCTTAGAAATATTGCGGGTATCTGCTGGGATCACCTGGTAAGTAATAGTGAGGTTAGACGCAGGGTATTAGGAAATGATGGTAAATCAGTTGATGAGGTTATGAACCTTCATCGACTGAGATGGTTGGGCCACGTGCTGCGTATGCCTGAACAACCGGTGTTAGGGATGACTGGAAGAAAGTTGGGGGCGGCCAAACCAAAACGTGGCATCAGTGCTTGAAGTCACTAACTTCTGGTCTGAGCCATGTTGGTAGATGCAGACTACCTGGTTGGGGTCCGCGTGACTATCGTAACCAATGGTTGGAGACTCTTGGTGACATGGCTCAGAATCGATCACAATGGCGTCGGTGTATATACTCTCTGTCTTCCTTTAAACTAAGAGATTAAAATCACTTCAAATCTTTCTTTCTACGAACTAATTCTATCTTCCTGTACTATCTTCTTATATGCAATCTTTCTTTTATATATTACCACCACTGAATTAACTACTTCTATGAATCCGGTGTTCATCTTGTTGTGCTAATGCGGTATGGCAACTTGGACCGATGCATATACGTGCCTGGTCGTACGTTGCAGCTGACTGACTGACTGACAAGACATTGGATTAACCTTAAAACTATATTTAAAACTTTGTATGGGAATAGCTGAGAACGGATTCTTAGGTTAACGGAAGCCCTGATAATTTTTAAGGGGTAGGATGTATATCTATGGAATCGCAGTCCATTCGTGTTTTAATATTTACGAGGTGTGGAATATTTATCATTTTTTCCGTTCACTTGGTGAGTGCATGTTATGTATTAAGCCAATTAATTTTCATTATTTTAATTGAAGCTCTTTTCATCCAAGAAGAATACATTACAGTTTTGTGTTCATAGAAGATCTATGAAAATGATTCAAATGAAATCTCTAGTGAAAATTATACTCAATCAATGGAAGTGTTGGAAAAACCTAGATATTTCACTTTAATTGAACAATGAAAAGAGGTTGGTTATTCTTATATATATATGATCGGTATGCTTATAACTATATGATAGTGATGGAGTTTTCTTCTCTGAGCTGGGTGGTTTGATTGTGGAGCTTTCATCGTCCTACTGAACGACAACATCAGCACAAACTTCAGATGCAAGTGAAGTGTTCGAATTTCTCCACACGTGGTTCACAGCTTGTCCTGTACACCTAGATGTGGATTGGTTCTTGTTGACTATAAACCTGTCATTGTTGACTTCTTTTTTTAGTTGTATCCCCCATTGGTTTGATTTTTGTTGCTAGGTTTGCGCATAATTTTCCTGATTGGTTGACAAATTGTGTCGACTTCAATGTGCTTGTTGATTGCTGATTGACCTGAGTGCCAAGTTTCTAAAAATTCCAGCTCAGAGAACAAAACTCCATCAAAATCATCCACCTGAGCTACAAATCTTCAGCATCTCGAAAACTATATGATAGTGGTAACTTGTGTTTTCCATATTATATTCTCTTCTATTCTTTATTTAGATTCCTTTGGTATTTTATTTAACTGACCTCCATTAATTTCCATATAAAATCACATGATAAGTAAATGTGTGACCAGATTGTTTGAGATAAGTCGCAGATCAAGTCTGTCACGTCATTAAACTATTGAAACGTATTAATTATTATTATTATCATCTCGCAGATACCACAACCAACAATCACTCACCTCTTTTTACAATTTAAACTATCAGTCAATAACTTGATGACCTGAAGTAATATGGTGAGGGATATGTGGTGACTGGATTGATGTAAAATATGCCCTAAGTACATCAATCGATGTGGATTCACGGACATACAAAATGAATCGAAACCTCTATCCCGTATAATTTATATCATTTTCATATTTCAACGACAGTCATATACTTCTTTCTTTACGCCTCTTGCCCTTCGTGGTACATAGGCCATCGATCAGGAATCATCGACCTACTATATGATGGGTTCTCTTTCCAAATTGTACACAAACGCTATTAACTATCTCGATGTCTTCCACTTTCCTTTTACCCTTTAAGATTCCAAGTAGAAGTCTGTCTTGTAGTTCAGTTTGATGATCCTCGTAATGTGTATCCTATCCGCCTGCGGTGTCATTTGCTAATCGCCTCTTCAGCTGGAAGCTGGTATGTTCCCTACCAGAATAAGTTGTTGCTGATAATTTCCGGCCAACAGATGTTAATTATTTTACGTAGAAAACTGTATAGAAATACCTGCATCTTCTTGAAATATCGGCTATGTTGATTTCGAGCTATCTACTGTGCACTACTACAATTAATTGGTAAGTGGATAAACTAAAATACAAATATTTTATTCACATGTACAAACACTAATTCATATTTTATTGTAAAGGAACGATTTCGATCCAGATATATAAAAACTAATAAATTTACCCTGAATATACTCACTTTCTTGTTGTTTACCTGTATTTTGTTGACTCAAGGCCACTGATTTGTTAAGTTCCTGTCCAATTCGATCTAACTGACTAATTGAAGTTTCTAAAAGACTATGTAAAACTCGACGAACAAGACATCGACTAACTGGTCCAGGATTAAATTGTACTTCTGAAGTTGAAATATATAAAGTAAATTAATTATAAATCTTAATTTATTTCTAGGTAAAAATTAGACTTTAGAAGAATGAAACTACAGAACAAAAGGTATGAAATAACTGTGTAACCTAAGATTTAAGAGATCAAATGTGAGTAAACCTGCAGGATTCCAACCATTTCTAATCAATGTCATACAACTCTATTTATTGATCACCAAAAACTAGATGGTCTGTTCCTACGACATAACTTACTTCAGCAGTTAATTACTTCACAGAAGGATTTTATTCAATGGTTTGATCACTTGTAGCTTTCTTACAATGTAATTACTTGCCACATAACGTTACATGTCGTGATAGATGGTGTTTAGCATTACGTAATGAATGTCTTAACCACCTTAGTTATTGAAGATCTACAACTTCATCAAGTGAGTTAGAATTTTCACCTAGTACCTTATATTTAACATTAGTATGGTAGACCAAAAACAGATATCATCACAGTAATCTGAGGAAATCCGAACAATGTATTCGAAGGCATCAATGATCCAACACTAGTAGTGTACTAATATTCTCTATTTTTAAAAGATATATTTCATAGTCATAGAGCAAACTATTTATTATTATTATTATTATTTGAACGCATAGATATTGGTACAAGGATGAATCAAATATATATGCGCCAAACAAATATCATTTGATTTGTGTGAGGGCCGTGATACTGCCCGAGTGCTCAGGCCGAAGCAGGTGGTTTTCTTAGGGGGCCATACCCGGATCCTTCGACCTGAAGGTCTGATCCACAAGACAGTGGAGCAACGTAAGGAGATACAATCCCATGGTAGACGGTGACCAACGATTGGTTCGTACGCTATTTGTTCCTTCAGGATACTGGAGCCCATGTGTACCATTGGTTTGGAATCAGGGTTTTCCAACTCTCCTAGGTGGACACTCCATGTCCAGAGACCCGGTTAAGACGTCGGACATCCGCTCTTCGTCCTCTTAATTTCGTAAACAAAACCTCGCCACGAGAAGACAGTGGGTAGGACTTCCCTGACAGAGGCTATATACCCTTAGCCATGTGAGAGCATTTCGAGAGGGAGAGTGGACTCTCCCCACTCTCAGTGGAACCAGGGCATTTGGGAGCTCATAGAGCAAAACAGAGATTCAGTAATAATGACAATGATAATATCTAACAGCAACTTACCTGATTCCAAATTTACAACATAACCATCATAATCTTCATTATTTAATTCAGGTTTGATTGAAATTAAATGTTGCAGAAAAGTTCTTATTAATTGAAATCTTGATGAGGTATCAAGTGAATAATGAAATACAGGACAAGATAAAGTAACTAATTCAATACTAAATTTCTCATCTATTATCATCCAACTAATTACACGACCAATTAAACGACTTAAACTAGTTAAAATGGGCATTAAGAGAGATGGAATAATACACTTTGTTCTATTAGTGTTATTATAATCACTATTATTATTATGTAATAATAAATTAGCTTCATTCATGCCAAATTCCAATAACCAAGCCATATTGAATAATACCGGTAATAAATTCGATTTGATAGCAGAACTAAGAACACAATGATCTGAATCCTATGAGATTTAAAAGAAAATGGAGAATCAATTTTACCGCTTTGTTAACAACAAGATTCTGTAATAGAGAGACTGAATACAATACAATACAAAATTACGAATGTAGACAATATGAACTGCGTTACAAGACAAGCCCTCAAATAGAATCCTTAAGGCCAAAGGAAAAGAGGAAGACCAAAGAACACATTACGTCGGGAAATGGAGATAGACATGAGAAAAATGAACAAGATGTGGATGGAACTAGAAAAGAAGGCCCACGAGAGAGTGGGTTGGAGAATGCTGGTCGGCGGCCTATGCTCTATAGGGAGTAACAGGAGTGTGTAAGTAAAACAATATGACTCGAAAGTTGTTTTTTTCAACAAAAATAAGGTTAAATACCGACATTAAGTTTATCTTTATGATCTGAGAGGCTTGATGTGTGGAGAGAATAATTCAATATTTCCATAGGGAATCATCATTATTTAAATGAAGAAGGAAAAACTGTCCGGAATCCACAACTGGAATAGATTGTTTGTTTTTTGGGAGAACAGTCATCGAGCTTTTCACCTAAAAGTGTGATCAGATAGCCCGTGAACAAAATACATGCCTACGTCATTCCTCCCCTTAGGATTCTGAAACCCAAAAGTACTATTACTTTGGAAACTGCCCTAGTTGGTCTCTATATCATCATTAACAATGCTCACGAACCGAACAATCCAATTTGACATTTCATTTTGCGCCAAGTAGAGGTAATAATTTAAAGAAGAGAATATAAAGACGCAGCTATAGATAAACTACTGAGTGAATACAGAAGGAAATTGCAGAAACCTATAAACTAAACTTTAGTACTCTATAACGACCTCCTTATTGAATAGATCCATTTATGTTAAGAAAGGGGTACTAGGTAAGGATAGCAACTCAATTGATGAAGTAGTGAAACATAATCAGTTGAGATGGCTGGGACATGTGTTACGTATGCTCGACCACCCACTGCCCCGACATGCGATGTTCAATGGCGTAGGAGTAGGTTGGAAGAAAGCTAGGGGCGGCCAGACCAAAACATAGCACAAGTCCATGAAGTCACTGACAAGTGGACTGAGACATATTGGTAGGTATAGACTACCTGATTAGGATACGCGAGATGATAGCAACCGATGGTTAGAGACCTTGAATGACATGGCTCAAAATCATTTGCAATGGCACAGGTACATCTATTCTTTGTGTTCTCCCAAATTGTAATCTTCTGAATTCATGTCCCTTTACTTGTTCTCTTTCTAAATTTATTTCACTTGATTATATTCCTTGAATAACATCTTCAAACCCTAATCTTTCCGATTACTGCCTGTACTTTTACTACCTCTGTCACTATGGGATTTGAATCGACAACTGCATCTGTGTGCTAATGTGGCATGGCAACTCGAACTGATGTACGTACGTACGAAGTTCTACGTTTTGACTGACTGATTTATGAATATTCAGCATAAATTGTAATCAAATGAACACATAATAATTCAAAAACAAACAAACAAATACATACACTAACCTGTAATAAAATAATTAAAGCATCTAAACCATAAGTACATAAATCGATTTCTGGTGTACTGGTTTCATCATCATTATTGATAGTAGCAGTAGAAGAACTACAATGATTTCCTTTATGATGATCGTCTTTATTATAGTTCTGATTAGATTTTGACTTTTTATGATTAATTATTTTTAATTTAACAATACAGCTTAATAATGCATCAATAAAACTACCAATCAATGTTGAAAATAACACTGGAAATGTAGATAATAGATAATATTTATGAAAATTGGGATTATTACAACGGTTATTATTATTATTACTATTACTAGTAGTAGTAGTAGTAGTAGTAGTAGTAGTAGTAGTAGTAGTAGTAGTAGTAGTAGTAGTAGTAGTAGCAGTGGTAGTGGGAGTAGCATTCTTGTTAGCTGGCAATTCATTATAGCTTACTCTATTGACATTGGAATTATTATTTGCATTGTTAATAATATTTTCAAATTCGACAGAGGTAATAAGATGGTGATGATTACACTGATGATGAGCATGATGAATGTAAGTTGGTTCAGAGATAAATCCAGTTATATCATGCGAAGATTCTAATAAACAATTAGTTTTCTGTAATTGTAAGCAAAAAGAAAAAAAAATAACGCAAAGAAATAATTTAAACCAACTGACAATACATATATAGATTGTTTTTTAGACAGTACTGATGTCGACAAAATGGAAAACTGCCTGGATTTGCTAATATAAAATAATATATCCCAACAAGATGGTTTAACGAAATACACTAACATCAAGACTTAAAGGCACTACATTCTATCCTGAGCACTGATGAAGAGTACCAAGTTAGGATTAAACACTTCTTCAATGGTCTTTGTTATTCAGCAGTAATGTATGGGAGATCCGTTTCTATGATATAAACTCTCATCATAAAGTAGGAAAATCTCAAAAATTTTTGTTGTGACCGGAGTTGATGATAATCCACATCCCATAAAAGATTATTTATCATAGTTATCTAGATCCGTACATCAAACTTCAGAATAATTCACTTTGAAACATCAATATATACTCGAAAAAAGTCTCAAAGGAATCTATGAACACCCACCACAAACTTATATAATCAGAGAGAATCTTGGCGAGACTATAGTTTATGAAAGAAACAATCAGATTTACGATAACCCGTCTTGAATTTTGGCGTAAATTTAGTTTATCTATTTGGTTAAGTAGGGTATTGGCATTAAAGAAGATGTCAGTTCATGATGAAAACCCTAAATCTAATTCCTAACCCTAACTATCAACTGTAAACTTACTTACGACTGTTACTCCTCATGAAGGAGCATAGGCCACCCACCACCACTGTCCATCCAACTCGGTCCTAGGCAATCCTTTCCAGTCGTAATTCATCCTTTTCATATCTGATTCTATTTCCCGACGTAATGTATTATATGACCATCCACTTTTCCGATTTCCTTCAGGACTCCATGTTAGGGCTTGTCTCGTGATGCAGTTTGATGATTTGTGTAATGTATGTACTATCCATTTACATCGTCTTTTCCTAATTTCCGCTTCCGCTGGAAGCTGGTTGGTTCTCTCTCACAGTAGGCTATTGCTGATGGTATCCGGTCAATGGATGTTGAGTATCATGCGTAGATAGCTATTTATAAATATTCATTCCTTCTTGATGACGCTTGTAGTAGGTATCCAAGTTTCAGCTCCTTGAAATGGAACTATCTTAACGTTCGTATCGAAGATTCTGACTTTGATGTTGGTCGAAAGTTGTTTTGACTTCCATATGTTCTTCAATTGTAGGAATGCGACGCTTGCTTTACCAATCCTCGCTTCTACATCTGCATCAAATCCTACTTGTTCAGTGATGATGCTACCTAGGTACATGGAAGATTCCAAAATTTTCGCCTGTAAATAATAATCCTAATTCCTCACACTGATCATAATATGTACATGGATATTCTCATGATTTTTTTTTTATTATCATCTCTCCAAAGTTGTTCATTAAATGATAATCTAATAGGAATCATAAATCAATATTCAATACAATTGATCATTACAAATATTGTCCGAAAATCTTACCTCCAAATATTCATTCAATATTATATCACCAGTATTCATTAATGAAAATTTTTCTAATCCATGTAATATTAAACCAAATGAACGATTTAATAATTTTTTAGAACATAGATGATGATTAGAATAATAAGTTTTTAAATCGATTTCTGAATTACAATTTGTTATACATAAAAATGGTAATGTTGGTAATAATAATCCTATAGCAAATGAACGTATTCTTGATAATTGATATGGTATAATTCTATGCAATTGTGTAGTAGTAGTCGTAGTAGTAGTATGATAATGATGATGATGTAATGTTGGTACAGGAATAGACCAATCAAAGTAAATAGATTGACTAAAATTTGTTGATAACTGTTCACATTTTTTTACCCATTTATTTGCTTCAAAATGTAACCAAACACAGTAACCGGTAAGAGCCTTTAATGAGGAAGAAAAAATAAGAAACAGTGAACAGATACACATACATATATATAAATAAAATTGTTGAATTCATGAATCAATTGAAGATAGACTATCATGGAAAATCTGGCAGCATTGGCCGGCCGTTTCGTCCTATTGTGGAACTCCATAATAATGTGCAATTGTGCAATTGAATGATGAATTCAACAATTAATTTTTTATAACATCCAAAAAACCCCTCTCTAATTACAATCATCATATGCTCACTGATGACGGTCTCCAAGACGAATTTCCTGGGGTTCTGGTGAGAAGCCGTGACCAGTGCAGTTCAACCGGGTCTGTTGTGAGATAGTGACCCATTGAAGACAATGGTGAATGGTGGCGCAACTTCGTGGATTGGTTGAAGTTAGACATTAACACCGTTGGATGCCGGCCAGCTCAGTGGTTTGATGGCTCGCGCGCGACACTGATAGGTCCTGAGTTCGAATCTCGCGAAATCCCTCTCAGATATATATATTTCACATCATCTCTTATCAAAATTAGTAAGCACTTCTAAACATCATATGTGCCGTATGCATTTTGGTATGCTTTAAAACTGACAACTAAAAGGCTATGATGCACACGAGTAGGGTTAACTACCACGTACACTGATTTGAGATTAGGATCCAAAATGAATTTTAAACCGATTAGAGTTGTTCCACTCCTCTTCCCTTTCAATGTATGGGTGTCCATGAATATATGAGAACTTTTAAGCCAAAAAGGAATATGATGTTAGCATTAGCGCGATGTTATTTACTTATTTTATGGCTTTATTCAATATTATATTTTGATACAATATAGAATTCTCAGCACAAAATATTTCAACAAGTTTCTTATACAAAAAAACGAAAACGAAAACAAAAAAGGTTAGTAAAAAAATCTGAAAAGCTGTACAACTTTCCAAATGAGATACATGTTAAGAATGCAGGTTATTGACTAGGTTAACTCTAAAAACTTGTTCGTCGCATAGTATATTTGCTAGGTAAGGCATTATAGAACTTTTATACTTTTGCTTGCGTGCTTCGACTTTAATGTAATTTTGTCTCGTTCTACCAGAATATATACAAGGAGAAAGATATGAGTTAAGAGGATGTTTAGTATCTGATAAAATAACACCTGCCAGGATTTTGCATGACTTTAGATGTCTATCCACCACCAATGTCGTTCAAGGACACTGATGACAATCTGGATGCTGATTGGTTGAGTAATCAGACTGAATTTCGTCTAATTTCTTTTTCACCATGTTTCGTGGGGGAGGATGAACACGGAAAACTTAAAATCCGGATCTCAACACCGGATCTTCAAAAAGGAGAGGAGTGTTGGGGACGATAGATCCCCAAAACCTCATAGATTGTAATTTTATCATGTGGAGCTTGTATGCAGATGTATACGTGAACATTTCTTACCACCCACGCACATAGTTGATTGACGGATTTATCGATTAAATATTTAGATATTTCAATGGCAGTCAATTGACGAACTATCGATAAATGCTTAAAAGCTCCATGGCAATATCGATATATATATATATATATATATATATATATATATATATATATGTACGTTTTAAAATTGTCTTGTAGAATCACTCGTTTCTGGTTGTTGCAGAATATACTTCCATTCTAAGTTTGGTCTTTTCTCTCTAGATAGCGGGGTTGGGACGCGTCATTAGCTAGCTTACTGGTCTTGGACATTGGATCTCGTTCTCGTTCACAGACTACGTGAACCCGTGACAGTTTTTCAACCCTCACATCTTTCTTTCACCCTCCGTAGTCGTTTTAGTTGTGAAGATGTGAGTCGATCAAAAATTACAAAAATAGTTTCAGTGAGACAACGAATATTAAAACAGAATTTAAGGTAACAAATGATAACATCAGTAGTGATTTCCAGTGAGTCATCTGTAAATAATTTCCAGTTAGTCGTATGAAACATGTTTTTCAGATTTCGGATAATTTCTTCTGAGTAATTCCTATATTTGACTTTCTTGGTTTGATTTAAATGTACTTTTCCCATGCTTTCCATATACTTTAGGTAGAACACGAATTATGCAGTGATCCGAGCTAGACAATGGAGCAAGTTTACGAGTCACATATATACCTACATCACTAATGAAAAGGAAGTCTAAATGAGTATTCAATCGGGTAGGAAAATCTACTACATTTTGATGACCTAGTGATATAAGGTAGCTACAGTCACATGAATTGAAATCACCACATACAACTGAAAGTGAATCACTGAAGGCAGTAACAGCGAACTCAGTGAATTCATCAGCGAAAACAGATAGCGCAGATGATGTGCAGTCTGGTCAGTCAGTCAGTCAGTCAGCTGCAACGTACGACCAGGCACGTATATGCATCGGTCCAAGTTGCCATACCGCATTAGCACAACAAGATGAACACCGGATTCATAGAAGTAGTTAATTCAGTGGTGGTAATATATAAAAGAAAGATTGCATATAAGAAGATAGTACAGGAAGATAGAATTAGTTCGTAGAAAGAAAGATTTGAAGTGATTTTAATCTCTTAGTTTAAAGGAAGACAGAGAGTATATACACCGACGCCATTGTGATCGATTCTGAGCCATGTCACCAAGAGTCTCCAACCATTGGTTACGATAGTCACGCGGACCCCAACCAGGTAGTCTGCATCTACCAACATGGCTCAGACCAGAAGTTAGTGACTTCAAGCACTGATGCCACGTTTTGGTTTGGCCGCCCCCAACTTTCTTCCAGTCATCCCTAACACCGGTTGTTCAGGCATACGCAGCACGTGGCCCAACCATCTCAGTCGATGAAGGTTCATAACCTCATCAACTGATTTACCATCATTTCCTAATACCCTGCGTCTAACCTCACTATTACTTACCAGGTGATCCCAGCAGATACCCGCAATATTTCTAAGGCATCTGTGGTCAAATACTAGTAACTTACCAATATCTTCTACTCTTAAAGGCCAAGTTTCGCAGCCATATAGTAGAACGGAACGAACTGCCGCGCAGTATACTCGTCCGTTAATTGATAGACGGATATCTCGCCTTCGCCATAGATGACGTAAGTTGGCAAAGGCCAAACGAGCTTTTCGAATCCGTGCTGAGATTTCGTCAGACACCAACCCATTAGGGCTGATCAGACTTCCAAGATAAGTGAAGTTGTCGACGCGTTCGACTACTTCACCCCCTATCCTTAGTTCAGGTGTTGACGCAGACCAGTCCTGAAGCAACAACTTGCATTTGGAGAGAGAGAAGCGCATCCCAAACATTCTGGCATTGTTGCTCAGTGCTACCAAAAGACTCTGCATTTCATCAGCTCTGTACAGTCAGCAGTACGACTTCGCCTTCGGACCTAGGTTTTGTTGCTTTTAGTCTTACCGCTCTTCAACCGACCTGTCTGGCATGGTAGGACCTTGAGGAACGGTTGTTCCAGCCAGTATAGCTCAGTCGCTTCACCACGATAGGCAAGCCCGACCACCACGTCAAGGTCGCAACAACGGTCAGGAGCAGTCTGGAGTCACATAGATATTGGTAACATAAATATATTTGTATTTATTCAGATGTTTTGGACAGCATCTTAGAGCGAACCAGACTACCAGTTCAAAACAGCAGATTTGGTGGGGATAAATCAACATTTATAAATATAATGGAAATAAAATTATTCATAATCAAAGTACATTTGCTTACAACTGGCTTTGAGCAATACTGTTCAAGCAAACAACTTCTATACCAGTTCAAAACAGCAGATTTGGTGGGGATAAATCAACATTTATAAATATAATGGAAATAAAATTATTCATAATCAAAGTACATTTGCTTACAACTGGCTTTGAGCAATACTGTTCAAGCAAACAACTTCTATAACTTATGTAGAACAAATTCAAACTTAAGTGTCACAGCTTTACAATGGATCCCAATTACCATAATGTAAAATAATAACAGAAGGGGTTTTGCGGTTATTATAGTAATTTCAATACTTGAGATAATGAGTCAATTGAAGCTAGACCACCATGGAAAACCTGAGGACACTGAACGGCCGTTTCGTCTTATTGTGGGACACCTTAGCAGTGCGCATCCACGACACCATCTCACGAGATTCGAACCCAGGACCTATCAGTCGTGGGACTGATAACAATAGTCACTGATGACAATGGTTGATGTGTCGTTCAATTTCGTGGATTGTTTGAAGTTAGACATTAAAATCGTTGAACGCCGGTTAGCTCAGTGGTCTAGAGGTTAAACGAAATAGCCCGTCCAGTACTTCAAAGTTTTCCATGGTGATCTAGCTTCAATTGACCCATGATCTCAACTGTTGAACATAAAATAATACAATAAATACTTACACATTCACGTTGAGATATATATGGATGCCGTATTAAACTATAAATCAACCATAAAGGTGGTCGAATGGAAGTAGAAGAATGTGATGCAATTAATGAATTACTATTAACATTATCTAATAATAAAGGATAATTTGATTTCAATTTATATAGATTCCAATCACTTGATTGTGAAATATTTTTTGTGAAAACATTAATAAATCCTTCACGTTTATTCTTCTGCTCCTGTTCGTCGTCGTCGTCCTCCCCCTCTTTCTCTCCATTCATCTCATTATTGTTATTGGATCTGGTTACATTTTGTTTCAGCTTATCTTTGAAATAAAATTTTGATAATAATTCAATTGGGAAACGTCTATACCAAACATTATCTAAACAATGAATTAAATGTTTAGAAAATATACTATTTTGTTCAATACGTAATTGAACACAATTTAATATATATTTATTAGTAGTATAATCAGTTTCAATGTTATTATTTAATTCTTCTTGAATACGTTTCATAGGAATCGATTCATTATCTGCAATGTAAAGAAAGAAAAAAGAAAAGAGAAGAAAACTAGAACAGGATAGAAAGATTAGTCAAACAATGTCAGCAAAAGAAAAGATTTTGTACAACAATCAAAACATTTTGAGTGATCTGTCGTATACCTCTATCATTTCCCCAACGGAGTTCGATTCCATCTCCTACATATAGCTGAAGCCATAAGAATTTGTATATTTAACCCCAATTTATGTCTACAGAAGAAATTCGTGACCCCCCCGATCCCTTCCATAGCCGGATATAACTTAAACGACTTTTTTTAATTGAAGCTAGACCACCATGGAAAACCTGAAAGCACTGGATGGCCGATTCGTCCTAGTACTGATAGGTCTTGGGTTCAAATCTCGCCGGGGGGGCGTGATCGTGTATTTGCACTGCCGAGGAGTCCCATACTAGGACGAAACGGCCATCCAGTGCTTCCAGGTTTTCCATGGTGAACTAGCTTCACACCCTGTATTTGTCTGTAATTTTCCATCTCTTTCTATTTGTATTCTTTACTATCTAATTATTTATACACTTCTTATTACGTAATGATTTTAATGTTTTGCGATAATCAAAACATAAAGTCAATTTTTTTCTATTTTGAAACTTATGTGTCCCTTAAACTGATGAAAAGTCTCAAAATGAAATGAAAAATTAATTTTATCCTGAAAATCTCAATTTTCTTTTCATTATTCAACGTTTAAGATCAAAGAGAATTGAATTTTTTATGAATGAAACAAGGTTAGAAGTGCTTTTCCAATACCTACAATTGATTGATTGAGTAGTTAACAGTATCATGTTTGCTTAACTCTTGAGTCTTGATAAAATTTAATCGAATTAATTCAAATGTAGTTGGTAGCCTAAGCATCTGAAGTAGTTGTCACGGAACCATAGAATTAAGTTTCGTTTAAGCTGGCACTCATCAGCAAGAAATGCTTGTAAACTTAAGTGAATTGATGCACTTTACAGAACGTCAAAGCTCACCACCCAACTTCACAGTCTAAAACGTTATCAGTAAGCTATTCAGATAGTCACTGACTACCTGTAGGACTAAGCTATTTACAGTCGATTGTACACTGATTAGTGATTTGGTTATTTATCAATACTTTATTCTCCCTATGTTTAAAATGTTATTCTTTTTAATATATTTAACATGCAATTAGAAATGAAGTACAGAATTTGTGTTTCATTTTAATTAGGACTCATCAGCTGAATATTCTTGCCTCCTATTACCTTTCACTCCAGACATACAATGCGTCCTACATTAAGCTAATGCGTTGAAATAACCGATAAGTTATGTAATCGATCACATACCAAATATGCTACAAAATTGTTACACTAACAAGTATCAAGGATATTAGCTTAGAATTCATAAATATTAATAGAGACTGATCAATCGCTATCTTGACATACATAACATTTAGAAGCTCAGTGGTCTAATGATTAAGCGCTCGCGCGCAAGACTTATAGGTCCTGGGTTCGAATCCCGCGAGGTGTCGTGGGTGCGTACTGCTGAAGAGTCCCATACTAGGACGAAACGGTCGTCCAGTGCTTCCAGGTTTTCCATGGTGGTCTAGCTTCAATTGACTTTGATTTCAACTAGTGATATATAACATGTCAAAATTAAGTGATCAATCAATTATAAATGAATAATTAAAGATAAATAACCAAACCTAACTAACCTTCAGATTTATTACACGCATTTTTTTCTTCATTTATTAGATCACCACTAATAATCGGTAAAGATGAAATACTTACACCGGAATCTGAAATAACCATAGGGTATTTTACAGATTCAATCATGTTCAATTGGTATTCTTCATTACTTAACAATTGTTCTTGTTGTTGTTTCGAAGTAGATAATGACAATGATTGACAGTGATTAGATTGAATTTCTACTGCTTTAACTTGATTGTCTTCAGTATTACTTAAATTTTGTGTTTCTATTCGAGTTACATCATATGATGTAGAAGAACCAATTAAAAGTTTAGATGAATGTTTTTCAAATGGAGTTTGATTAACTTGAACAAAAAAGAGATTACAATACTTGAAAATATATGCAGAAGTGAATATTTAGTAGAGATAATATAATTTGAAGGGATTTCGTGAAGGCTTAGGTAATTTTATAGTTGAATAAATGAGTCGATTGAAGCTAGAGCACCATGAAAATCCTGGACGCACCAGACGGCCGTTTCATCCTAGTAAGGGGACTGGGTCTGTTGTGAGATAGTAACACCGTTGAATGCCTGTTATTACTGCAGTGGTCTAGAGGTTAAGCGTTCAAATCTCGCGGGGCGGGATTTTAGATATGTACTGCTGAGGAGTCCCATACTAGAACGAAACGGCCGTCCAGTGCTTCCAGGTTTTGCACGTTGGTCTAGCATCAATTGACTCATGGATTCAACTATAAAATAATACGATCTGTTTAACTGAAATTATGCAGGTATTTTTCAATGTTCAATACGTTTGCAGTATTCGGTGTCATTAGATATGTGCTCCGTTCATTTAGTAGGTGAGTACAACATTTGGAAGTGCAACTTTTACTGAAGAATTTATTAACAGAACCTAAAATTAACTATATGTATATGCAATGAACACATCAGTGTAGCGCATCTTAACATACAAAATGACATACAAACATATTGTTGGGGACGATAAATTCCCCAAAACTCACATTTGTAATTTTATCGATTAACTTATCGATTAAATGTTTAAATATTTGAATAGCAATCAATTGACGAACTTTTTGACGAATGTTTAAGAATTTAAGTGACAATATCGATTATAAATATATTTGTATATATATGTTTTAAATTGTTTCGGTTGAATCGCTCGTTTCTGGTTGTTGCAGAATATAGCTCTCATTTCAAGCCTGGACTTCTCCCTCTAGATAGTTGGGGCTGGGACGCGTGAATAGTTAGCTTTCTGGTCTTGGTCATCAAATCCCGTTCTCGTTCGCAAATTTAAGTGAACTCGTTAAGCTTCAAACCTAACAATTTGGCGACGGGTGGTTTTTCAATTATGGACCCTTCCAAACTTGAACTGTTACTTGAGCAGCAGCTAAAATTGATACAAATGTTGACGGAGACCAGGGTTACGTCTCCCTTACAGCCAAGCACGTCTAGTTCAACCACGGCACCATCGGTAGATGGCATCACAAATAGTATAGGTGAATAAAATTACGATTCTGATGCTAATGTGACTTTTGAGATGTGGTTCAGGCGTTACGAAGATCTATTTAAATTTGATTTCACCAATCAAGATGATGTTTGGAAAGTGCGGCTACTACTTCGTAAATTGGGTGCAACTGAGCTGGATAAGTATTGCAATTTGATCCTGCCTTTGAACCCACGTGACCGATCATTTGCAGACACAGTTCAAACATTAAGCCATGTGGGTGTCGTCAACCGTGAATGCGAACGATTCCGGTTAAAGTCTTTGACTGAAGATCAGTTTAAAGCCCTGATCCTCATTTGCAGTCTACAGCACCAAAAGTTCAGTGACTTACGAACGAGGCTACTAAGTCGGTTGGATCAAGAGCCGAAACTCACCTTGAGTGATATAGCTAATGAATATCAACGTCTCATTAATCTGCAACGAGACACTTCTATGGTCCAGAGTGATGGGTCTGGCCGATCTGAAGTACGAGCGGTGCAACAGACACCTTACAAAAACAAATACGTCCCTCCTCCATCCAGTCCATCCCACTCCAGCTCGGGACGACAGACTAAAGCAAATCTCCCTGCTCCCTGCTGGCAATGTGGTGCATGGCACTACGTTCGAAACTGCTCATCTAAGCAACATCGATGCAAGAAGTGTAAGGTTATCGGTCATAAGGATGGGTTTTGTCTGAGGAAGAAGAATCCAAGTCAATCCAGAAATAAAAAAGACCCATCCTAGATCCCGCACTAATTCTTTGAGCTTAGTATCTTCATGTCAAAGCTCATCACCAGGTGAGAGAAAATTTATTACTGTTAATAATAATGGGCACTCATCTACATTAAAGATAGATACTGCATTAGATGTTACTATCCTCTCACGTAAGATTTGGACCGAAATGGGCAACCCAAACTTGCAACGTACAATGCAAAAGCCTCGTACTGCGTGTGGTAATCACCTTCAGCTGCTTGGACAAATGGAATGTACAGTTACTTTCCGTGATTCGGCGTTTGTTGGGGTATATTACATAAAACCAGCTGATCTAAATTTACTCGGATTAGATTGGTTCGATCAGTTAAATTTAGCTGATGTGCCGTTGAATACCATATGCAACCTGGTATCACAACCCTAACTACGACAGCAACCACATGACTTGGAAGTATATACAAGGAACTTAATGACGCAGTTTTCAACTATTTTCCAACCTGGATTGGGTCGGTGCTCTGCCATGAAAGCAACACTTCGATTGAAAACGGGGGCTAGGCCTGCTTTTCGTCCAAAGAGACCTGTGCCTTATACAACATTGCAAACAGTAGATGAAGAATTGAATCGCCTTCAACAACAAGGAGTTATTACTCCCGTTTCCTATTCTTTATGGGCAGCACCTATAGTTGTTATCAAGAAGGCTAACGGCACGATACGTATATGTGCTGACTTTTCAACAGGTCTCAATGCAGCTCTGGAACAACATCATTATCCTCTGCCTGTTCCCGCAGATCTATTTACCATGCTGAATGGAGGAAGGTTTTTCGCTAAACTCGATCTAGCTGATGCTTACTTGCAAGTGGAAGTAGATGAAGCATCAAGAGAGCTGCTAACTATCAATACCCATCGTGGTTTATTTCAGTATAATCGTCTACCTTTCGGGGTCAAAACTGCACCAACTATTTTCCAGCAACTAATGGATACCATCCTATCAGGTATCCCGGGAGTCGCGGCTTATCTGGATGACATTTTAATTGTAGCGACGACATTAGAACAGCTACGAGAACGCACGACATTGGTACTGCAACGCATCAATGACAACGGGTTCCGGTTACGCCCAGAGAAATGCCAGTTTTATTTGCAGTCGGTAAATTACTTGGGGTTCATTTTCGATGCTGATGGCCGCAGACCGGATCCTGAGAATATCCGAGCTATCAAACTGATGGCCACTCACAGTAATATCGCAGCACTGCGTTCCTTCCTGGGACTTGTCAGCTAATACTCAGCGTTCGTTCCATCGATGCATGATATTCGCGCTCCACTGAATAGCTTACTGCAGAAGAACAGCTCTTGGAACTGGACTAAACAGTGTGATGCGGCATTTTGTAAACTGAAGTCCATTATTTGTTCGGAGTTGCTGTTGACACACTACGATCCAGCCATGCCGATCATCGTAGCTGCAGACGCTTCAGCGTATGACCTAGGCGCTGTTATCTCACATGAGTTTCCGAATGCGTCGGAAAAAGCCGTTATGCATGCATCCCGCACACTAACCCCAGCAGAAAAAAAATACAGCCAGATAGAAAAGGAAGCTCTTGCGCTTGTGTTTGCTGTGCGCCGTTTCCACAAGTTCCTATACGGTCGGAGATTCACGCTTCTCACAGATCACAAGCTTTACTCGCAATATTCGGGTCGAAATCCGGCATTCCAGCTCATTCTGTAAGTCGTCTTCAGAGATGGGCCTTAGCACTCTTGGGGTATGATTTCGAGATCAAATACCGACGCACTCAACAATTCGGTCAGGCGGATGCCTTATCGCGACTCATTAGTGACCAGTTGGCGTCTGAGGAAAACACGGTAATCGCATCTCTGCTAGCGGAAGACGACGCCAAATGTTATCTGACGACCGCAATACGAGCTTTGCTGGTATCTGCAACCGACATACAAAATGCTTCTAAGAGCGACCCCATCATCAAGATGACTATGAACTATGTCACCAATGGTTGGCCGTCTAAGAAGTTTGATGATGACATGAAACAGCTGTATCAGCGGCGGGATTCGTTAAGCATTGTAAACGATTGCTTGATGTTCGGAGAAAGAGTGGTTGTGTCAGAATCCCTTCGTGCAAAAGTGCCGAAACAGTTCCATCTTGGTCATCCAGGGGTTAGACGAATGAAATCCATAGCCAGGAGTCATGCATATTGGCCGCTAATGGATCAAAATTTAACAGAATTGGTTGGAAAATGTATGCGATGTCAGCAAGCGGCAAAAGTAAGCGCTAAAGTTCCACCAGTTTCATGGCCACAACCTGATGATCCTTGGTCCAAGATACACGTCGACTTTGCAGGCCCGATTAACGGAACCATGTATCTAGTTGTGATCGACGCCCTTTCAAAATGGCCAGAAATCAACCCTATAATACCGCCAACGACGACTAAAACAATACAAATTCTTACAGGAATTTTCTCCCGAAATGGTATACCGGATGTCATTGTATCTGACAACGGTTCACAGTTCACAACCAGCCAGTTCCAGTCATTTTGTCAACGGCTAGCCATAAAGCACTTACGGTCGCCACCATATCACTCGCAGTCGAATGGGCAAGCAGAATGGTTTGTGGATACGTTTAAAAGAGCTTTGATTAAGACAAAAAGGGAGGGGACACCAGCGGACGCGTTGCGAAATTTCTTATACGTGTACAGAACAACACCAAATGAGACGTTGCCGGAGCGAAAGTCCCCAGCAGATATCCTCATGGGAAGGAAAATGAGGACGATCCACAGCCTGATGCATCCAAGTAATGCACCGACACCAGAACGGACAAAGTTTGAAAAGCAATCCACGTACGAAGTGGGATGTCCTGTGTTCGCCCGTGACTACAGACCAACACATGGCCCATAGGCGGAAGCGCGAGTGGTCAGGAGAGTTGGCCGAGTCATGTACGAAGTTGACGTAGGCAGAGACACGTGGCAATGCCATCGGAATCAGTTACGCAAACGGTTAGCCGCAGACCGCTCATCAACGGAAGCAAACATTCCTCTGGATATCCTGATAGACACCTTCAACTTACCAGCAGCCCCACCACGAGAAGAAGCTCAACAAGAAGCTGATCTCTGTTCCAGAAGGTGGCCTCTACGACAACGGCGAGCAACGATCAGGATGCAAGTCGACCCCAGAACAGTGCGCTACTAAAAAGGGGAGGAGTGTTGGGGACGATAAATTCCCCAAAACTCACATTTGTAATTTTATCGATTAACTTATCGATTGAATGTTTAAATATTTGAATAGCAATCAATTGACGAACTTTTTGACGAATGTTTAAGAATTTAAGTGACAATATCGATTATAAATATATTTGTATATATATGTTTTAAATTGTTTCGGTTGAATCGCTCGTTTCTGGTTGTTGCAGAATATAGCTCTCATTTCAAGCCTGGACTTCTCCCTCTAGATAGTTGGGGCTGGGACGCGTGAATAGTTAGCTTTCTGGTCTTGGTCATCAAATCCCGTTCTCGTTCGCAAATTTAAGTGAACTCGTTAAGCTTCAAACCTAACACATGTATTGAAAACTAGGGCTGTAAGTGAAACCTTGAGCAATAATTTCACTTTTTTATGCACTATTCATCCACTTAACGAACAGGAATGTGTTTTCAATTGCTGGATACTACACATTTATGAAACGATGAGAAAAATGTGGATAATCGCAACCATATGTTCCTACCGCTAACGAGACTTCGGTAGTGAAAGAATAATGTAATTATGGTAATGATAGAATAGAATGGTGGTCGGTGAGAATAATAACTGATGACAACTTACGAGAGCAATTTATTAAAACAAACCCTCAAATAAATAGATATTAAAGAACAGGTTTTTTTAAATCAAATACGCTTCAACTGAACAATAAATATGAACGGATATCATATATGACAAGAAATTCTGTAAATCAGTTACCGTCTAATGACTGCAAGATTGATTCTTACTCATTTCATAAGGTTTAATATTACAGATACTTAAATACACGACACTGTCGAAAGCACCTCAAATCAAGATTTTTTAAATTTTTAATCGATAAAGTAGAAATTTTAGTAATGACAACTGAGGTTTTTACTACTGGTCAGTCAGTCAGCTACAACGTAGAACAGGCACATATATGCATCGCTCCAAAATGCCACACCTCATTAGCACAGCTAGATGAACACCAAATTCATAGAAGTAGTTAATTCAATGGTGGTAATATATAATAGAAAGATTACATATAGTACAGGAAGAGAGAATTAGTTTGTAGAAAGAAAGATATAAAGCGCTTTTAATCTCATACTTTAAGGGAAGATAGAGATTGTATACACCGACGCCATTGTGATCGATTCTGAGTTATGTCACCCAGAGTCTCCAACCATTGTTTACGGTAGTCACGTGGCCCCTAACCAAGTAGTCTGCGTATATCAACATGACTCAGACTAGAAGTTAGTGACTTCTGCTGAAATATGATTTGAATAAACATATTAGACAATTTATTCTATCATCGGGTTAATCAACATAAATCATTCACCTGTTATGGTATTATATATACACATTAGGCTGATCTAAAATGTAAGTAGATATTTGCATTTTAATTAAAAGTACAATATATTGCATTATATAACCACAATTATACATTATTGATTTAATTACGTTTCTAATTAGAGTTATTGTATACCATTTTTGTCTTAAATGGATTTGAAGTTTGTTTTTTTATACATAATGGAACAGTCAGATGAACAATCTTGATGAGTGTATTTAAATGAAATTTGTACTGCATAATAAATTAAAAAGTGGTAAGTTCAGTGAAGTAATTGAAACATTCAAAATACATATATGTGTGACTCGGTTGATAAGTGTAAGTTTGTCAGTCATTCAATCACAACGTAGGACCGGGCATATATGTGCATCGGTCAAAGTTATAATAACTCATTAACACAACAAGATGGACACCGGATTCATAGAAGTAGTTAATTCAATGGTGGTAATATATGAAAGATTGCATAAAAGGACATAGTACAGGAACGAAGAATTACTAGGTAAAATGAAAGATATGAAACGATTTTAATCTCATAGTTGAAGGGAAGATAGAGAGCGTATACACCTCCGCGATTATGATCGATTCTGAGCCATGTAGCCCGGAGTCTCTAACCGTTGTTGCTACCTTGACGTGGTGGTCAGGCATGCCTATCGTGATGAACCGATCGAGCTATATTGGTTGAAAAATCGTTCCTCAAGGTCCTACCATGTCAGACAGGTCGGTTGAAGAGCGGTAAGACTAAAAGCAACAAACCCAAGGTCTGAGGGTGAAGTCGTACTGCTGACTGTACAGAGGTGTGACTGCAGTAAGGTGTTTCCTTCAAACAACCAGCATGACAGCGACGCTACCTTCCCACAAACAGGGGTGGAGTTAGAAAAGGCCGACCCTAAAAATGCACACCTCACCTCAACAAGTACGGAGCTAACACGAAAATCACTCACAAAAATGTCGCGTTTGATCGACCTCAAGCAGTTGTCTCTTGGACATTGCGGTCACGCTCTCAGATCACTAAGACCACCTCTAATCCAATTCCCTTTTCAGGTACATCCAGAAGAACCCTTTCACAATGTGAGCAACAGGGAAGTGATAACCGCCCTCATACTTCTAATAGCAATCAACGCCATTGATAAGTGTAAATTGAAATAAAACTAGTAACTTCACTAGAGAAAAATGAAATAAACTTACGTTCACATTTGCCACCAGTACTGTTATCACTATTAGTTATCACTTTATTATGATTAAATGATAAGTATTCCCAAATTTCTAAACGTTCCGCATAATTTAAACATTTTCGTGTAATTTTATTCCAAAATAAATAATCACTATCTAATGTTGATAATGATATTTGTGATGTAGACATGGATAATGGTGATGTTGATGTTGATACTTTAGTTTCTAACTCATTATTATGTATAAATAATTGACGATCAATATTACTCGTATGATCGGGATCATCACCATCGTCATCATGATCGTTATTATGATCAGACATAGTATAAAATACTTGTTCAGCTGCAGATAAATACATATTAGCATCTAAATTAATAATTAAACGACATAAATTCAAGAGACATAATCGTTTTGCACAATAAAATGAATGAATATAATCAGTATTATTACTATTATTATTGTTATTATTATTATTATTATTATTATACAATGACTGTTTATGAATTGATTCCAAGGTTGCTCTAGTTTTACTTGACCCATTTGTCACTACGGATAATGAAAGACGATTTATCAGACAATTAACCAATGAAGTAATCGGCCATTGTTGTGTTATAAATTTTAAATGTTCATGATTCATAAAAGTTGTTCGTATTGAATGATGCATATCATTTTCTAGGAATAATTCCTGTGAAGAAAAATGAAGCGCAAACAAAACGAAAGAAATTTTGAGATAAAATTACAAGAACAACAAAGAATTACTTAGTTCAATAGTTGATATCATGAGTCGATTGAAGTTAGACCATTATGCAAAACCTGGAAGTACTGGGTGACCGTCTCGTTCAGCTGTGGGAACCCTCAGTAGTGCGCATCCACTTACATACTTACGCATGTATGCTCCTCGTCGAGGAGCATAGGCCGCTCACCAGCATTCTCCATCCAATCCTGTCCTGAGCAATCCTTTCCAGCTCTTTCCTGTTGTTATTCATCATTTTCATATCTGCTTCTATTTCCCAACACAATGTGTTCTTTGGCCTTCCTCTTTTTCGCTTCCTTTGAGGATTTCAAGTTAGCGCTAGCCTTGTGATGCAGTTTGATGATTTGCGTAATGCATGTCTTATCAATTTCCATTGTCTTTTCTTAACTTCCTCTTCAATTGGAAGCTAGTTTGTTCTCTCCTACAGAAGACTGTTGCTGATGGTATCCAGCAAAGGGATGTTGAGTATCTTGAGAAGACAGCTATATATAAATACTTCTACTTTCTTGATGATGGTTGTAGTAGTTCTCCAAGATTCAGCTCCGTATAGTAAAACTGTCTTGACGTTCGTCCGCCTGTTGCTTTTTTAAAGTTAATGCCAGTCCCAAGCCCGGGTAAAAGAGGAGGGTTGCACATGGGTTTAGTGACCCCATCAAGTAGAAAAGTAACTCGCTAAGAAAACGCTAACCAGAAGAAATAATTCATACCATTTAAACAACAAAGAATAAATCACAAAACTTTTCGAGAAGACTTCACATTCTCTAGTCTATTTTTTTTAATTGTTAATAATCAATTTTGATAGGGACAATTATGTCCATTAGATTTTTCAGTTGAAATAAGGAACAATAAGGTCATTCTGGTATGAATGGTTTAATTGAGGATTCGGTAACGGCGTCTAGATGCCGCTAACACACAAAGAAGACAAAACGGAAGAAACACTTAATAATCAAGCTCAGTATATGTAGTAACAGAAACATGACCTTGAGGCACACTGAGTAACTTAACTAGAAAAATGCACACAACTTCCTAATTATTACCAATATTATAATGTATAAATCGAACTGATATTCATAAAACAACAATTGAACAATCGGAAGCAGAGAATATATATATATATATATATATATATATATATATATCATCCTAATATATGATTCCTTAACAATGTTCATCTATCCTTCAAGGACAGTGAAACCTGAAGGTCTGATAACACACTTGTTCAAGAGAATTATATTAGGATGAAACAACATCCTCATTTTTAATGGTTGTTTTACAAAGATTGATCTGAAATATGAACTACCGAATTCAACAATTTCCATAAACCATCAATAGTAATCATCTATATATTGAAATCAAACTAACTCGAAATCCAGTCAACATTGCCATAATTAACTGCCATTTATCTAATAGAGACAAATTATATAATTTGATAATGATTATCGTTGAATTCGACAATTCATTAGTATTCATTAATAATTCAAATATTCCAGGTATTAAACCATAATGAAATAAAATCGATTTCTTTGAGGACTTAGAATGATTGATTATTGACTTCAGAGTACTAAATCCAGATTGTTGTTGTTTCGATGAAGGATACCAAAATGATTGTGAACTAAACAAGATAAGGCAACGTAATAAACTTGGATTGATCAATAAATGTACAATGGATGGTGTATATTTCATAGATTTGTTACATAAAATGTTTACAGGAAACGTCAATATGATTTCATTTAGTAAAACCTATAAATGCAAAAAAAATTATGTGAAATCTGGGGATAAAAGATTAAAAATTAACAAAAAAAATAATAAAATGGGGGGTGGAGATTGTAGAGATTTTAGTAGTTGAAGTCATAAGTCGATCTAAGCTAAACCATTATTGAAAACCTGGAAGCAATGAGCGACTGTTTCGCACTAGTATAAGACTCCTCAGAAGTACGCACCCACGATCACGTATGCAGAACTCGACTTTTAAAATCACTACAATCTGATAATATCCGTCATATATTCACCAGTGACTGGCTTCGAGACACATTTCCTGCAATTCTAATGAGAAGCCATGACCAGTGGAGTTCAATCCATGTCGAGTTGAGACATGTATCTATCTCAGGCAAATGATGAATAATTGTGCAAGATCATGGAGCGATTAAAGTTAGACATTAACACAGTCGTATACCGGCTCAGTGGTCTAGGGTTTAAGTGCTCACGCGTGAAACTAATAGGTTTTGAGTTCGATACCCACATGCAGGATCGCGGGCGCGCATTGCTGAAAAGTCTCATACTAAGTCGGAACGACCTTCCAGTGCTTCCAGGTTTTCAATCGTAGTCTAGCTTAGATCGACTTATTAATTCAACTATTAAAAAAAAACTGGTTAAGTAATCAATAAAATATTAAATAACGGTACAATATTAAAGGAATGGAAGTTTTACATCAGATGCGGAAATAGAAAAATGAACACGCTAAGCTTGACATCAAACATATATCCACCTACATTGAAATACATTTAGATATAAAATGAACTAATTAGCTTTATCATTTTTTCAACTTTTCAACGTTCAAAACTATAGATAAAAAAGACAAACTAAGACTTTGCATTTTACATGAAACTAGAATAGAAATCAATGTATCAGTTACATTTGTGAACACTTCATTGAACATAAGTTCCCACTAGAGATTCAGGACGGATTCTGACTAGTTGGTGTATAATTATAATTTTTCTATGTAATTTATGAGGTTGTAAATGTCAGTTATACAACTATACTTCAACTCAAGTTGTTACGTTTTAGTGAAGGATAACGTAGGTGAGATCAGCGGACTACTCTTAACACGAAATTATAGTTACTTGGTAAAAAAGAAAAACCATACTCTAATACTTAATTTTCCAAATGTTCATTAATTGTTCCAGACTTCATTGTTCCTGCATTTCTATTTCCGTTCTTCCCTTTTTGATCCTCTCACTCTTCTGCTGCCAGACATTATATTCCCGACTCGCGTTATATACTACTTATGTCAATATAAGAGTTGGAATAACTGACAGAAACAAGTAATAAGTAAGACGTCAAACAAAAAGGACAAAGACATATACATGAAGGAACACTACAATACAAGAACAAAAGAAAAATAGACAAATTTCAATCTAGATAACAACAGTTGTCTTATGTTTCATAGTTCCCTAGTTCCCATCAAATCATGATAAAGATGTTTTTCAAGTTGTCTTCAGTGCTCTTATGAGGGCAGTTATCACTTCCCTGTTGCTCACATTGTGAAAGGGTTCTTCTGGATGTACCTGAAAAGGGAATTGGATTAGAGGTGGTCTTAGTGATCTGAGAGCGTGACCGCAATGTCCAAGAGACAACTGCTTGAGGTCGATCAAACGCGACATTTTTGTGAGTGATTTTCGTGTTAGCTCCGTACTTGTTGAGGTGAGGTGTGCATTTTTAGGGTCGGCCTTTTCTAACTCCACCCCTGTTTGTGGGAAGGTAGCGTCGCTGTCATGCTGGTTGTTTGAAGGAAACACCTTACTGCAGTCACACCTCTGTACAGTCAGCAGTACGACTTCACCCTCAGACCTTGGGTTTGTTGCTTTTAGTCTTACCGCTCTTCAACCGACCTGTCTGACATGGTAGGACCTTGAGGAACGATTTTTCAACCAATATAGCTCGATCGGTTCATCACGATAGGCATGCCTGACCACCACGTCAAGGTAGCAACAAAGGTCGGGATGTTTTTCAAAAGTAAACTTACATTAAATCTAAGCAAATAGTGTTTGAAGAAGAACACTGAAACTACTTACTTTCATAATTTCATATGATTTATTTGAGATCGTATTAAATTCTGGGTGTTTAAATAGACGAGCTAATAGACAATGTCCAAAACTTAATGGAATAGGTTTACAATTTAATTGATCATTACAATTTTGCAATAACCATATTTTTTTATGTCGTCTTTCCATTGAATTCTCTAAACCAGGATGTGATAATGCTGGTGCATAAAATTTTGCATACATTATACTAGAATGACGTAACATTGTAAAGAGTAATTTTAATCCATATGAAATCAAATTAGAACTGTGTGACTGACAAACAAGCTGTATAGATAAAAGAGAATTATAGTAAGTAAATATATATAATAAGTAATGGATAGCGATTATAATTAATGCTTTGGAGACTTTGTCTTCATTAAGAACCTTGTGCTCAATGGTGACTACTTTCCAAGTGGATTCCCTCCCATCGACACTTCTGTTGAGAATCATGATCTTGACTGTGTCAACAAAGTCTGTATTAAGGCACTAAATAATTGAAGACTTTGAACGTGAACATTACAAAACTTTAAGATTATAAAAACGTCTTTATAAAGTACGGTAATAAGTTTTATTATTATTATAACTACGGTTACACGTAATTTTCTACTGTTACTTATATCATCAGTGTTACGGTTAGCAGTATAACCTCGACCTATTTGGAACTTACCTAGAAAATTTCTTATGTAAAATATTGGAAATTAGATCGATAAACACCTACCATGTTGTCTACGTCGGGCTACATAAAAAATAGTCTATCGAAGTGTGTACCTCAGTTTCATTTATACACAGTGTGAACTTCAACATTGAGACAGAGATACGTTTAGCTGATAAGTCGCAAGCAGGACTGAATAAACGTTCTTTATTCCAATTCCAACCAATATACAATCGGTTCAAATAGTAATAGGCATACTATCCATATATCATAAGAAAAGTTGATCAAAATTTAAACCTGAATATCAACAAGGGATAGTAAATCTTTTTGATGGAGTTTTTTTCTGAGAGTTGGATGGTTTGGTTGTGGAGTTTACATCGTCCTACTGAACGACAACATCAGCACAAACTTCAGATGCAAGTGAAGTGTTCGAATTTCTCCACACGTGGTTCACAGCTTGTCCTGTACACCTAGATGTGGATTGGTTCTTGTTGACTATAAACCTGTCATTGTTTACTTCTTTGTTTTGGTTGTTTCACATTGGTTTGATTTTTGTTGCTAGGTTTGCGCATAATTTTCCTGATTGATTGATAAATTGGGTCGATTTCAATGTGCTTGTTGATTGTTGATGAAAACTCCACGACCAAACCATCCAGCTCAGAGAAGAAAACTCCATCAAAATCATCCACCTGAGCTATAAATGTTCTCCACCATGATATATCTTTATTAACTTATTAATAAAGTACTTAAAAGTAATGATAATCCAATAATATAAAAATTTTAAAATCAGTTATATGGGTAATAAAATACATGGTAAAAATATTCCACAAAAACTTACTTCACCAAGAAGACAAATTGCCACTTCAATACCTCCGTGAGGTTCAAAAACTGAATCAAAACTTTCCCGATAATAGTAGTTAACACAGTGAGATATTGATTGATTGTCATCAGGTGAATATATACTCCTTAATAACCATAATCGCTTTTTAGAGGAATGAGCATAACTGATTAAATAAGAGGTATAAAGAAAGGGGAATGAAGTCTTAATCACTGGTAAGATTTAAACAATTAAATGAAAAGAAAATACATAGATACAACCACATCTAGTAAACAATCATTAAAAACATTTGAAAGTAACTCGTTAGGACCCAGGCTCTTGGGGTTTTTTTTAATTTGATAAAAGTTAGAAGACCAATACTGACTTATCACCCAATTAATAGGTAGATAATAAGAAACTGGATCGTGGATGCGTACTGCTAGGGAGTCCACAATAAGACGAAACGGCCGTCCAGTGCTTCCAAGTTTTCAATGGTGGTCTAACACCAATCGGTTCATGATCTCAATCAAAAACTTAATAATCTCCACAACCCCTATACTGAAGATTTCTTTTGTTCGATCCTATTCACTTTCTCCCAGGACCGTTACTTATCACTGAGTTACAATAACAATCGTTCTGTGTTCTAATAATATTCGCTGAGTATACTATTATTCTTATCATTTTCGTTTATATTTTGATAATTTAAGCCTTTGCAATAAGATTTGGTGAAAGTATATTCACATTTGTTAAGTATATAGTAAAAAGAGTATTTAATTTCTTTCAACAAACTATATTCACATTATATTATTCCCATAGGATGAAATATATTCCAAGACATTTGAATATTTTGGCTTCTAATCAATGCAATCAGATTTTCTTCGATCTATCTAAATAGATCTTTCTATGTATATTCAAAGTAGCAAACTTGAAGTGAGTAAGTGTTCTCATCATAGATATTAGTTTAAGAACCATCAAAAAAAGTGAAATACCTAATGGATTTATTGAGTTAATTTTAAATTTTTCCGCAAATCAAGAGTATATACAGAATTGAACAAAACTGAACAACATACAAAAATACAGAAAGATTTACGATAATTTCATGAATATAATCATGCGTTCACTGGTGACTAGCTTCGAGAGGTAATTCTTAAAGTTCTAATGAGGTGTGACTAATAGAGCTAATATGTATTAAGTGTGAGGAAGTTACCCATCGGAGACAATCGAAAATGGTCACACAATATCGTGCATTGGTTGAAGTAAGAAATAAAAAAACTGTTGGATGACGGCTCGGTGATCAAAACGTCAAGCATTCGTGCGTGGAACTGAAGGTTTTATGTTCGAATTCCTCGTGCAGGATCGTGGAGGCGCACTGCTGAGGAGTCCCATACTACGAAAAAACGGTAGCCTAAAATTTATAGGTTTCCAATGGCCGTCTAACATTGAATTGTTCATGATCTTAATGAATATAATTCAATAGCAGATGAATCTCAACAAAGTCATCATTTTTGAAAGTCTACTGACTAGTTTGAATCCTCTTTATTACTAGACCGATATTTAGGAAATAAACAGTTTGGATACATTAAAAGAGTACTTAAAATGAGAAAATTTTCATATACTGCCAACATTTTAACAATTTTTGACTAAACATGACTTCAGGTGTAAACTCTTTAAAATAGTGATAATCATTTAGTGATATATACTGGTTGAACTAAATCTTGTAATCACTAACATTCATTAACTCCACCTGGAGTCCCTCTTGGGCTACTGCCGGTTCTAAGCTCGGATAAAGGAGGAGGGTTGGACATGTGGTTAACGATCCTATCCCGTAAAAATCTAACTCATTATAAAACGCTAAACAGAAAAATCTATTCTAACTACTTAAACTCTACCCTGGTAGTCAGAAGGTCTTCATTTAGAAGAGTTATAACGCCTCATGGTGAAAGCCGACTTCCTTCGGAAGCCACGAGGCTGATGCCCCTTTTGACAACTAGAGAAACCATTAATTTAAGTATATTAACAAAGTATAGAAATATAAGACAAGAAACATATTCTCTCTATATATTTGGAAAGTCGAATAGAGAGAGATATTTCTTTGGAATTGAACAATGCCCGGAAGTACCTCATCTATTCGCTTACAAAATGCTATTTCTTTTCAAAAAAAAGTGGAAATTGATCGGTACAAAAGTGTGAAGTAATACCTACATTGGTATAACTTGATAACCGGTTTTAAAGATAATTTGACTGGTAGAATGTTTAAAAGTTACGCAATTATTGTTATCAATAATAATAATAGTAATAATAATAATACTTATAATAGTAGTGTAGTGTGGGTTACTATGTTGAACCCACACAGCTTATTCTAGCTTTCGGAGTCATGTTTTGACCTTGTTAATTATCTACTTATGAACCTTGTGTGTTTTAATATGGGTGTATGTGTGTGTACACTTCTTATCCTACTCATCACATGTTTGTAACCTATTTTTATTCTGGCTATAAATATTGATAATCGCTTAATTAAAGGGAGTTGGCTTACATACCTTCTCCACTACGCGTCTCTGTTCTCTTCACTTCGTTCCTTTGATTGCCTGCCCAGAACAATGAGTGTACAAGGTATATGTATTCGAAAATCCATTCTCGTATTTGACTTATTTTAATTCTGTTATTCACTAACTCGACAAGTTAAATCGATAATTATATACGACGATATCCAGGATGTATATTTTAACAACAATCAATCATACGATTTAATTGAAGTCAGTTCCCGGGCCACTAAAATGGTGAGGCAGTCGAGAACATCGTTCGATCTAATTGACGGCAAAAAAAGACCTCAACTAAAATAAAAACAATAATAGTATCCGAACAAATTATAACTTACTCAATTTGTACTGTATTTTCATCAAATGATTTGTAATGTTGGTTAACATTGGAATTTAACAAGTTTATGTCATGTACGTTATCATTGTTCACTTTCGTTGTTAACGATTCATCATATTCAGTTGTATGCAATGATGTTAGCAATTTTGGTAAAATGAATTGTACATAAGTTAGATTATGACTCAACAAAATGATGAATAAATGCTCCTTTAAGTAAAAAGGAAAAAGAAGGCAAAAGGAAATGAATAAAAAGAATAAAGAATAAAATATTCTAATAGTTGAGATCATGAATCAATTGAAGCTAGACAACCATTAAAAAACATGACAGTAGTGGATAGCCGTTTCGTCCTAGTATGGAACTCCTCAGCAATGTGCATCCACGATACCGCCCCTCTCGGGATACGAACCAAAGACTAATCGGTCTCACGTGCGAACTCTTAACCATTAGAACGCTGAGCCGACCAGCATCCAACAGTGTTAATGTGAAAGTTCAACCAATCCACCAAACTGAACCGCACGTCTACCATTGTCTTCAGTGAGTTACTATCTCACAACAGACATGGTTGAATCCCACTAGTCACTGTTTCTCACTAGAACTCCACGAAATACGTCTTGCAGCCAATCACTAGTGAGCATACGTTTATTCATATAAAACGGGGATTGTGAGGATATTTGTTAATGAAAACGATGAAACTAAATTAGACTGATAACGTCGCATAAGCCATTTGAATTTCAATAGTTCAGTGTTGAAAATATTTTGACTTTCGGATAAGTGAAATGAAAACAGATAGATAGGAAATATATTCACTAGTTATTGATATTGAGAAGACCATATGTGATGAATAGTGTTTGTTAATAGATGTGCTTCCTAGTCACCACAAAAATAAAAATCTTTAAAAATAAAATACCAACGAAACAAATTCAGTAACAATAAGTAGCTCAGTGCCCCCAAATGCTTTGGTACGGTCGAAAGTGGGGAGAGTCAGCTCTTCCTCTCGAAATGTTTTCACGTATCTACGTGCATACAAACACTACTATGGAAGTCTAACTTAATGCCTTCTCGGGGTATTACTGTTTTTTACGAAATTAAAAGGACGAAAAGTGAGTGTCCGGCGCTCTAGCCGGGTCGGTGGATACAGAGGGTCCACCTAAGGAAGTTGGGAAACCCTCATTCCAAACGATTGGTGCATATGAGCTCCAGTATACTGAAGGAACAAATGGCGTATGAATCTATTGTTGGTCACCAGCTACCATGGGACTACATCTCCTTACGTTACTCCACTACCTTGTGGATTAGATTTTTTGGTAGAATGCTCCGGGAGTGACCCTTTAAGAAAACCACCTACTTCGGTTTGGTCAATTGGGCAATATCCTAGCCCTTACATAAATTGGATGATTTATGTGGCGCATATCTGTTCGGTGCCTTCTCGTACCAATGTTTATGAGTTTAAATAAATAAACAGTAGCTAGTGATTAAAATACTTATTATTAATACTTCTATTATTAGTATTAATATTAGTGGCTTTATTCAATATTATACGTTTAGTACAATATAGAATTTTAAGCGCTAAAGATTTCAACAAGTATCTTTTACAAAACAAAGACAAAAAAAGATAACTACATACATATATACATGATTTAAGTAGATAAACTACCTGGAGTACAAGTTTTAATTAGGTCAACTCAAACAACCTGTTTATTACATAATACATTTGCTAAATAAAATATTGTAGAGCTTTTATACTTTTGATTGTGTGCATGGATTCCAATGTATTGACGTCTCGTTCCATCAGAAGAGATGCACAAGGAGAAAGTGGATGGTTAGTATCTGATAAAATAGCACTGGTCAGAAGTTTGAAGCATTTTAATCGTCCATATATTCAACCACATTCATAATGACCTTAAAAGATTCACCACACATTCTGCTAACTGACTTTAACAATCTTGGCAACTCATAAAAATGTCTTCTCAAAAAGCTCGGAGACAAGAAAATGATGGGGAACAGTAAAGAATAATAAGCATGAGTTTAAAATAGGATAAAATGGATATTCTTGATACTTTAGTCAAAATCTGAAAACAATTTAAAGAATTCGAAGAAGTAACTTACTGAACAGTATATTTTTAAGAATCTTAACCAAAATTCTGAATGGATTAAAGAATGGGCTTTCATTAATAATTGACTGATACAATCATAATCATGATGATTACTTTTCAATCTTGAATCCTTTAATGCATATCTACGTATAAATGCATGAAGTATACAATCAGCTGAATTTCGATAGTATGCACTTGATTCAAGTGAATCAAAATACCCATTGAATAATGGACCTAAAAGGCTAAGTGATAAAGCGATTGCTTTTATTGAATTGTTAAAATAATTTTCACTTTGATGCTCTGACTGTTGTGACATTTGTTCATGATGATGCTTTGAAGATTTCTTTTTGTATTTCAAGACGGAATCAGAAGATGAAGAAGAAATTTTTCGCACACTAGAAGGTAAACCTAGAAGGAAAAGAAACACCAGAAACAGAATCCAGAACATGTAGAACAGAATTAGTGATTTTCAGTATTGATGACTGCTAGATTTGAAGCAATCACGAGTTCACTTAATCTGCGAATGAGAAACAAGACTCGGTGACCAAAGACCAGTAAGCTAGCTATATATATCGATATTGCCATGGAGCTTTTAAACATTTAATCGATAAGTTCGTCAATCGACTATGTGCGTGGGTGGTAAGAAATGCCCACGCATACATCTGCATACAAACTCCACATGATAAAATTACAAACTATGAGTTTTTGGGGATCTATCATCTCCAACAATGACATAAACAAATTCTGGGGAGAATGACGATTTAAACAAAAAAGAACAAATAAATATTTATCAGTATGGAGTTGTGAAAGTGGTCGAATTTCATTGAAACCATGAATTGATCGAAGTTAAACTACCGTTTAAAACTTGGAAGCACTATAAGGCCGTTCCGCCATAGTGTAAAACTCTTTAGGAGGATCCGTGAGCAGTGGAGTTATACTAGATCGAGTGTGATGCAGTACCCATCGAAGACAATGGAGAATGGTCGCACAATATTGTGGATTGATTAAATTCAGACATTAACACTGTTGCTTGCCGATTCAGTGGTCTAGAGGTCAAGCATTCACTCACGAGACCAAAGGTACTGGGTTCGATTCCTCCGTGTGATATCATGGATGCACATTCCTGAAGAGTCCCACATTGGGACGAAGTAGTCTTCCAATGCCTTCATGTTTTCAATTGTAAACAAATAATTATTCGATAAGCTTGTTTAGTGTTAGGTAAACAAACACTATTGATTCACAAATTTTAACCTCTAAAATAAAGGATACACGGTGTTTTGTGATTAGGTTGGCTTACGATAGCCAATATAAATGTCTTTGACTAAGATATTATGTACTACAATTTGTTTACCGATAAGAAATCACTTTTCGAGCACGAAATGCCATATGTAAAACAAGATTTAACACAATAGTATCCAAACAGCATTACTAATTAGATTATTTGATTCAGTTTGGTAGACAATTCCTTTTTAATTGAACTCAACTGTAGTGTTGAAGGAAACACCTTACGGTGAATTTGTTTTATGGTAATCTAGAGATCATAAAGCTGGATATTAAGCATTCCCAAAACCAAAAGATTTGAAAAATTTTCAATGGTGTTTTAAAACACTGGACACAGTGTTAATATAATATAGTATAGTGAACAATAATGTCTGTTACTTGAAGACATGGGGCTGAATTTCTAACAACCTCTTAGCACATTAAAATCTGCTATACTACGTCCACGGGGGAAATTAAAGAAGAACGTAAGTATGAGAAGATTTGCAATCGACGATAGTTTGAATAAAGATAATTGCAGGTTCGTTGGTGACCATGATATTCTAGAGGTTTTTGAAAATATGTTAATATTGATAACTAAATCGGTAATTACTCAATCAGGATATGATGAATACCACTGAAACAATGGTGGCTGGAGGACAGTTGGCAGATGCATTCCAAGTAAGAAACGGAATCAAACAAGGCTGCCTACTCTCCCCCTTCGACTTTCTTCTGGTGGTTGGCTGGATTATGAAGACCTCGACATCTGAGGAGAAGCATGAAATACAATGGACATCTCAGAAGCAATTAGAAACTTCGGACGTCGTAGATGACCTGACCCTCCTATCCCATACACACAAACAAATTCAGAGGAAGACAACTAGTGTAGCAGCAGCCTCTGCATCAGCAGGTCACAGTATACACATAGGAAAAACAAAGATCCTCAAATTCAACTCATAGAACACCAACACAACCACACGAGATGGCAAAACTCTGGAAGATGTCGAATCCTTCACATACCTGGGGAACATCATCGATGAACAACGGGGATCAGATGCAGATGTAAAGGCGAGGATCGGAAAAGCAAGGACAGAATTCCAACAATTGAAGAACATATGGAACTCAAAACAACTTTCAACCAATATCAAAGTCACAATCTTCAATAAGAACGTCAACACAGTTAGCTTTACTGTACGCAGCTGAAACTTAGAGAACTACTACAACCATCATTAACAAGGTACAAGTATTTATAAATAGTTGTCTACGCAAGATACTTAAACCCATAAGCCGGATAACATCAGCATCAGCCTTCTGTGGGAGAGAACAAACCAGCTTTCAGCTGAAGAGAAAATGAGAAAAAGACGTTGGAAGTGGATAAAACATACATTGAGGAAATCACCAAACGGCATCAAGAGACAAGCCCTAACTCGGAATCATGAAGGGAAGTGGAAAAGAGGAAGGCCAAACATTACATTACGTCAGGAAATAGAAGCAGATATGAAAAAGATGAATAACAACAGGAAAGAGCTGGAAAGGATTGCCCAGGACAGAGTTGAATGGAGAGTGATGGTGGGTGGCTTATGCTCCTTCACGAGGAGTAAGAGGTGTAAGTAAGTAAGTAATATGATAATTAGTTCATAGTTTTTTTAATTCTCTGAAAGGTTACTATTGAACACTGATTGGATAAAACGTTTTCTCAGATCCAGAAGACTTTAATAGTAAATCTCAAAGATTCAGGACAATTGCAATACAAAAGCAACAGATAAACATTTACAAATATAGTAATATAACTAATTTGTTTCTATCTATGAAACAAAAGGTTGGCTTTAAAAATAAACTTACCAGTAAATAAAAGTAAATTTCCTAAATCAAAAGTATTTCTTCTACATTCTAAAGAAGAGCATACATCAATTACATGACCAAAACGCATCACAGGAGGTATAAACTGATGTTGACAGTTTATATGTGGATCGGAAAACTCTTTGTTAATCAATATAAGATCACCGATAGATTCAAACCAACCATTGATCACAAGTGACACCTTAATTAATAGTAAATAAATGAAAAGAATTAATCCACAAATTATCATAAATATAAAAACTTAAGAATGAATCTGTGAAGACAGTCCACGGGTAAACTTGAAGAAGCCGTATATATTCCATCTAATCATCTAATATCCAAGAATCCCTATGTGGAGCTTCCCTATTGGACAAGTACCAATAACCCCGTATATGCGGATTGGAGGACTATAATAATGATTTCGTTTTTACTAATAACTATAAATACCTGACAGTTTTGTACCATAACTGACACTATTTAAAATAGTATTCTTTTCACTTGTCTTCTGGCTTCTCACTTACGAATTGAATGGTTCTAGCGTTTGAATGCTCAAGTTGTACGTGGCATATTAAGAATCTAAGCTGTAGATATAACAAAACCTCACTTAAATCGAAGAAGACCGTCAAAATTTTTGTGATGACTACTTTTCAAGACTTGCAACCAATAAAAGAAATCCTCATACATTTGATCTGCCGAATAATGGGTCACATAAATCACCTGATATAATCAAGCATTGCCATAAAATGTTTATGAAAATAATTACTTCTAAAACTATGCAGCATTGTCCCTGCGGCTAATTAAGGAATAAGATCATATTGGAATTAACTCTGCTTATAGAGCTTGAATATGGATCAACGATATTCATTCTGTGAACTGAATGACAAAATTGTAAACTCCAAAATGAGCATAAGTTCAATCTAGGATCTACGTACATTTCGCTCATCAGTGGTGACTAACACGAAACTTAGAGCTAGGGTTTTGTATAGATTATCCCCAATTATCCAAAATATATGGGAATTTCTGCCCAAGTGTCATTGACAATCAATAACTAAAATCACTGACTTCAATCATAGCAATATCTATTCTCTGTCAATTATACTTTACATCTCAACTATTTAGGAGCCCCTCTGGGTCTACTGCCGATCCTAAGCCCAGATAAAGGAGGAGGGTTGGGTATGGGTTTAGTGACCCTATCCCGTAGAAAACTAACTAAAAAAACGCTAAACAGAAAAAACAACAACAATAACTGTTTAAACTCTGCCCTGAGAGTTAGAAGGTTTTCATTTAGAAGAGTTATAACGCTTGCATGGTGAAATCCGACTTCCTTCGGAGGCAATAGGGCTGATACCCCTTCTGACAACCAGCGCAACCATTAATTTACGTACATGGAACACTCGTATAATGTGACTTCTTTAACAAGTTTAAATGACAAATATACGATATTTAGAAAGGAAAGAAACAACAACGAAGAACAAAAACTAACTTTTGCATTTAAATAGTTTATCCATTCAATATATAAAAATAAATGATTCCATTCATCATAAATATTACATTCTTTAGGAAAATCTAAGCATAAATCACTAAGCAGTAGAATATCATTTGCATTCCCCTCTAATGATATAGATGCTTCATTATAGTCTAATGTTGTATTCTGTTTATTTATTGACGTTTCAACAATACGAATATATATACATGAATAAATACATGATATCCATATCTGTTAATGTAAATGAAATGAAAGAACATTAATAACTTTTATATCCCAATGAGAATAATGAATGATAACTTTTGGGATGCATTTACGGACCAATACTATACGTATAATTTTATCGTATAGTTGTTATATAATTCAGCTATTTATATTCATGTTCCTCTTATCATAAGCTTTATTTTGACCTATGAACTATTATTATACGATTTACTATCGTTGAATTATGCCCTGTCTATCAATTACTATCTCCCACATTCACAGCCACATTTGACCAAATCTTGTACAAATGTTGTTTCATATTTTATGGTACGCTGTGGTCTGTCTGGTTGGTATATAAACCCGGTATGTTTGAAATAAACGATTTATATCACAGAGGCTGAGATTGGTGTTCTGGACTTAACAGGCTGGGCTAGGCGCAAAGCAGGACCGATAAGGACTCTAGAATGCTCGTACGGGTTTTTATGCGTCATTGGTCCGATCGATGATTCACTGTCCTCTAATTGGCGGTATCATTACGTTATACATTAACACGGCACACAGGCCACAAGTTATAACAATAAAATATACGAATTACACGTTTATATTATGTAAAGTTTAACCTGATTACTCGATCAAATAACCAATAAATATAGTCAATGAGAACAGATATAACAACAACAACAACAACAAAAATCGATTAGATTTGAATATATAATTTCCTACTGATATTGAAAGTGCTGCTGAAACTAGAAGGGTCGATGATAAATATTCAGTAGGGAAGGATTGAGAACCATAAATGATCAGAAAGCAGATTTATCTTATTAGTATGGGGTTGTGGAGATTGAGTTTTTAATTGAGACCATGAAGTGATCAATGATGGACTACTATTAAAATTCTGGCACACTAATGACTAACTTCGAGAGGTAATTCGCGGAGTTCTAGTGAGAAGACACGACTAGTGGAGTTAATCTGCGTCAAGTGTGAGGCAGTTACCCATCGAACACAATCAAAGATGGTCGCACAATAACATGCATTGGTCGAAGTTAGACATTAACACTGAGGGATGACGGCTCATTGGTTTACAGGTGAAACTGAAGGTCCTATGTTCAAATCCCTCGTGCGGGATCGTCGATGTGCATTTCCGAAGAGTCTCATACTACGACGAAATGGCTGCCTAGAAGTTCCAGGTATTCAATGATCGTTTAACATTGATCAATTCACGATCTCGATCAGAAGATCTGTCTTAGTTGAAAATCATACACTATTATACACCTTAGAACTCAAAATGACAGTGATTCAATAACCTCCAGGTGTTGTGGAGTTAGAACGATAAAATTAGACCAGTTAGTAGGTGGAATTTCAATGACTTACATTTCTAAATTTAAGAAATTTATGTTGAATTCAGCCACTAGTAAAAAACAAGATTATTACTTATTTTAATAGTATGTATGACTTTCTTCAGACATGTTTCACCCCAACGATGGATATCAGCCGTAAGAGATGTCGGAAACATTGGAAAATAAATCTCCAAAAAACCACATAAATGAACACAAACATATTTGTCTAACATAGCAACACAATGATTTGTAACAAAAACAAATAACTTAAACAAAGAGAATTAGCCATCAACAAGAAATTAAAGAAAACAACGTAAATAGTAAAAACAGTCAGCTTAAAATGACAGTATTTGAGCGTTTGAAGGAGTCTGTAGTTGTTATTGTTGGAAACTGTGAGGCATATGTACATCGAAAAAGCAACCTAAACTTCCACAACGTTTGCCCTGCTGACAGTAAGGTGTTGTAGAGACCGTTGAATTCCATTGAAATCATGAAGCGATCTAACTTAGACGACCATTAACGACCTAGAAGTACTGGACAGCCATCGCATCCTAGTATTGGACCAAATTAGTGTGCACCCAAGAACTCACACACTGGAATCGAAACCAGGACTTTTGGTATCGCGAAAGAATGGCTAACGTTCTATCACAGAATCAGAAAGTTGTGTTTACTGGTAAAGCTCGATAAAAACTGTAATAAATAATTGTCTGAAAGAAAATTCGATACTCTAGAACAAACAAAAATAAAAGTAATATTGAATAACGAAGTAAGACGAAATAACGCAAGTCAGTTTGTCAATCGTAAGATAGGGCCTGACAAGTAAGCACATCATTCCAAGTGAGGTGAGATTGTCAAGCCAATTCCATGAATATTGAAGTAGTAACAGAATCAGTAGTGACTGAAAAGATGGAATGTCGAAGATAAGATTCGGGAATAAAACATAGTTTGGCGAAATAAAAACATGAATAAGTTATAAAGAATATAAAAGCTCAGAATTAGGAGGAAGATAAACAACGAATACCCCTGTACCATTGCAAACGATTCCCAGCCACGTAATTCAAATTCTCTAACCTCTAGTTACGATGATCACGCGAAGCCCAACCAGGTAGTCTATATCTATTAACATGATTCAGTTCAAATGTCAATGATTTGATGAACTCATACTATGTATTGATATAGACGCTCTTAGCATTCTTCCAGCCTTCTCCTACACTAGACACCAACCGATGAGGTAGGTGGTGGTTGGGAATACGTAACAGGTATCCTAACCACCTCATTTGGTGAAGATTTACTACATATTCGAAAGATATACCAATCTTCACTGGTTACCCATTCCTAAACCAAACATTGTTTACCCGATAGTCCCAAAACACAGGATCGATAAATCGAAGACACCTATGATCGAATACTAGTAACCCACGAATATTCTCTCCGAGAAAGGAAAGCATTCTTACAGTTGAAGAACACATGGAACTCAAAACAACTGTCTGCATGCCAACGTCAAAGTCAGGATCTTCAATTCGAAGGTTAAGACAGTTCTGTTGTACAGATCTAAACCCTGAAGAACTACCACAACCATCGTCGAAAAAGTACAAGTATTTATAAACATTTGTCAACGGATCAACGAACACATGGAGTCGGCAATCGGAACCATTCATTTTCATTATCTGTTTAGACAGTAGAACAGATGTATTTTTGACGGTACTACTATTTTTATTTCAATTGTTTCTTGTCATGATACGAACATCCCTATAACATACATTCTCCCAATCTTGTTACTTTTATATTCACAACAATGTTCTAGTTTCAGATCAGATCAAAATTTTCGTATTACAATGATACGATAGCAGATATCCAAACATTATTGCTTTATTTATTAATTTGTTTATTTAAACACATAAACATTGGTAAAAAAAAAAAGCACCAAATAGATATGCGACACATAAATCATTCGATTTTTGTGAGGGCTAGGATACTGTCTGGGTGCTCAAACCGAAGCAGGTGGTTTTCTAAGGGAGCCACACCCAGAGTCTTTGACTTAAAGGTCTAATCCACGAGGCAATGGAGCAACGTTAGGAGATGCAGTCCCATGGCAGACGGTGACCAAGGATTGGTTCGTACGCCATTTGTTCTTTCAGCACACTGGAGCCCACATCACATCACAATGTGTAAATTTCTTTATAACCGTGCGAATTGAAACCCTCATCTATACAATCTGACCAACAGATTTCATTCAGTAAAATTTACCCTTAAATTACGTAATGTAAATTATATCACATCTAGAGATTAAAAAAATTAAATCAATATACCTAATTACAATCAAAACAAGTTGAAATAATTCTGAAATATTAACCATGTGTTTTCTATTTAAATAGAAACACATAAAAACCTGTGTATATCAGGTTACTATTTAAGTTTCAAGGCAATTGAAAAGAAAAACACTTCTGTACAAAATACTATACAACTTGAATAAACAACAACAATTCAATTATGGTGTGTGTGTGTGTGTGTGAAGTAGTTAGTTAACAGTAGCATTCATTAATTGTTGGGTGATATTGCATGCAACACATTAAATGACGGTTCAGTAGTTCAAAGATTCAACATTTATAGTGAGATCAGACGGTTCTAAGTTCGATTCCTTATAGGATCGTGAATGTGCATTATTGAAGAAGAGTCTTATAGTAAGATGAAATCGCTAGCCACTGTTTACCGGTTTTGAATAGTTTACTAAGGTTAATCCATGATGGAAATAAAGAAATTCAATCAATTCAATAAACCAACTACAGTAACAAGAAAAGTGTCACTGTCACATGAAAATATTCTACGCATTATCAAAAGATCTGTAAGTAGCATAAACTTTCTTTGAAACTCTTGCTGTTCTTGAGATATTAATACATTGAACCTATTATACACAAAGCTTATCGACGCTATACTCGTTGTAAGTATTCATCGTTCAGTAATAGAGCTGTATTTAAGAACATCACTTGCATCAATCAATGAATAAAGACCAATAAATATAACATTGAACCAGAATAACGTCACTCAAAGAAATGCTTGTAGATGACTTTCCGGCTCACTAATTATATTTTGACATAGATTTAAGAGTACGCTTTCCTTGAATAATTCGTTAAGTAATCAATATTGATTAAAGGAATTGTATGCTCCCATCTAAATACCTACAGCTGAACTCAAGAGACCAGACCTATTTTCTTTCAAGAGGGAGTGGTGATACAACCAGTTAATCAGATATTGACCGAATGTTAAGCTGACGCAATCGGACAAGATATGACTTCTTGTTCTACGGCTAGGGCTGATCAGACTTCTAAAATAAGTGAAGTTGTCGAAGCGTCCACCTACTTCAGTCCCTATCCTTAGCTCAGGTTTTGACACAGGCCAGTCCTGAAGCAATAACTAACATTTAGAAGAGTAGGAACACATCCCAAACATCCTGGTATTGTTGCTCAGTGCTACCAAAAGACTGCAAAAAAAGTAAGTTCCCATTTAGTACGTCATTAACCGTATTGAACAGTTTCTTTAACTATAGCAAGTTGGCTCATACAGATTCTAGTACAATATTTCAAAAACAAAAATCAATGAAGTGAAATTATTAACACAAAAACTGTATACTCATACTTGAAGTGAGAAATGACTACGATTAGTTGAACAAAGTGGTAATGTGTTTGTTGTATTTACCGATGATTGATATCCAGATTGATTATTGTGACATAAGGATGAAGATAGTATATCCAAACTAATGAAATGTTGTAAATGATTTAATTGCACATGTTGAAATAGATCCATTTCAGATAATCGATTGAACTTAGGTTTAACCTTCTAATAAATAATCATAATAATAAATATGATTACTATAACAAAGTTAAATATACACTTTAATAATAATAATAATTATATATATATATATATATATATATATATATATATATATATATATATATATATATATATATCATTCTATTGACTTTCATCTTTGCCTTTCTTCCTGTCTATGCTTCAGTACGTGGAGATCAGATGACAGAAGTGAGAATATCAAAGAGGAGTATCACTTCCTTTGAAATTGTAGATACATTTTGTTGATGAGTAACTGTTATGTTCGGTCGTCGCTAATTGCTGTGCCGGAAAAACGCTGATCACTTATACTTGAAACAAAGGACCTCTGCAATCCCCACAACGCGAAGTAAGAACACAAAGACTGGTATTGTTAGGTTTGAAGCTAACGAGTTCACTTAGATTGCGAACGAGAACGAGATTCGTTGACCAAGACCAGTAAGCTAACTATTGACGCGTCCCAGCCCCAGCTATCTAGAGGAGGGGCTTGAAATGAGAAGTGTATTCTGCAACCACCAGAAATGAGTCATTCAACCAAAACAATTAAAAACATATATATATACAAATATATATAATCGATATTGTCATTTAAATTTTTAAACATTCGTCAATAAGTTCATCAATTGATTGCTATTCAAATATTTAAACATTTAATCGATAAGTTAATCGATAAAATTATAATGTGAATTTTTGAGAATTTATCGTCCCCAACAGGTATAAGTGAAGATTTATTAGCCCCAAAACACTATGACGACGACTACGATGATGACGATGATGATAGTGATGATCTAGTAGAAAATACACTCATTTATATACTGATTGTACACCCATTCTGATTAATAATTACGATGAAATCACATATATGAAAAATACTTAGAGTTATAACAAATCATATACTTAGCATAGTTCTGATCAATGGAATACAAAAATATCATACGAAAAAAAAAACTACACTGAGTAATCAAAACGGGAGTAATCTTGAATAGAACTCATAATGAGTAAATCAATCAGAAATTGACTTTTCTTTCCATCCTATCAGTATCAACTACTGAGAAACCTATGTTCAGAGTATCTAGTTGGCTATTATTCAGTTAGTCTGTCATAAGCAATGTAGAACCCAAGTTATCATAAAATATTAGCACAAAGAGATAAATAAACAAAGATGAAAATCCAAAGTTCTAAGCATGGTAGTAAAAAGATTCAGGTACAAAGAATATGATTCGAGTCAATCAGTCAGCTACAACGTAGGATCAGGTATATATATGCATCGGTCCAAGATTCCATACCTCATTAGCACAACAAATGAACACCAAATTCATAGAAGTAGTTAATTCAATGGTGGTAAGATATACAAGAAACATTGCATATAAGGATATAGTACAGGAAGAAGGGATTAGTTCGTAGAATGAAAAATATGAAGCTATTATAATCTCATAGTTTAAGGGATATGATTGGAGAGGAAAATTGAATTTGTGGCACAAGAAAAATTTTCAGATTCAAAATCAGAGAGAAGATAAAGACTTAATGTATATTTTGCGTTTTTTCTCTCGTGTTCAGGCCGCTGTGTAGTTCTAGCTTGAGGGTCACGAGAATAGCTTAGGAACCGAATATAACGTTCAATTAGCAAGACTTATCAAGAAAAGGTACTTCACAATCAGACAGAAGCACGAACAACAACAAGCACAACTCAAGCGTATATATAGCATAAAATATTCTTGGGAAACGTCACAATATAGCATATTATGAAAAGGAGCGAACCAATGATATTTAAGATCCTGCCAAGTGAGAAATACAATATGAAGGTGAAAATGGGCAGTTTTAGCGCGAAAGTGAGAAATTTAAATTTATAAAACTAAGACGTTTGCCAAGTGATTTTTCAGGATTTAGAATCCTCAACATTATCCAATCCCAAATATATTGAATTTCATATACTAGATTTAACTGTTTACCATCAGCCAATACAAATATGATCAATAAACCCAGCAAAATAATTACAATTTTTGTCGAAAAAATTTGTCTAAGAAGGGATTTTTTGTGTACATTATAGTAATTTCACTAGTTCAGATCATGTGTCGGTTGAAGCTAGACCAACATGGAAAACCTGGAAGCACTGGACGGCCGTTTCGTCTTATTGAGTGACTCCTCAGCAGTGCGCATCCACGATCCCGCCTAGCGGGATTCGAACCCAGGACCTACCAGTCTCGCGCGCGAACACTTTACCACTAGATCACTGAGGCGGCCAGCATCCAACAGTGTTAATGTCTAACTTCAACCAATCCACCAAATCCAGCCACACATCCACCATTGTCATCAGTGAGTTACTATCTCACAACTGACCCAGTTGAACTCCACTAGTCACAGCTTCTCGCTAGAACTCCAGGAAATACCTCTTGAAACCAGTCACCAATGAACATATGCTGATTAGTATCAAAACGGGTTTTTTTGTGGAATATTATAGTCATCTCAATAGTTGAGATCATAAGTCTTTGTTTAAATTTTAACTAACGTTTATTCATATACATAACTTGGTAGTTTAGAATCTCCTCTATACAGCAATGAACCAATTATCATTCATATTTAAAAAAAGAATAAAACGACTTCATTTGGGGAAATACAAAAGGCTCACCATATTATTTAATTGTTTTCCATGTAAACAAAACCATGTCGAAAATCCTAAACTATGATTACCAGTAGTATAATTAAACGGAGTAGACAAAAATGATTGATTATTTTGTTGATTAACAATGGATGATAATGGACAAATATGATTTAATAATTTTTTATATAACATTTGATGATCATTAATTTCATATTGATTATCTTCAAATGCTAATGCATAAGAATAATTATGGGAACACATATGACTACATTGTAGAATAGGATAATGTAGCTGTCTATATTGACTATATAATAAATGAGTGTTTAATAATTTTGGCCAAATAGTATATATGGTTGGCATTAGAACATTATTTGTTTGAATCCAATCAATGAGTAAATTGAACATTTGATGTGTAACCTTAAAGACAGAAAATGAAATAGAAAGTAAAACTATGATGTAACTATGGAACTTTATAAGGCATGCTAGTGAAAAGGAACTTTATAAGAATTTGATATAGCAATAGAAAATCTAACTTATAAATGATAAATCATGTTATTTTCACTGGTTGAAAACATGGGTCATTTGAAGCTAGACCAACATGGAAAACCCGGGAGTACTGGATGGCCGTTTCGTCCTAGTATGGGACTCCTCAGCAGTGCACATCCACGACCCCGCCCCCGCGAGATTCGAACTCAGGACCCATCAGTTTCACGCGTGAGCGCCTAACCATTAGACCACTGAGCTAACTGGCATCCAACAGTTTTAATGTCTAACTTCAACCAATCCATGAAGTTGCGCCGCCGTTCATCATTGTCTTCAGTGAGTTGATATCTCACAACAGACCTGATTGAACTCCATACTTACTTACAACTGTTTTTCCTTGTGGAGCATAGGCTACCTAGATTTTCCAACCAACTCCGTACTGGACTTACCTTTCAAGCTGTTTCCAAGTGTTATTCATCCTTTTAATGTCTGCCTCCGATGGCCAGGGTAATGTGTTATTTGGTCTTCCTCTTTTCCTTTTCCTCTCAGGATTCCATGTTACAGACTGCTTTGCGGTGCACTTCAGTGATTTCTGCAATGTATACGGTTGATCTTCATCTTTTATCCGCACTTTTCTCTTGACCTGGAAGTTGTTTGGTTTTCTGATACAGTAGTTTATTTTACGAACTGATCCTATTTAGACAATTCTTAATGAAGGTTTCTCATATTACGACGAAACAGCATCAGTATACGACAAACCATTACGATAAGTATATACTTACAGTGTGGATATGGTATTGTCTACAAAATGTTTGTTCATACGATGAATTCTCAACAAATATGCAAATTAGTCACATCATCAACAAATAACTCCTAGACAACACATTACGAGCCTTGAGTTTGACTGGCGAACATTCGAATTCTCGATAAAATATAAAACCTACGAGATTCTTCATAGTGTTGAGCACCAGTAAACATAAACTTTATTTGTAATGTCACGTCTACCGATATGAAATAACTTAAATTAATATTCATATTGTAAATATCTGTTTTGTAGATTTTGTAAATTCTCTAGGTAAAAGTTGAACACGTCATTGATCATTCATTCATAAAAAATTATCACAATATGTGGCATTTACTTATCACAAGTTGATCGTAGATGAGTTGTTCCTGAAAACCAGGCAGCACTGATCAGCTGTTTCGTCTTAATACTCAGTAATGCACAACTACGAACCCATAAGCGATTGAACTCAGAATATCCAGATCTTGCAGCGAATGTTTAACCATTAAAGTAGCTTAGTTTAGACCCAATGTTAGAAATCCAACTTCAATCATTTCGTGATATAGCGCAATGATTATCCGATCCCTACTGCAGTCAAATAATCGCAATACTTAAGTAATAAATTGACATCAAAATATAAAAAATGACAGTTGAACAACAACGGTTAATTAATTAAAACCCTCTACTTACATATGGATATATACCATTGATTTCATGAAGCATAGCAGGCTTCTTATCCTGTTCTGTAAGGTCATCATCAAAATCAGTAGTCATGAGGTGGTATTTATGGTTAATACCTTTGTTAAGACTATTACTGCCTTTAATATTTTGTATCTGTCTTAAATCTTTCAATATCAGCTGCATAAAGTGTTTTACAGATTTCACACTTAATACACCAAGTGGTTGTGAATAGTCTGTACAAAATTGAATTGGTCGGATATATTGTGGTATCATGAAACATCGTAATAAATCTAAACAGCTTAGTCGAATAACTATATATATATGTGCGTATGTGTATAAAGATGAAGTATCAAATATAGAGAAAAAAGACAGAAAAAAGAGAGATTAAAACTGCGCACAGAACAAAATGTACACAACAGAGATAAGTAAGAAACTTATACTACAAACAATTGTAAAATACCAATATAGGGGTTTGTAAGGATTGTTCAATTTCATCACATACTCAGTAGTAACTAATTTTGACAGAATTCTAGAATTCTAATGAGACATTATGATTGGTGGAGCTAGATTATGTTGGATAGGAAACAGTCACCGGTACAAGAAAAATGGAAGATAGTTGAGCAATGTCACGAGTTAGTTCAAACCAGAAATGTACATCACTGAACTCTGGCTCAATATACTAGAGGTTAAAAGCATTTTGCGAGACCTGAAGGTTTACAGTTGGATCTGAAATGTGGTATGGATGCGCGCTGCTAAGAAGTCTCATACTGATACAAAACAGAAGTTCAATGCTCCTGATTTTCTATAGATATCTAAAGGTGTTTGATTCATGATACTAATTAAATTGTAAACCAGTTCAAATTCAAAAATATTTACAAAAAGGCATATCTGTACACTTATAGTTTAGCAATCACATTTGGTCGCTTATTTTTTTCATTCCTATTAAATACATAGTCTGTTCAAGAAATATACGAACAAAGACTGAAAATCAAATTTATAATAACATGGGACAAAACTTCCAGGACATTCATGAAATGTTAAACATTATTATATGAATAAAACACAATAAATGTATTTCAGTTTGAATCATAACGAGTAGGAGAATTATGTAAAATGATAAATTTTCTGCAAATTCGCCAGTAATATTTCACATATATTTATTTAAACACATAAACATTTGTACAAAGAGGTACCAAATAGATAGGCGCCACATAAATCAATCGATTTGTACAAGGGCTGGGATACCACCCGGGTGCCCAAACCGAAGTAGGTGGTTTTCTTAGGCGGACCACACCCGGAGCCTTCAATCTAAAGGTGTGATCCACAAGGCATTGGAGCAACATAAGGAGATCTAGTCTCATGGTAGTCGGTGACCAACGATTGTTTCATACACCATTTGTTCACTCAGGATATTAGAAGCCATGTAAACCATTGGTTTTAAATCAGGGTTTTCCAACTCCCCTAGGTGAACTCTCCGTGTCCACCAACCCGGTTAGAGAGTCGGATATTCGCTTTTCGTCCTCTCAATTTCGTAAACAACACTCCAACCACGAGGACGCAGTGAGTAGGACTTCCCTGTCAGTGTTTGTATGCACGTGGCCACGTGAGGGCATTTCAAGAGATAGAGAGAGAGCAGTTTCTCCCCAGTCTTGGCTGTACCAAGGCATTTTGGGGCCCTAACTAAAACTATTTATGTAAAGGTTAATAATACTATCCTGTTGCCTACAATCGAATTAGGTGAAATACATTTTGAACCAAAGAAACTTTGGTGATTGAAACACGTGTCACTTAATTGGTAAATTATCATGGTACAATATCATCAAATAAAATATGATCTTTCTAAAAGCAAAATGTCATCTTTCATCATAAATGTAATTCATTATCTGTGAGGACCGCTCACTGATGAAATCAAGGAAGCTCTAAGAAGTTCAGAAAGAGCCGAAGATATTGAGAAGTCTTATCATTTTCAATAGTTACTTCTAATTACATAAATATAAAATAAAAGACAAAAGTTTTCATTGAAAATCTAATTTTATTTAGTTGAGTTAAATGTAAATGCTATATAAAAAGTTAACTTACTTGAACATTTTGATAAATTATTCATTAATTTTAAAATCTCTTCAATTAAATGATTTATATTAATCTAAAGAGATATAAAACAATAGAACTATTGTATTAGTGATAAAAATTAGTTCAGTCAGTCAGCTACAACGTAGGACAAGGCACATATATGCATCGGTTCAAGTTGCCATACAGCATTAGCACAACAAATGAACACCAAATTCATAGTAGTTAATTCAATGGTGGTAAGATATACAAGAAACATTGCATATAAGGATATAGTACAAGAAGAAGGGATTAGTTCGTAGAAAGAATGATATGAAGCGATCTGAATCTCACGGTTTAAGGGAAGAAAAAGGGTGTATACACCGACGCCATTGTGATCGATTTTGGGCCATGTCATCCAGAGTCTTCAACTAACTAGAAATTACAAATTTCAGATCATGAGTCAGTTGAAGCTAGACCAACATGGAAAACCTGGAAGCACTGGACGGCCGTTTCGTCTTATTGAGTGACTCCTCAGCAGTGCGCATCCACGATCCCGCCTAGCGGGATTCGAACCCAGGACCTATCAGTCTCGCGCGCGAACACTTCACCACTAGATCACTGAGGCGGCCAGCATCCAACAGTGTTAATGTCTAACTTCAACCAATCCACCAAATCCAGCCACACATCCACCATTGTCATCAGTGAGTTACTATCTCACAACTGACCCAGTTGAACTCCACTAGTCACAGCTTCTCGCTAGAACTCCAGGAAATACCTCTTGAAGCCAGTCACTAGTGAGCATAACTAGAAATCAGTTCAAGTAGAAATCAACATTTTCTGTCATTTATAGAAATGTATTCACTACAGATTTGGTGAGACTGTAATTTATGTACGAACTAATCACGTATAGAACAACAGGTCTCGGATTTTGACGGGAAATTCACTCATCCATTTGGATAAATAGTTTTGGCATTATAACTGATGTCAGTTCGTGATGAAAATTCGAAATCTAATTCCAAAATAAAATCATCAACTGTAAATTATAATTATAACTCCACACTCAGGTCTATAACCCTCATTTAGTCCTGGTTTTTAAGTGGACACTCTCAAGGTCAGTCTGGTACGACTCAAAAGTCCTCCACAAATTATAATCTCGCCACAGATTTTAATTCATACTGCTACTAATTGGTCAGGATAACTCATTGTGTGGTGTGCGCTACTTATGAGCACAGATATAAGTAGTATATAAAAGCAGTTGGAAGTGGAATGAATACCAACAAAAGATTCAAAAAAAAGAAAGAGGAAAAAGCAGAGAGCAATCAGAATAACAATAGAATTAGAAGAATGATGGAGCATGTAAAGGAAAATTCAAGGAAAATGTGTAAATGATGTATTCTAACATTATGCAAAGGCATTTCGTGTTTTATCATATAATAAATAATTCGTTTGTACAATTAGACAATTCATTCACAGCAGCTAGGTGGACAACGCGATGGCGTTTGAAGTGAATAGCACTTGGTTCGAGTCACAGAGTAAACGCTAACTCTAAGTTACAGGTACATAGAGTTAATGAGTCCTGAATAAGACAAAACATGAGTCTTAGATTCCACTGCTGGCCACTATCCATCTTTGCTTATCATGCTTGTGACTTAAAGAAACATCTAAGTAATCCGCACCGGATGCACATATGCTATTAAGAGACTGTACAATCGCAGTCCCAAACATCCTATGGGAAGATTCAAACAAGCAATACAAAAATGAATGATCGATTTTATTGTTGATCGAATCAGCACAAACCACATAAACTACTTTTCACCATAAAATTAGGCCATCCAAAAAGTATTACTTTCACAGGCTAGGTGATGTCTTACGATATTCTTGATGCTCGTTGAAATATGACGTACTAAGGTTAGTTATTATTATAGCTTTTGTTGATTCCTGTGTTATCGGTGTACTTTCATTTCTATAATATATTTCCACGGTTCATTAATAACGTAGAAAACAATATTAAACAACGCGAAGCAACAGTACCCTTTCTATATTCTCATAAAACATTCTGAAAAAAAAGATTACATCACGTAGAGTTTATGAGGTTAACGACAAAAAACAATCATATATATTCAAGATCTAACAGTTCACAGTTATATAATATATCCTTGTAGGCCGGAGTAATTTTACATTGGTTTTCAGGAGAACCAGATACCATCCAAACTTTCACGTGATAACCCAAACAGTACAGCTTAATCCCATTTAACAAGTGAGACAGACACCGCTCAAGCTTAAAATTTGTAGCCTAAATAATACGGCTCAATCCCGCTTCACAGAAGAACCAGACACCATGTAGACATTAACGCTACTATGGGACTTGAACCAAGTGCTGTTCACTTCAAACTTACTTACTTACGCCTGTTACTCCTTGTGAAGGAGCATAGGCCGCTCACCAGCATTCTCCATCCAATCCTGTCTTGGGCAATCCTTTCCAACTATTTTTAGTTGTTCTTCATTCTTTTCATATCTGCTTCTATTTTCTGGCGTAATGTAATGTTTGGCCTTCCTCTTTTCCATTTCCCTTCAGGTTTCCAAGTTAGGGCTTGCTTCGTGAAGTATTTTGACCATCCAGACTGAAAATTTATAGCCCGAACAGTACAGCTCAATCTCGCTTCACTGGAGAACCACACACCATGTAGACTTCAACGCTACGATCTGAATAATACAGATCAATTCTGTGTCGCAACTACACAAGTACAAACCACTTTATTGAATCTAACAGTATCAAATGTGAGTGAAACAATTATAATACTTACTTGTAAATATTTATCTTCTATTGAATGTGGTCCATGTATATATGATTTAAATATACTAAAATAATTAGCGATAATGATGGATAGACAATTTGACCATAGTTGATTTTCACATTTGATTGAAACATTTATATTATTTATAATAGATAATGATAATTTAGTATGTTGACAACAATTGAATAATGATAGATTATGTAAAGTTAATCGAATAAATAATCTTGTTGAAAACATTAATAATCGTATTGATTTTGGATTAAATTTGAATATTATATTATTTTGATTGGTATCATTTGATTGATCTATTCTCAATTAAAGGTATAAGATAAAAAAGATAATTTTCTAGATTCTGATAAAGATAAAGTAATAGAATGTATTGAACTACAAGATAACTGATTACATAGGGTATACAGAAAAAGAAAGAACAAGACAAAGACTTTAAATTCACATCTGTTGAGATCACCAGGTAGGTAACAGTGAGGTTAGACTCAAGGTATTAGGGAATGCTAGAAAATCAGTTGACGAAGTTGTGAATCTTCATCGACTGAGATGGTTGGACCACGTGTTACGTATTCCTGAACACCGATTGACACGACGTGCAATGCTGAATAGCGTTGGAAGAAAGTTAGGGGTGGTCAAACCAAAATGTGGCACCAATCCACAGAGTCACCAACTTTTAGTCTTAGCCATGCTGATAGATGCAGACTACTAGTTTTGGACCCGCGTGACTACAGTAATCAATGGTTGGAGACTGTGGGTGACATGGCCCAAAATCGATCACAATGGCGTCGGTGTATACACCCTTTTTCTTCCCTTAAACCGTGAGATTCAGATCGCTTCATATCATTCTTTCTACGAACTAATCCCTTCTTCTTGTACTATATCCTTATATGCAATGTTTCTTGTATATCTTACCACCATTGAATTAACTACTATGAATTTGGTGTTCATTTGTTGTGCTAATGCTGTATGGCAACTTGAACCGATGCATATATGTGCCTTGTCCTACGTTGTAACTAACAGATTAACTGAATAAATAAAATTAAATTAGTGTACAGTTCGTGGTACCTAATATTACTAACACTAAATTTTCTTATTGTTCTATATGATACGGACACAAATTTTAGTGTTAATTAATAATCGCTGGTAAATTAATATATGTAAGTCTCTGATTTATTTATTTATTTAAACACATAAACATTTGTACAAAGAGGTACCAAATAGATAGGCGCCACATAAATCAATCGATTTGTACAAGGGCTGGGATACCACCCGGGTGCCCAAACCGAAGTAGGTGGTTTTCTTAGGCGGACCACACCCGGAGCCTTCAATCTAAAGGTGTGATCCACAAGGCATTGGAGCAACGTAAGGAGATCTAGTCTCATGGTAGTCGGTGACCAACGATTGTTTCATACACCATTTGTTCACTCAGGATACTAGAAGCCATGTAAACCATTGGTTTTAAATCAGGGTTTTCCAACTCCCCTAGGTGAACTCTCCGTGTCCACCAACCCGGTTAGAGAGTCGGATATTCGCTTTTCGTCCTCTCAATTTCGTAAACAACACTCCAACCACGAGGACGCAGTGAGTAGGACTTCCCTGTCAGTGTTTGTATGCACGTGGCCACGTGAGGGCATTTCAAGAGATAGAGAGAGAGCAGTTTCTCCCCAGTCTTGGCCGTACCAGGGCATTTGGGGTCTTCTTTTACAAATGCGGAAACAGCAGCTTCCGAAAAACATACTACTTTACTACACTATAATCAGGTAAAATACCAATAGATTGGTCACGTTATGATAATGCAGCAAGAAGGGAAAAATAATTTTGTCAGATTAACTTCTGTTGGTCCATCATAAATTTTTGGTTGCCGTCCTGAAGATTGAGTAACTCAAGTATCGCTCAGGACAAAGGTCTATTGTATTACACTTCAATAGAATAAGATTCACCATTTAACTAAATGGAATTAATCTTGATTGTATTCTCAAATTGACAGTCTCACTTACCGTTTAATAATTTTAGTTTTTTTCTATGCAACTTTTTCATTTTCCTGTCGCTCGTTTGTCATTCTAATTACTTCGTTCTAAGCAGCTGGAAACTATCAAAAGTCACCAGAAAAATTCATAAAATACTTCTTTACGTACTCGACTTCGACCCAAACGCGTTATGTGAGAGCAAACGCTACTACTGGAGTACCCTAAGCCAAATACATAGAACGGAATCCAAATTGGTGACCTACTGGCTAAAGCCAAGTTCATTAACTACGGAACCATCGCTCTACCTACGCTTGAGAACAAAAATTTTCGGTGAATGACATACATGCATAAACGTGTACACATAGGTTCGATTTGTCAACTCGTGAAAAAGAGGTTATTTAACCACATAGTTTGGGATCGATCAGACTTGAATAGTAGGATAAGTGGAGATAAAAATAGCTACGAAAACAACTAATCGTAAACATGCCCACCAAAACAAATTGGTCTACGGCTCAAGGAATAACCAAGAAGCTCACTTCTACATGAAGTAAGTGCTAATGTTTATGTCCTGAACTACAATAAAAACTCCACAACTGAATGATATAACTCATGGAAGTCAACAACACCAACGTAAATCTATTAACTAGCTGAAGGTAGTCGACAAGAGGCCTGCTTCTTGAGTATCTCAATGGTAACATTTCTGACTAAAAAGTTGAATGACGTGAGATCGAATCCTTCATGGAGTACTAATTCCCTCAAGATTATGAGTACAACTTGCCCACGTGTGTCATATAGCAAGTAACCTAGGTCTACGAATTCCTATCGATTAGCTTCAACCCCCCTAACGTATCAGTATAGTCCATGCAGTGTCGAGTTGCTTGAACAAGTTACCACATTGCAAATTAATTGATAGAACTTGATTAGCATTGACAAATACTAGACAAACGTGACTTACCGAAATAATTATTATCCGTATAAATATTTGATGTTTTATTTATCGATTTATCAGAAGTTACTGATGAAGAAGATCGGGATCGTTCCTCAAATATTGTACTAAATAATGTTATCATATTATCATTATTGGTAATACTAGTAGTTGTATTGTTGTTTATAAAAGAATTTTCATTAAAGGTATACTGAATAAAATGTACGAGGAACTCATAAAAATTATTAAAACCATATGTTCTAATGAATTGTACTTGTGTAAAAGCATCTTCTAGTATAGTGAATAACTGATCGATTGAATTGTTATATTTATTATTATGATTATCACCATATAAATCACCATCATTGAATGATGCCTGAGAGGGGGGAGAGAGAGAAAATAGTAGGCAACTATCAAAACTTAATTATTACTATGAAAAGGAAGATAAATGGTGTCTGTATATAGATTTATATTAATTATAGAAATCAAGAATATGCTACTTTTTATTATCATAGTATCAAGTGTATATATATTAACTGTCATTCTATCAGCTAAAATTTATGTGATTTTATTGATGAAACCCAGAAAATTCCTTTAAAAAAAGCGAAAAAGGGACCCAGTAAACATTGAGAAACATCTTATCTAGTCAGTATTCCATAGAAGTTTTACATATCTGAGCAGCATCATTGATGAACACGATGGATCTGATTTAGATGTGAAGGCGTGGATCGGCAAAGCAAGAGCAGCATAGTTACAAATGAAGAACATCTGGAGCTCAAAACAACTCTCTGTCAAGCAAGACCAAGGCCAGAATTTTCAATATAAATGTCAAAACAGTTCAGTTGTATGAGGCAAAAACTTGGAGAACTACGAGAGCCATCATCCAGAGGATAGAAGTGTTTATTAACAGCTGTCTACGCAAAATACGTCGGATCAGTTGGTCAGATACTATCAACAATAACCTACTGTGGGAGATAAAAAGCCAAATCCCAGTGGAGAAAGAAGCGCTGGAAGTGGATAGGACACACATTAATCACAGCACACAACTGAGTCATAAAGCAAGCCCTCACATGGAATCCTCAAGGCCAAAGGAGGAGAGGAAGACCAAAGACTACATTACGCCAAGAAATGGAGACAGACATGAGAAGAATGGACAATTGCATAGAACTAGAAAGGAAGGCTCAGGACAGAGTGGGTTGGAGAATGCTCGTCGGTGGTCTATGCTCCATTAGGAGTAACAGGCGTAAGTAAGTAAGTAAATTAAGTAATTAAATAAAAGTTTACCAGACACATTTGAAAGGCGAAAAGTCAAATGTTACGTTTCTGATTGGATGATTAGCTATAAATCATATTTTCTCAAATAATGTAATCTCATATTTTCTTTTTGTGTCGACTTGATCATGGTTGTGAATTAAAGTGTACTCTGTAAAAATTTTCAAAAGATAAATTATTACAACCGAACTCAGTGAAATTATAATCTTATACATTTTATTTTGTGACTACAGATTTAATGTAACTTAAATGATTGGAAGAAAGTTAGAGACGGCAAAACCAAAACATGGCATCAGTCCACAAAGTCACTAACTTCTAGTCTTAGCCATGTTGGTAAAGGCAGACTATTTGGTTGGGGTCCACGTGACTATCTTACCCAATGGTTGGAGACTAGGTGACATAGCTCAGAATCGATCACAATGGTGTAGGTGTATACATGCATTGTTTTCCTTTAAACTATGAGATTGAAATTGCTTTATATCTTTCTTTCTTTTATATGTTACCACCATTGAATAAGCTACTTTTATGACTACGCTGTTCATCTTGTTGTGCTAACGAGGTATGGAATCTTGGACCGATGCATATATGTCCCTGGTCCTACGTTGAAGCTGGCTGACTAGATATTCAATCAACATAATGGGACTCATTTATTGAATATCAATTTGTACAATAAATTTGGATTACGCTGCTTGTATAGGGATTCATGAAACTACCCATTCAGCTAAACTTGAGGAAACAAAACAGGGCTCAAATACATAACCAACTGAATACTTTAAACACTAAGATGTTAAAGATATGGGAAAGGGTTTTGTGGATATTATAGTAACCTCAATAGTTTAAATCATAAGTCAATTGAATCTAGCCCAGCATAAAAAACCTGGAACCACTGAACGGCCGTATCGTCTTAGTATGGGACTCCTCGGCAGTGTGAATGCACGGACCCGCCTCGCGAGATTCAAACCCAGGACCTATCGGTTTCTAGTGAGAACGCTTAACCTCTAGATCACTGCGCACGATGTGTTGCTCAAGTTGGTGGATCAGTTGAAGTTAGACAGTAACACCGTCGCATGCCGGCCGGCTCGGTGATCTAGAGGTTAAGCGAAACAGATAAGTCCTGGGTTCGAGTCTCGCGAGGCGGGACCGTGGATGTGCACTGCTAAAGAGTTCCACAGTAGGATGAAACGGTCTCACGATCTCAACTAATCAGAAAGGTGTTTTGTGGATATTATAGTAATTTCAATAGTTGAATTCATTAGTCAATTAAATCTAGATCACTATGGAAAACCTGGAATCACTGGATAGTTGTTTCGTCTTAATATGGAACTGCTCATTCGCTTTGACTGTTGAACAAAAATTCCATTGACAATGAATGATGAATAAAGAACTAGTAAAAAAAACATTGTACAATATTCAAATCCATAATATTAAGAATAACATACCGCTATATTTGGTATCATTTCAATTAAAACAATCATTGGCGGTAAAATTAAAGAACTTAATCTATTGACATTTTGCAAATAAACTACATCAGTATTTCCATCATTGTATTTTTCATTGGTATAAAACTTTGCCTGTATGACTTTACTTATAAATGATATACCAAGTTCAGTAAAAGATTTTTTTGAATATTTGTTTGAATTTTGAACATTGAATAATGAATGATGAAATGAATTCTGATTTAAATTAATTATCATTGGTGGATTTGACCAATTTGAACGAGGAATTAAAATAAGATAAGCTAATAATTGCCATATTGGTATGATTTCTTCTAAAGTCTATGAAAATAGAAGGAGAACAGATATGTTAATATTTATTTATTTAAATACATAAAGATTGGTACAAAGAGGCATCAAATAGATAGATGCAAACATAAATTATTCGATTTATGTGAATGCTGGGATACTGCTTCAACCAAGGTCTAATCCACAAGGCAGTGGAGCAACGTTAGGAAATGCATGGTAACCAACGATTGGTTCATATGCCATTTATTCGCTCGGGATCCTGGAGCCCATGTTTACCATTGGTTTTGAATCAGGGTTTTCCAACTCCCCTATGTGGACTTTCCGTGTCCACCAGCCAGGTCAGAGCACCGGATATTCGCTGTTCATTTTCTCGATTTTGTAATCAACAGTAATCCCAAGAAAAGGCAGTGAGTAAGACTTCCCTGTCAGTGGTTGTATGCACGTGGTCATGTGAGAGCATTTGGAGATGGAGAGCTGACTCTGCACACCCCCGGTCGTACCAAGGCATTTGGGGGCCGTCACTGAAAACCTAGAAGCATTATTCGAGCGTCTCGTCCTATTATGGGACTCCTTATCAGTGCATATCTACGACTCTACTACAGAGGGTTGGAACCAAAAACTTTAGTCTCGAGCACGAATGAACAAAATTTAGACCACAGAGCTGGTATCCAATGAAGTGCATATCTAATTATAGCCAACATTTGATGTTCTATGATTATTTTCCATTATTCGCGGTGGATAACTGTCTCACACTCAACATGTTTGCACTCCTCTCGTCACTGCTTCTCACTAGAATTAAAGGTATTGCATCTTGAAGCTGTTCACTAGTGAGTAGATGATTATTATCAGTACATTTGGATATATAGAGGCAGTGACCTGGCTAGTATCAGTTCTCGATTCAAACCGTTATTACTATGAAAGCTATTAAAAATATTCAAGCAGTTGAGGTAACATTTTATTATTGTAACAACTTACTTAACAAAAAGTATAGTACAAAAAATTTAATGGTCGAAATTTAAAGATATTGACGAAATTGATGTTGATAGCACACGGACATACACAGAGTTATAAAAAACTTTTTACCTTTGAATTCAATGTCTGTAGTAACTTTTCTGATTCATTTAAAATATTAAAAAATAAGCCAGCTGTAGAATACATCAAACGACTTTGTAATAGTTCGTATTCTTGTATTAACGATAATTGAATGTGACCACTGGAGACTTTTGAAAGACAATTCAACTGGACAGTTAAAATATTACCTAAACATCTATAATAATAATAATAATAATAATAATAATAATAATAATAATAATAATAATTATAATTATAATTATAATTATAATTATAATAGGAAGAAAAAGAAAGCTGAACAGTCAACAAAATTTATTTATTTATCACTAAAGAATTGAAATACAAGTAAACTCTGTTAGTTTAGGTAATGCTGAAGTTATAAAATATTGTCAAGCACAAAAGTTGAGCTCTGTAATCACACTTTTAGGTCGTTAAAACAACAACTAACCAAGTTTCCGTATCAACAATTTGAAGAACGAATACCAATTTCCTAAAGATTGCTAATACACGTTCATCATGAGTGTCAACTATTATGTAACAAATCTAATGTTTCCTGTCGATTACTACTTAATCAAACTCAAACTACAAGTCATATGTGAAACTTGATTGATAGGATTTGGTCAGATATAAAGACTAGACAAATACGATGTTGATTACTACTAGGTGATTATACAGTGCGAATCCACAGTATGACCTTAATGCAATAGCCCCCAAATGCCCTGGTATGGCCGAGACTGGGGTGGGTTCGCCCTCCCTCTCGAAATACTTTCACATGGCCACGCGTATACAGCCTCTGCCAGGGAAGTCCTACTCACTGCCTTCTCGTGGCGGGGTGTTGTTTACGAAAATGAGAGGACGAAAAGCGAATGTCCGGCGCTATAACCGGATCCCAAATCAATGGTGCACATGGGCTCCAGTATCCTGCGGGAACAAATGGCGTATTAACCAATTTTTGGTCACCGGCTACCATGGGACTGCATCTCCTCACGATGCTCCACTGCTTTGTGGACTAGACCTTTAGGTCAAAGGCTCGGGGCGTGGCCCCCTAAGAAAACCACCTGCTTCGGTCTGGGCACCCGGGCAGTATCCCAGCCCAGGCACTAAAACATGGTGAACTACTTACTTATGGGAAATATTCTTTTCGCTCCGATTTACACTGAAATGACTCGCACTACTATTATTATTATTATTGTGATTATTATTATTATTATTATTTACCACGTCACTTATTCACTCTTTATTTCCACTCTGTCTATCCTTATTTTTCGACTTATACAGCAGCTCGCCTATGGTGGACATTCGGCTCTATTTAAACGTTCTCGTGTCACTGCCTGGTTGAAAATTGTATGTTACCACCGAATACGAGTGCTGAAGCAGTTCTTCTGAAACCACACGCTTCCTTCAACGTTCGCACGCTAATGCAGATCAGACAACAGATAGGGCTGGCTATGTCTTTAGAAAGTCTTAATATCGATGTTTGTTGTCTATTCGAGACCCGTATTCAAGACTCTGGTGAAGTACTACAAGTTCGCTCTCCATCTGTCGCTTCAAAAAGCTTGTTTTATGTGCGTTTATCCGGGGACCCTGTGGAATCTTCGTCTAGTCTTGCTGGCGTTGGTGTCGCACTAAGCGCTAGAGCTGAGGCAGCACTAATCGATTGCATCCCCATTAACAGTCGGTTATGTGCTGTTAGATTAGAACGTTCCATCAAAGTGAGAAGAAATCGGCGTGAGAAACGATGTCTTTTCGTCATCTTCGCCTATGCCCCGACAGATTGCAGCCCGGATGCAATCAAGGATGAGTTCTACCACCAGTTAACTGTTCTCCTCCAGAAAAAGCGTTCGACAGATATTGTAGTACTAGCTGGAGACTTGAATGCTCAGGTCGGGTGTCTAGGCACTGAAGGGAATCGTTTACGTGGCCGATGGGGACTTGTTGGTCGCAGGACAGATAACGGGGAACGTCTACTGCAACTATGCACAGACCACAACCTGTTTCTGGCTAGCACTAACTTTCGGCACAGTCATCGCCGATATGCCACCTGGCGTCCCCCTTCTGCATCTCAAGCCTGGACTCAGATTGATCACATCGCAATCAGCTACCGCTGGCGTGGTTGTGTACAAGACTGCCGCTCCTTTTGGAGTACCTATCTGGAATCTGATCATGCTCTGGTCTGCGCCAATCTTACCTTACTTTTCAGTGGGCAACGACGTGACCGCCACCAAAGGATTGATGTTAGCAAGCTGGATGCAACTTCTGTTGCTAGTAGGTACCGAACCGAGCTAGCTTCTAGGCTAGTTACCATTCCACCGAAAAGCATAGATGAGCATTGGTTGCAATTGCATGACGCAATGAAAATGGCGGGTACAGTCTGTTGTGGGTTCGCGAAACGTCCCGCTTACAAGCACTGGGTTTCTTCTAGTTCCTTACAACTCATTGAAGCCCGTCGGTCTTCTCTGGGTGACCGTGAGTTTAACCACAAACGAAGGATGTTACGTAATGAAATCGGGCAAAGCTTGCGTAAGGACCGAGAAGCCTGGTGGTCGGAGTGTGCTAATGAGCTGGAAGCAGCAGCTGCATCTGGTAATTACCGGAAGCTCTTCCAACTCATCCGAGCCACTGGCAGCAAGAAGTCTGGTGTGAGCGAAACAATCTGCGAAGATCATGGAACGCCAATCACTAACACCCATCGACGTCTTGGACAATGGGCAGGATTTTTCGAAGGGCAGTTCAACTAGCCTGCTACTCCGGCAACATCGATCAGACTGTCCTGCCCTCCATGGCCGGTGACGACTGATCCACCAAATGAGGCTGAAGTCCGCAAGCAACTCCAACTCTTGAAACGCTACAAATCACCGGGATCGGATGACTTACCTCCGGCTCTTTTTAAAGATGGTGGTGACTTTCTGAGTAAGGGAATGACGACGTTGTTTACAAAGGCCTGGGAACTAGAGAGTGTACCAACGTCATGGAATGAGTCGATAGTTTTCCATATCTTTAAAAAGGGTTCACGTCGTCCCTGTAACAACTATCGGGGGATAAGTCTACTTCCTATTGCGTCCAAGCTATTGGCTTCCGTTATACTTCGTAGGTTGTTCAAAACTCGAGAAAGATTGACTCTCGAGGAGCAGGCTGGGTTTCGTTCCGGTCGAGCATGTATTGATCATATCTTCACCCTCCGCCAAATGTTAGGACACCGCCATACTTATCAAAGGCCAACAATCGTAGTGATTCTTGATATCAGGGCTGTCTTCGATTCGTTGGATAGGACTGTTCTCTGGGATTGTCTATTGAAGAAGAGTGTGTCTGATAAGTTTATTAACATCATATAGGCCCTATAATATAAACACCTCAGGCAGAGTGAGGGCATACAACCACCTTTCGCCATTGTTCCATTCAAGCAGTGGGGTTAGACAGGGTTGTCCAGTCTCACCATTCCTCTTCAACTTTGCCATCGATGACATTCTGGAAACAGCTCTGATGGATGTAAGTAATGGTGGTGTGGATCTGTTGCCTGGAGAAAGACTCCTCGACCTTGAGTATGCGGATGATATTGTCTTACTGTACGAGAATGCCCAAGCCATGCAATCCGCACTTAATCAGTTGGCAATCAGTGTCCATAGGTATGGTATGTGCTTCGCACCTTCGAAGTGCAAAGTACTTCTAAAAGATTGGCAGGATTCTAATCCTGTACTTACCCTGGATGGTGAGGAGATAGAAGTAGTCGAGAAGTTCGTGTATCTAGGTAGCTGCATAAGTGCTGGTGGTGGTGTGAGTGATGAGATCAATGCACGTATAGTGAAAGCTAGAGCGGCTTATGCCAATCTGGGCCATTTTTAACGCCTTCGTGATGTTAGTCTGGCTGTAAAAGGTCGGATCTACAACGCGTCGGTGAGAGCAGTTTTGCTCTATGCTTGTGAAACCTGGCCTCTACGAGTTGATGATGTTAGACGACTCTCTGTGTTCCATCATCGTTGTCTCCGAAGGATTGCTGACATCCAGTGGCAACACCATGTTAGTAATGCAGAGGTTCGGTATCGTGTGTTCGGGCACAGTGACGATAATTCAATTAGTGTCACCAGCTTGAAACACCGACTTCGGTGGCTTGGACATGTTCTACGAATGTCGTCCCAGAGAATTACACGTCGTGCATTATTTGCCGACGCTGGGACTGGTTGGGAAAAGTGGAGAGGTGGTCAGTGTATGACATGGTGTCGTGGTATGAAAGAAAGCTGCAAAGGGATTGCTTGTGTTGTTCCTTCACGACTCCCTGGCTGGGGTCCGAGAGATGGTGCAACACAGTGGCTAGACACGTTATCAGATATGGCTCAGAATAGAAGCCAATGGCGATCCTGCTGTAACCTTCTTTTACTTTCTTCATAAAAAGTGGTTGCTTCTTTCTTAACTGAAAGATTTCTTCTGATTGTACCTTTCCGTTTCCCCCATTATTATTCTCTCTCTCTTTTGTTTTAGTAATTCCCCACGTGCATTACTTTTTTTTCATTTTTTACTCCTCTTCAAATTATCATTGTTTTGTGTGGCGCATATATATTTGGTGCCCCCTTGTACCAATATTTTTGTGTTCAAATAAATAAATAAATAAAACTTAATGCAATATATCATTTATTGCCCCCAAATGCCCTGGTACGGCTGAGAGTGGGGAGAGTTCGCTCTCCCTCTCGAAATGCTCTCACATGGCCACGCGTACATAGCCCCTGCTAGTGAAGTCCTAGTCACTGCCTTCTCGTGGTTGGAGTGTTGTTTACGAAATTGAGAGGACGAAAAGCGAATGTCCGGCGCTTTAACCGGATCCCAAACTAATGGTGCACATGGGCTCCAGTATCCTGCGGGAACAAATGGCGTATGAACCAATCGTTGGTCACCGGCTACCATGGGACTGCATCTCCTTACGATGTTCCACTGCCTTGTGGATCAGACGTTCAGGTCAAAGGCTCGGGGCGTGGCCCCCTAAGAAAACCACCTGCTTCGGTTTGGGCACCCGAGCAGTATCACAGCCCTCACACAAATCAATCGAGATTCGTGTGGCGCATATGTAATTGGTGCCTCCTTGTACCAATACCTATGTGTTAAAATAAATAAATAAATAATATCATTTATTACTATATGGTAAAGTTGATATAAATATTTTCCCTAACTGTTAGTGGGACATAGATTGGATTTAAGCATGCTCAATGC